GTAGGAAGAAACAGTTCGGCAAAACTATGTGCATCATGAGCAAGTTGTAATTCAACAAAAGTTTATAGCTATGGGCGAGTTTCGATCGATTTTTTTTTTCTCTCTCAACTTGTTTGTGTGTAACCATCCATGCATCAATGAACGACTTAATTTCCTTCTCCAAAAAAAAAAAAAAAAGCTGATCAGTTCAACAAAATAGATTATTTTCTTATATTAATGTATTTAACTTACTCAAAAGTGTGTAGTTTTAGTTTCATTGACATTGGGTAACAGTTTGATTTGATCCAGTAAATCAACAAATTAATAGCATTATATGACTTTCTTGATATTGAATTATTCTCATCATAGTATAAATGACTTCGTGGGTCGACCGTTATTGTGTTTGGATGCTTCTTTGTTTTTATTTCTTGAATTGGACAAATACATACAGCAACCTAATAAGTATTGGAACCATGCGCCATGTTGATTTAAACAAATGTGTCTGTTTTGATGTTTTTTCAGAAGATACATGCACGATAGAATGATGAAAATGGATTAAGACGTATGGAAAATATAAAACAAACAAAAAAAGAAATAGTATTTATGTAATACAATTTGTTTTTTTTTTTAAAAAAAAATGATTGTATCTTCATGTAAATTATCTCTTTAAAACTCCAAAATTTTGATATGAAAGAGATGGAAGATGATGGAAGGAACAATGACGTACGTGTAAATTTAAGGATCACTTCTTCAAATGATTCAATGCACCGAACAACAAAGAAAACACCAGATGATGATCGATAGACCTCATCAACAATAGGTAATTAAGTAGAGATGATTGATCAAGTTCTAGATAGTATTACCTAGGGAAAAAAATGATAGAAGACTAGAGATTTAGTTTCCAAGAAATAATATAACAGGAACACAAAATTTACATCATTCAGTTATTGTGTCAAAATAAAAAAAAAAAAAATTCTTATTCACAAGGAAACTAAACCCATAGTATACATTACAATAAACATCTTATCTCTGTTATGTTGATTTCACCTAGGCTAGTAGAGCAACTTGCATTCTCAAAATTTTAGGTTAGATCATTATGATTAATTTATTTCATTGATAAATTTGAGACACTTATATACTTAAATATTTGAGAGTATATATTTTTCATTAGAAAAGAAAAAAACACTTGAACCAAATGATAAAAGTATTGGGTTAATTTAACTATGATTCAGAATCAAACATATATATGAACATGTAACAGTGATTAAAATACTCGTTAGACGTGAGGAGAGTTTTATTTCCCGAAAGAAACTTACCTACGTAAATTCATATTAATCAGGGCAATGATTTCAAACATTGAATGCGTAATATAATAAATCGCTAAGAGTTAAAATTATAAACCGCTAGTAAAAATAAAAAGGATGGAGCAGAAAGAGACGTCCAAAAGTAGTATCTATCAGCAATGGAAGGTGTCACAATCAAAATGGTTAATTAGATAATACCAAAATTAGCAGACTCATTTTCATCCGACCTGAGGAGCAGAAGATACGCGTAAGGGAGACAAGAAAGGCTCGAAAGATACATTGATTCTGACCCGAGATAAACTAAGCACTCGGTTCAATTTTGCGGCCAAGCACAAAGGTGGACTTTGGGTCGTACATAGGTAACGAAAATCTATGAAACTTTCAAACAAATTGGCACTACAATTTTGTTATCAAATTCATTGTACGGTTTGAATAACAACAATGCCACTAATATTTAGCAAAAAGAATATGACCAAAACAACTTCCTCTTCTTTCTTGATTATACAATGCTTTTTGGTCTTTTCTTTTTTCTATCATAGGTTGTTATCTAAATTATTGCGGGCAACACAAATCCCAAATCGCTAACACCATCACATATTTCCGAAATAATTATTTCTTTCATTATCGTGTATTGACAAATAATTCAGAAAATATCATACTTACTTGATTACAAATATCAGTCTTTTTAACAATTCCACCAATATCAATGGAACATTAAATCTTTTCAAAAAAAAAATAGAACATTAAAATACAAAATTACACATATTATTCGTACAACTCATCACTAAACAATACAATCTCATTTTAAACACTATGTGATTTTTAATACGAATTAAAAAAAATAGCATAAAAGTTTTTTTGATTTCGTAAAACTACATACTCCCTGTCAAGTTTGGATTTTGATTTTTTAGTATAAATTGAACTACAAGTGAAAATCAAAATTTGAAAATAATTTTGGAACAGAAAGAAATATTTTAAAAATTTTGTAAACTCTAATTCTAAACGACTGTATATTTAAGAATTGAGGGAGCATATTGATTTTTTGTTGTCGTGAAAAGTCACAATGTATTTATCACACTCAAATGTACATGATTTTTCAAATTAAGAATGACAAAGAAAACACCATTACCTTCACCTCACTTGTTGGCGTCAAGTCATCCATATAATTTGTCACGCAATTTCGTGGTTTGTCTCATGTCAATCGTACAAATGAAATGTCACCCTTTTCTATCTTGATAAAAACAGATAGTAGTTGAAGGTTGTTTCGTCAAGTCATTGACCATAAATACTAATTCTTGGGGGCAAAAGAAAAGAACGAAGCAATTAATTATATTATCGTTTGTCCAAGGTTGAATTTTACGACATATCCTTTGGTTTCGATTACTTGCATTATCATTGATTTTTCAAAAAAGTATTGCCATGAACACAGAAACATGATCAATTTTCGTACCTTAAATATATATATATATATATGTATATATATATATATACAAGAAATTTCAAAAATCAAATTATTTGAAGTTATCTTTCGAAATGCAAATGAACAAGAACTAACCAAATGAACTCCATTTTGTTAACCACTGTATTTGAAAGGGAAAAACCAATGAACTTTATTAACTACTCCATTTAGCCTGCCAAAAAAGGAATTTACATTCAATTTTGAAACTTGAACTAAAATTCCAAAACAATGTTCATTTGGTTTAAAAAAAAATCCAAAACAATGTAGCTTATTATTATTATTATTATTATTATTGTTGTTGTTGTTGTTGTTGTTGTTGTTGTTGTTGTTGTTGTTGTTGTTGTTGTTGACGTAAAGAGTATATAAAAAGGAAAAATTCTTCAGAAAAAATTTAAGGAGTTTTAAGCACTTAATTCGAAATTTAATTAATTCATCAACTTGAAGAAAAAAGTTAGCATCATTCATGAACCTTTTTTTATATAATAAAAAAAAAAAGAAGAAGAAAAAACTATAGTTGTAATATCTAATTATTGAGAGAGTACAACACCTAGGCTAGCTTGCAGCACAAATGCATGCAACAATGCACATTCCATAACACATCATTCCCAGCAAAAGAGCTTTGTTCATAATCCAGCCAATTATACATAAATTAATTAAATAAGTAAATTAAAATATTACTCCCAAATAGGGGTTATAAAATACGATAAATCTCCACACCCAGTAAACGTGATGGTGTCGTCCGGTTTAGGATTTAAAAGGAGCAAGTTGCAAAAGTTGCAAACCGGTCCTTTTGGTTTTAAGGGGAGGGTGCATTGTACTGACATTACATTTTTTACAACTTGCAATTTCTGCATTATTTACCCACCTTCTTCGTACCCCTAGATAGAGAAAGAAAATGTATGCATTCAAACCTCCCCATCTTGCATTGCCTGTCAAATGTTGTTGTTAATGATCGATCGTACTTTTTGCATCTCACTTTAACAATTCATTTTATCGTGAGATAAAAGGAGATTTATCAACATGTTCGTTCAGTTCCTGTATTCCTTCGATAATCTGTAATGACGGTAAAACAAAACATTTGGTTTAATTATAGATTATGACATGTAAATAAATATAGTTGTAAGGTTTTATCAACTTTATTATTGTATTATTGTAATTCATTTGTTGTTGGATGTATCCACCCAAATTTATGGAAAATAGGCACTTTTTATATTAAAAAAATACTATTATATTTCTGTTTGGGAGTTATAATGATCCCATTATTTGCGAATTTTTACAATAATACTTCTACCATCAAAAACAAAAATGCCATCTAGTCTAAGCAAATATTTCTACTCAAAAAGATAAGATATAAAATAAACAAATAACACTGTAGTATTCAACTGGATAAATCGATTTCTAAATTCTTTTATATGTGTAATGTGTAATTCACTTCTTTCTCGCTCTTTTTTTTTCTTCCTTTTCTAAACAAATATGTATTTCAGCTCCAAGAAAGTTAATGATTTATTTGTTAAAAGGTGTACATGCATTGTACTCCCTCCGTCCCATAATTATTGTCTAGTTTGGGTTTTTATTTTTAGTTCAAATTGTACTAAAAGTGAAATCTGAAACTGGACAATAATTTTAGGACAGAGGGAGTACTTATTTGAATGGAGGCTAATTAATGCTAAGATTGTTTGTTTTGGATCATGAAAAACGTGATGAAAAAAATTAAACAGTTGAGAAAATTAAGGAAAATAAAGTTTTTCCTTAATCATTTGGAATTAATCATTGGATTTTTCCCACCAATATTTCACTTCAATTTACTAACACTATTCTTTTTTTAAAAAAAAGAAAAAAATCAAACAAAACAGGGCTATATTGGTTAGCAAATTATGAATGAACAAGTCCGATACATGTAAGACATGCATCAAAATAGTTGAAATGCTACACATGGTATGCTTTATTCATACAAGAATAATGACAGAAAAAATGAATTCGAATAAATAAATAAAACGATTATTGACGTAATAGTAACAAAAGTAGATATTATCAATTTGTTTAAAGCGGTGATAAATGTATTGTGTTTTTTATCTTTTAACACATTATGTCATCGATCATCTAATTATTAAATAATTCATGCTCTAAATCATCATCGATACATTTAATGAAAACTTCTAAAAAAAAGTATTTGCAAAAATAAAAGAGGATTTAAGAAATCAAGCCAGTTTTCTTTTTTTTAATAAAAGGCTAATTAACCTTAAAGAAAAGAAATTGGTTAAGGAAATAATGGTAAAAAGTGGGAAAAAATCAAAAAAGGAAGAAAAAGGGAAAAAAAAAAAAAAAAAGAAAAAAGGATGACATAAGGAAGAAGAAAAAGGGAAGAAAAAGCATTGAGGATCACCTCCGGGGCAAGGTGAATGACGCGGTGAAGAGGCGGGGGAGAGGTATCAAAATTGAACTCCAAGTGGCAAAGGCTGAAGAATGACCGGGAAATCCGGTTTTCGGGAAGGATTCATTGAATAGGTTTGAGAGAGAAAGAGGCAATGGTTTGGCCTGGTCTGCTCTGTGTCTTCCTTAAATGTATCCAAAGACTCTTTTTTTTTTTTTCCCAAATATTTTATTCTTTAACTTGCTCACCTAATTCAGTGGACTATCTATAGTATTTTATAGCTGTGTATATATGACTCGCCTTGGGTAACTGTTTTTGAAGCATAGAGCTAAAGAGCACAATTTCCCCCATCTCTTTCTACACCTGGTTTTCTTTCTTTTCTCTCATTCTCTCCTTTTTTTTTGCCCTGCTGGTTAAGCGGTGGGGTTTAGATTTTTTTTCCCAAACAACAATCTTTGTGCTCTGTTCTCTTGTAAATGCATGTTTTGGTTGAAGATCTGATCTGGGTTCTGCTGTTTTTGGTGAAAAGTTTGATCTTTTTAGCTCTTTGTTTGGGTTTTTCTGGTGAACAACCATGCCTGCTCTTGTCAATTATAGTGGTAAGTCTCTGGAAAGACCTGGGCTTCTTCTGTTTTTGCCCTTTTGCTTTATGCTGTGGATGATCTTGATTTTGTTTTCCCCCTTTTTGGAGCCTCTGTGTATATCTTCTGCTTTTAGATGAATTTTGGTTTTCAGGATCTGGACTCGAAATGTAATGCATGCCCCCTTTGTTTCTTTGATTGATTAGTTGTCAAGACTGAATTTTTTTTTTCCTGGATTGTATTTAGATTAGCCTTTGATCTTGCGGTTTAGAATGTTTCATTTCAGTACAGTATGGACATGTAATGAATTACCGAGCCTGAATACAGCTAATCACTCATATATGCGAGGTCTGATCTTGAGCTTTGTTATTGTAAATGAGATTTCCCTAGTTTGTACCAGATTAAGGTCCGCTGTTTTTATTTTCCCTTCTGGAAGAAAGGTTCATTGTTCACGGTCCTTTAGGGTTTGTTCGTTTAAATAGCTGATTGATGTGTAATATGTCCTTAAATTATTGTCATTTTAGCATATTCAGCTACGAGTGCTCTAACGTATTGAATTTCAAGATTTTATTTGGTCAACCTGGTTTGGTTGCAAGATGTGTGGAAAAGCTTAACCAGCTGCTTAACGATTTATCTGGTGTTAAACTGCAAAATTGATGTGTAAGGAAATGATATTGTTGCTTCAGTGGCAGGCTAGCAACTTTTATTCTGTTTCCTTGAAAATATGATGACACTTACTTTCTTTGCGTATTTGTTGTATATGATCTTATTGGTTAGTATGGGAAACCATTGTGTGATTGGTAAGTGGCGCTTTGTTTTAGGTTATCTGGAATAAATAACTAACGTAAGTTGTGACGTTATTGAGCATTATGATTCATTGTGGACAACTTGTCGCGGGGTGAGTTAATATTCCATTGTCGTGATGTTACTTGTGGCTGATACATCGTTCTCTTGTTTTGTCGCAGGTGATGATGATTTCCGTGCTGTCCGTTCTGCCGATTCAGGTGTTACGTTTTCCATCAGTTCTTATGCTGACGTCTATTGCTCCCCTGCAAAGCGTCCACGTGTTAATGCTCCCTTTGCTATCAAAGGCCTCGATTTCTTCTGCCAAGAGCGAAACCCCTCCATTGAAAATCTTCCCGATGAGTGCCTGTTTGAGATCCTCAGACGTCTTCGTGGAGCACCAGAAAGGAGTGCCTCAGCTTGTGTTTCCAAGCGCTGGCTTTCGCTCTTGAATAGTGTGCGCAGTTCTGAATTTTGCTGGAGCACTGAACATCAGGGTAAAGTTGCTGGAAAATCTCAGGAGAATTCTAATGACGTAGAAATGACTGCCGCTGATGAAGATCTTGAAATGGAGTGCGATGGTTGCCTTTCTAGGTGTTTGGAAGGAAAGAAAGCAACGGACATTAGGCTTGCAGCTATTGCAGTTGGGACCGCTTGCCGGGGAGGACTTGGAAAGCTTTCAGTTAGGGGAAGTAACTCAGTACGAGGAGTTACCGATACTGGTCTTTCAGCAATTGCCCGTGGTTGCCCTTCCCTCAGGACCCTTTCGCTCTGGAATGTCCCAACTGTTGGAGATAAAGGTTTACTTGAGATATCAAGGGAGTGTCAGTTATTAGAGAAGCTTGACCTTTGCCAATGCCCATCAATTTCAGACAAGGGACTGGCCGCAGTTGCTAAGAATTGCCCAAATTTGACTGCTTTGACTATTGAATCCTGTTCAAATATTGGGAATGAGAGCCTGCAAGCCGTTGGAAAATATTGTCAAAAGTTACAATCTATAACCATTAAGGATTGCCCCCGTGTTGGGGATCAAGGGGTTGCTGCTCTCCTGTCATCAGCATCTGCTGCCTTGACAAAGGTGAAGTTTCAAGGTCTGCATATTACAGATTTCTCTCTTGCTGTGGTCGGACACTATGGCAAGTCCATCACAAATCTTGCGCTATCTGGGCTCCAAAGTGTGACCCAGAAGGGCTTTTGGGTTATGGGCAATGCTCGGGGTTTAGAGATGCTTTCTTCTTTAACAATTACTTCATGTAGGGGGGCTTCAAATTTGAGTCTTGAAGCATTGGGCAAGGGATGTCCAAATCTGAAGCATATGTGTCTTCGTAAGTGTTGCTTTGTGTCTGATGCTGGTCTGCTGGCTTTTGCTAAAGCTGCTGGATGCCTTGAGAGCCTACAACTAGAGGAATGCAACAGGATCACAGAAACCGGAATTCTTACTGCACTTTCGAACTGCAACGAAAAGTTGAAGTCTCTTTCCATCATTAAGTGCTTGGGAATTAAAGATGTGCCTCAGGTAGTTCCCAACCTTTCACCATGTGAGTCTCTTCGGTCATTGTCCATTAGAAGCTGCCCCTGGTTTAACAATAATAGCTTGGCTATGGTTGGGAAGCTTTGTCCTCGGCTGCATAACTTGGAACTTAATGGGCTATGTGGATTAACTGATGGTGCTTTTCTAAATTTTCTGGAAAACTGTGAGGGAGGACTTGTGAAGGTGAATCTCAGTGGTTGTGTGAATTTGGGAGATCAATCAATTATATCGTTGGCTAGGATCCATTGTGGAACCCTTAAAGTATTGAATATCGAAGGTTGTAGGGGAGTTACTGATGCAGCTTTAGGGGCCATAGCCCACGATTGTGTGTTTCTCAATGATCTTGATGTTTCGCGGTGTGCGATTACTGACTTTGGTGTCGAGGCCTTGTCTGAAGGAGGGTTTCTTAACTTTCAAGTCCTGTCTTTGTCAGGTTGCATGATGGTAACAAACATCAGTGTGCCTCATCTGAAAAAGTTAGGAGAAAACCTAGTTGGTCTTAATCTCCAACACTGCAAATTCATGAGCAGCAGCAAAATAGAGGAGCTTGTTGAAGACTTATGGAGATGTGATATCCTCTCCTAGACTTTGCAAGCTGAACTGTGTACAGACATTGGTCAAGATCGGGTTACAGTACAAATGGAAGCGCTTATATTATTAGATCAGATGCATAGCAGCATAGAGTGAAGCAGTTTTAACTATCCGTATTCGGGTTTGTGGTAGTTCAGTGGCTTGGTTGTTTTCCAGGGGAACATGGTGTCTTGTTTTACCCACCTCTTTTTGCAGGCTCACAGCTTGTTGAAACTCTTTTTGGTCCCTCCTTCTGGTGGTTTGGGGCCTACCTATTTTCACAGCCATGGCTTCTTCCTGAGAATCATACAGTTACTGGTCCTTTTTCCGGGTTTCTTACCTGTAGTTATGTCCCATCTTGTATTTGAGAAGTATCATGTGTTCGATGGTCAAGCATCTGTTGTTTAGTTGGTAATGTGCTTTAAATAAAGATCCCTCGCTCTCAGTTGGAGGGATCCTGTCTACTGTCTGTTCTGTTGTGTATTCAAGTGTCGTTGTATGGTGTAGATCTGTGTCTAGGAGTCTAGGAGTCTGTTTCGTGATTCGCTCGAGGCTTGTTCTGTAGGCGTGGGGTGCTGGGTTCATGGGCTTTGGCAGCGGCAGTGAAGGTTTTCTTTTGCTGCCGCAACAACCTAGGTTGTTTTTTCTCTCTCCCGGAGTCTAGATTTTTTTTAGGGTCAGCAGTACCTTATTTTCTTGTACCCTCCTTACGAATTTGTACCTTGAGCATGTACTTTTGCTGTTACCTTCAATAATGAAAATGTTTGTGTTGTGTTGTCTATATTGTGTTTCATTATGCCCTTACAATTGATTTTGTGGTTTTGTATCAATATCCTAGCACTAGCAACCGGATGGTAATTATTTTTTACTCTGTTCATTACTATTTACTCCTTTTGTCCCAAGAAAGAGTTATGAAACATGTGAGTTAAAAGTCTCGGGACCTTTACCTCGGCATGAACCATTGAAAGGATAATGTATGTAATATGGGTGCACTGCATAGAATCCATTTAAGGTCAGACACAATTGAATAGGTTGATTGTTGAATTTTTCATATTCAAAGTTTCAAACAAGAGGGGCTTTGACAGATGACGCTGATAACCTTCTATATACACTTGAATCTGTAAGTTGCATTTCTAGTTCAATGCACCAAATATGGGAGATTTGTACTAAAATACGCAGATTTGACAATCGGATCACTCTCTTACCTAAAGCTTTTCCTTCTCCTATGGTCAATGAGTGTAGTTGGTAGTGAATCATTTTGCTGGATTACCGTAATAAAAGAATCTGATTCTGTAATTGATTAATACAGAGCCCAATTGTTGCCATAATAACGCCAAAAATAATAAATAAAGAGTAAAATGTCCAAGTGGTCCCTTACATTTGGGCTTACTTGAATTTTACATCCCTCACATTTACATTTCAATATCGTAGTCCCAAACATTATGTTTTCACACTTTTTTAGTCCCATTTTACTGTTTCAACCACTTTTCCGTCCAACTCGATGTTGACCGACAGTTGACACACCGGAACCATGGGTATTTTTGTCTTTTCATATAATTTGAATTTCCATTAAAATTTAAATCAATAAAATATTATAAAAATTCACATTTATTATTTAATTGTACAAATATTATTTATTAATTAAAAATATTATTTTTAAAAAATTTTACTATTATGTTAATTATGTTGCACTTTTAACCCAGTCCACCGTAACTTTAAAAATTTACTGAGTCACAGTACATAATTCAAAATTCAAAATTCAAATTAAAAAAAAAATCAAAACCAATAAACCCCGAATTATTTCTAAAATTTTATTGTGCTATAGTAATTAATTCAAAATTTAAAGTTTTTTAAAAAATATGCAAGAAAATTGTGGAATGAAAAATCCGGATAAAAAAAAGTTTATTTAAGTTTTTGGCTTAGTTGAATTAAAGATATAATTTAAAATGTGGTTTTAATGAAAATTCAAAAAGTTGTTGAGATAGTATTTCAAATAAAATAATATTATTTTTACACCACCACCTCCACCGCCAGGACCACCTATTGCTGCTGCCGGCCAGCTGGATTCCGACGAGATTCCGACGACTTGGCCGGAATCCGACCAGGCGGCGGAGGCAGTGGGTTGTCCGGCGGTAGGCACCGGTGGTGGAGGTATGGAGGTAGTGGTGTAAAATAATATTCTTTTATTTATAATACTATCCAAACAACTTTTTAAATTTACACTCAAAATCATATTTTAAATCATATCTTCAATTCAAACCAAAAATTAAAATAAACTATTTTTTATCTGGATTTTCGCCCCCTCAATTTTCTTCCCTTTAGGCCCAGTGAATTTTTTACTTCGACCGAATAAAAAATTGGAAGGTGAAAATCTGGATAAGAAATTTAGTTTACTTTTCCTTTTGTTTTAAACAATAAATTGAATTTTGAATTAGTTATTATAGTGCGGTAGAATTTTAGAGTAATACAGGGTTAAAAATGAAATGTAATTAATATTTATTTTGTATCATAAATAGAAAAAATTAATTTTTTAAAATGATGTAAATTTTAAATTTTATAATAATATTTTAAATTAATAAAATAATATTTTAACATTTAAATAATTAAATGTTAATTTTATAATATTTTTAATGATTTAAATTTAAATAAAAGTTCATATTCTATGAAAAGACGAAAATACCCCTGATTTCGACATATCAACTGCTGGTCAAAATCGAGTTGGACGGAAAAGTGGCGAAATAGTGAAATGGGACCAAAAAAGTGCAAAAACATAATGTTTGGGACTATGATATTGAAATGTTAATGTGAGGGATATAAATTCAAATAAACCTAAATGTAAAGGACCATTGGACATTTTAGTCATAAATAAATAAGACAAATTCCGTGAAATTTCAAATCCTCAAGATTGATATCCATGTCGGGATGCTCCACATTGAATCTTCCTTGAAAACTCAAAATATGTTCCGTCAAACTTCACAACTGCTTATTGTTCTTTGATACACAATTGAGAATCACCACCAAATATGTGCATTGTGGCCGCATATACAGAGATACTCCTTGAACACATCAAAATCTCAGTCTTATTCAGGCCGTACTTTTTAGTATTCAGCGTTCAAGTCTTCTAGTTACAAATTTCAACGTTAAAAACGTTACATCTGACCCAAATGAACCATCAATTACGCTATACTTTACAAGCCTATATGATGGAGTATCATATGACCCCTATCCAGTTCAAAATCCACGCAATGCCTTCCCACTTCCCTGTATCTATATACTATGATGATGAACCACCATCTTGTTTCTGCTCTACTTTTTGAATTGCTTCATGCCCGCACTACCAGATCCGCAAGTCACTGTTTGAAGCAGAGCACTGTCGGATGCATTCTCTGGCTTCCAAATAATTTTATCAAGCTTCGTGCAAAAGTTCTTGTAGAACTGCATCAAATGCACCAGATCAGTAGATTAAACAATATCGGGAGTACACCTGGAAAGATCGAAGAGAACAACCTAACCTTGTGATATTCAAGGGTGTCCCCAGCAGCCTTCCTTACATCCACCATAAAAAGAGACGGTGCGACTTCAAAAACCTACAATTAATCGAAAATATTAAATGAATTGGGAGCCACAAAGATTATAACCAGAAACAAACCAATCAAATTCCATTCATAAGTTTAACTTTGATATCCATGTGATTCAACCTTCCCAAACAGTTGAATAGAAAAAGAATGGGGCTAAGAGAGCATGTTCAAAGTAAAAGGATGCCAATTAGAAATACCTCCAGTACCACAGCAAATTGACCAGCCCTTTTAGCTGAGACCCCTTCGAGTCTTGTCTGTATAGCACACCAAAGTAAAGATAAATAAGCAAGAAAACTAAACGTATGAAGTGGGCGATCACTGCTTGGTTGAACCCAAAAGGAACTTAAAAACTAGAGCTGGAATAGAACAACGCTAGAACTAAATAGTTGTAAGTGAAATTAGTAAGCAGGAGGATTCAGCTTATTTCAGTAAGTTCTTTTATACCATCCATGATACTTTGAGTAGAATACACTTCTCCACCTTTAGTGGAAACAAATTTAATTGCTGAAGTGAAAAAAAAAAAGAGGTTATACCGTGTAATTTCGTGCATGTACTTTCAAACCCATTGATTCTGCAGCTGTTGCTATTGTTGCATTTATGACACCAGCAGGTTTGCGAGAAACAAAACGAGTTTGCCTCTTGACATAATCCTGTATATGTAGGTCATTTCACTGATGTTAGATTACTACATATGAGGCAGGCCTGAAAAGTGATAGGCACTATAGCATTCCAAATCCACACAAGGTAATGCTAGAGAAGTTTGGAAGAGGTGTCAACAAGGGGAACAAAAACACAGCAAATTGTCTCCTAAAAAAGAGCAAGATAGCAGTATCATGCTTTAAGCTTGAAAAGGCAGAAAGGTGGGAGGGAATTTTTGTACATGATCTAACCACGACAGGCAGCACCACAACCCAAAAAAGAAGAGGCGGGGGGGTGTGGAAATAAATAAATACAGTAAAAAATCAGTCATGGAAAGAAAAGAATAATAAGTTAAAACTCCAGCAACACGCTAACTTGTTTTCTTTGTTACTTTTATAATAGGGAGGAAAACTTATTACGAGTTGGTGTGCAAGTGGCCTTCTTTATATAACATTGAGCTCATGAACATATGTTTCACCTGCTGCCGATCAAATAAGGCTGCTAGGTTTAACCCTTGAGAAAGAGTGATCATCTCAAAAGCATTCATCACGAGCGGTCCATTATCCATCTTTGCAGATTGTTCAGTAACATAGTTATCCTGCATAGACCAAGAAGTATATATCAAATTATGAGCTACCGACCAAATGATAAAACAACCATCCCATGTTCCAGGACCCACTTTCACTAATGAAACCTTTTCTTTTCTTTTGTTTTTTTGGTTGCTCCCACCGAGTTTTGAGGCCCCAGCCTCATAAAATTCTCCCACCCTTACCGACCCATCCCACCCAAAAAAGACCTTATCTTCTTAATTGTCCCTAAGAACCAACGTAAGGTATGAAACGCTAAATTGTTGTATTCAATAGATTTATAATTAGACCAACTAAAAGCCTAACCTCAATGTCATCAAAAACTGCATGAACATCATCCAAATTCACCACTTCATCTTCTGTGTGCTTTACAGGGACATAGTTTTTCCGGAACCAGGGATCTCTTCTAATTCCTTCTATCTTAATTCTCTGCATTGACATAAAACATAAAACATAAGGACAGGTCAAAACTGGAAGGCCGATGCCCAAAAATTACAAGCGACAATGATCAAGTGTATATTTGAATCAGCCCATTTTCCAGCTAATGCTAATCAATATACAAGCTTTAACATAATAAATGGGCAAAGAACTGCTGTAGAGCAAACAAACATATGCTGCCAATGACATAAAACAAAATTCAAAGCTTGTTACAGTTAACTATAAGGACTATCCATTTGTTTGTTCATGTCTTCTAAACAGAAAGCTTTGTTTACTCATCTACTCATTCAAATCCGATCATCGAGAACGTATGCAACGTCTCATTGCACATTCAGCATGAAGTTTTTCCTTTCCTAGAAAATGAATTATCCTGACGTGACCTGTACCACGTTGGTACAACAATCAGGTAGTCTCAATCAACAGTCTTCAAAAAGTAAACTGTTTCCATGAACTTTTAAGTTAACATTACTTATTTGCCTTAATAATAAAATGAAATTTGGAAAGCCACGTTCTTCTATTCAGATGCGTGATTACTTACAGCCCCACTGAAGAAAAATTTTATACTTCACCATTTCACATGTGTACAAATAATGTAACCGTGGTGCGCGTGAATTTCCAGTTTGGATTACCAGTTTATTTCAAACTGAGCTCTCTTTGCGGACACAATTTTTGTTTTTTCCTAATTCCAAGCGTTTGCACCATAATAATAGGCAGAACAGATAAATGATCTCAGCCGCGCCAAAAAATGATTTTCGACTATCTCCGACAGCGATTGTTAATATTTTTTTGCAACTACAGTATTAACAGAATCAACCACCGATCTCTGCCATTTCAGCAAATAGCATGCAAAGAAATGATCTTCACAGAGAAACAAAAATGTTTAACTCACAGTTTCCGGATTGGGATCCAGTAGTTTGCGTAGCAATGCTGTAACGCCCGGAGAAAACCAATACGGGCAGTGGAATTCTGCAGCAGTAATCTGCATATCCAATGACAGGCAGCAAGAAAAATGAGGTAAGATTAAAGGTCACATCTGGAGGACGAGAATCATGCCAAATGCTAATCATGCATATGTAACATTGCCCAATACGATAGTAGCAGCATACCTTCAGATACAAGGTAGGAAGATCTGTCTCATCAAAAGGGAGATATCCTGCCATCAACACAAATAGAATAACTCCACAAGACCAAACATCAGCAGCGGCACCGTCATATCCCCGGTTGCTTAGCACCTGGAAAAATGACATAATTTCTTGAAGATTACAACAAAATATCACAATCGACATAGACTAATAAATAGAAAGTGACTCTGAATGATGGATCACATAATTGTTTCAAACCAACTTCAATACAAGTAGAACGCGTGCCACGACTCTAAATGTTTTTTCTTTCAAGAAACACCGAAAGAAAAGTAATACATGTGCAGAGAGGAAGGGAAAATAAACATTTTCATGATCAAATGAGAATCAGCAACGTTCATTTCTGAATTGCAGGAAAAGAAAATCCAACATTCTCCATTTTCTTTGTTAACAAGGAAGACCCTAGAGAATGCAACTCTTTCAAGCACCGACAACTGAAGTATAATATCTAGTCATTACTGATATTAAGAGGAAAGTAGGAGCAGGGCCAATGTTTTTTTTTTCACAAAAGAATACAGATGCAAGTTAAAGGATTTCATGCAGTGGTTTATAGAAGACACAAAACATGTATTATACACTCAAAGTAGTTGATGAATGCCATACCTCCGGGGCCACATAGTTTGGAGTCCCACAAGTGGTGTGAAGAAGATCGACTCCCTGTCCACGAATCAAAGAACTATGAAACCATCACACACCTAGATAGGGTCCAAAAACAAAACGATTCAACCTAATACTTTGAGCGGTGACAATATTTACCTGTTGAGGTAATGCGCTCAGTCCAAAATCAGAAACCTTCAATTTTCCTTGGGAATCAAGGAGTAAATTTTCAGGCTAGTGATTGCAAGAACCATTTTAACAATTAGGATCAGAACTTCAAACAAAAGCAATATGTCTTCAGGTAGCAAACACAACTCCAACCTTTAAATCTCTGTGATAGACACCCTTACAATGACAGTGTGAAACAGCATCTATAAGTTGTTGAAAGTGACGTCTTGATTCACTTTCAGGAAGCCTTCCTTGGTGAACCTGTCCATATCGCAAAATTTAAAGATAATAGTAATAATTACAACACAAGCATTGTAGCCCCAGTCTATCACAATACACTCCAAAAGATGCTAATTTTAAATGAGAAAAAGTAGGAGTAGCAGAAAATAGCAGATTGTAGAGCTAGGCAAGCAGATGAACACCTCACAACTAACATATACTTCAAATCTTCATAAGCCACATCAGATCTTTAATTGAACGTTTCTCATCCAATATTCTAGATAGTGCTATTAGATACACTACCATTAACTTTCATTCGATATTCTAAATAGTGATATTAGATAACAGTAACATTATAATCATGCTAACATATTGAAGGGGAGCCTTGGTACTGTCGGAAGAGCGGTAGCCCGATGACTGAGGTCACCAGTTTGAACTGCAGAAACAGCTTCTTACTTCTGTAAGGTAAGGCTGCATAGTTATGCTTTCATGGTTTGACCCTTTCCCATACCCCGCATATGCAGGAGCTTTCATGAGGTGTGCTACCCTTTAGCATGTCAGTCATATAAGGTTAGCTGAGCTGAGTACATTATTCATGGTCTGACCCTTCCCCACTGTACGTGTGGGATTTGCTACACGCCAGACTATCCATTAACCAATCTAACATATCAGTAACTCAGAGCAGGTATAACTTACAATTTTATCAAAAAGTTCTCCTCCGGATACGAACTCGAGAACTATATATATCTTTGTCTTGCCAGCTAAAACCTACATTTAAAAGAAGAGTGAGCAACACAGAAAAATACCGAAAGCAAAGCAACTTTGATTGAGATAGATAATCAAAAATCAGAATGACAACCTCATGAAGCCGAACTATGTACGGATGTCTTACAATCTTCATTATGGATATCTCTCTTTTAATCTGGTAACCAGTAAGGCAACAGTGAGTAAGATCATCAAAAGGAAAACAGATTTTTTTATTAAGAAGATACTGTTATACACATCGATTAAACAGCAGTTTTGTCATCGGGGAGGGAAAAAAATATATATTTCGAATACCTGATCAACCATTTTGTGTTTGAGGATGGTGCTCTTGGCAAGGACTTTGATAGCCACACTGTCACCGGTGTCAGTGTTCTGTGCAAACTTAACCTTTGCAAAGGTTCCTTCTCCAATAGTTCTTCCGACCTCATATTTTCCCAACCTTTTAGTCCCAGCCCTTTTCATTCTGCCTCAATGCTCATTTCCCACTAAAAAACTACTTTCAGAAACTAGGTGGTATAAAACGTCCCCCAAACTGGAGCAATCTGCTAAGAATTGAAAACTAAGATTAATTTCATCACCCAAACAACATGGTCACAGTAAAAATTCCACAATTGACCAATTTAAAACCTGACCAAAAATCAAATTTCATCAATCTTGCCACACGCATATTCATAACTCACAAATCCTCGAGCGAACGTATCAGTGTAAATGATTCATTCTACTGTTATCAAACCTCTCGGAAACGGATTGGAAAAACCAAAATAAAATGAAACAAATTCTGTAAATCGCAAATTGGTTGGGATTTGCAATTCACAAGCTCAAATGAGAAACGGCAAACGATCAAAACAACAACAAATGATGGAGAGAGAAACAAAAACGAAAGAACTAAAAAGCTCCAAAAATAATCAAAGAAATTGAATGAGACCTAATTAAGAAAATTAAAGATTTGAGTGCATGCTCTGTGTGTGTGTGTGTGTGTGCGTGTGGGATGAATGCTTTAATACCTGGGAGCGAGAGAATGCGATATTATTCTTCTACCCTTTATCCAAAAAACTTCTTTCAGAAAACAAAGGACAAATAAAGGGAACGATCAAAAGGCCCGCCGCAGATCGTCGAGTCGACCCGCTGCCGCGGCCTTTCGTACGACTTCCAGCTGGATAGTTTACAGAGACACAGTATTGTTTTCTCCAAAAAAACACTCTATTGTTTTCTCTTTTGGAGTCTTTTTTTTACCGCTAAATCCAGCTCCAGCGTTGAGTTATTTATCCCTATTGATTTTGGTACGGATGGGGTTCAAATTCGTTATTTTTCGTAACTTTTACAAAATCTAGACTTTTTTTTAATCACTTTTTTTCCGAATATAAAATGCAAAATATAATTCTATTCCCAAATTATTTAATGGATAACATGAATTTTGTTGTTGTGTCATCACTCTTTTTAACGATCATATTATACATGGATTACACCCGCATAAAAGCTAATTTTGCTGCTGATTGTCTTATCCGCATGAACAAGATGAATGGGCGTTAGGAAACTAAGTCAGCCCTTGCGTCGGTCATTCAATGGCTACGTCATAATGTAATTAGGGTTTCTTACACCCGCAATATGACTATTTAATTAGACAATGGCCTCCTCTTTTGTTTAAGAATATAAAAAAAAAAATTTAAAAAACAGTTGTACATGGATTAATTCATTTCTTCAAAGGTACGGGAAATTCAACACATTAGTATCACACAATTATTAGAAAGCAAAAGATACTTTATATCAGAATGGCCGTAAATCGTCCAAATTCAAGATGTAATAGTTAACCATGTGTTCCACCATTCATGAAATGTCACAATATGGGTGTTCCCAAAGAAGGGTACAACTCTTTGATATATTTCCTGTTACTAATAAACCCTTTCAACGAATTCATTCTGCATTTGATAGGATATAAAGATAAAGGAAAGCCATTCAATAATTCATCTGTTGAATGTAATCATTCTAAGTGTTCAAACCTCATTATTATGAAAGAAGTATTACTTTTTTTTCTTCTTTTTTTTTTAACAAGGAAGGAAGCCAAAAATTTAAAATATCACTAGATTAAAATGTGGATGAAAATTCCCGACGAAGTCGTATTTTAGTTACATAAATAAGTTCAAACACAATAAGAAAAATTATTCCACATTTCTTCTCAGTTCTCAATATAACACAAGAAATAATCTGGAAATTGAATGACAGAATAATGAATAGGTTACTGTCTTTCCTGATAATATACCAGAATTAGATTACCACCAGAAGTTGTACGGGAAGTTTTACCCACATTTAAGTGGGGTCCACTAGAGTGGATTTAAAAAAAAAACAAAAGAGATAATCTCTATAAAACAATTTTTTTGATACCTTTATAATCTTAATCTCTAGTTGAACTAGATGCCAAGTTATAGTAAGACCAGTGAGTACGGACAATCGAGCCAAATTAGCAATAATTTTGACTTTAATGGCTAACATAATTTAAGTCACGCATTAATTAAACAACAAAATACAACTTTCCAGAGTATTTGTTGTTGGGCGACACATGTCTCCGCACATGAACCACCCCCTCGTACACACACAAGAATAATTAGTACACCTTTTGTTCCAAAAATTACTGTTCTCTTAAGTCTTATTCACGATTAGATTATTTGTCGGACTTATCAAAAGACATTTAGGCTTGCGGATTAAGTCATTAATTAAAAAGAGACGAAATAGTATGATAATAAACGGCTTTTGGCAAGGTTTGTAAACGGGGTCAAATGTAAGCCGACACATTACGAAAACAGCTGTTCAACGTTGAATAAATGGGTAATAATACTCAGAATAAAGAACATGTCACAATGACGTCGACTGGATCTGCTTGCTTGGTGGCTATGGCGGCTATTACTTCTTATCGGGAAATAGAAGGTCTCAATTAGTAATATGTATACGTATAGTGTGTTTTGGTCAACTGTTTCCAATAGAGTATGTAAATGTAATTGTGTGAATTGATCAATCACTTTGATCTTTAATTTCGATTTAAATAGTTATACTCTATTTATGCTAAAATTATTGTCCAGTTTAAGATGTTACTTAATACAATTGGAACTAAAAATGAAAACCCAAACTGGATAATAATTTTGGGACGGAAAGAGTATGATGGTTGATCAATTATATATTTGGAAGCAAGTTCTAGACGGGATGTGCAAGAAATGCAAATTGGGTTCTTCAAATGATGTACACCATCAATTTCGTAAGCTTAAAAGTTGATACTGCTTTTTGATTCATTTGAACCACGATCTTCTTTATTTCAGGTTCTATTTTTAATAAGAAAAATACTTGTGGATAGCATGGGAATACAACTCGCTATAATAAAAGAGAAAGGACCAACTTTGAAAAGTTTAATAAAGAATGACGTGAATATTCGAATGGGAATCTTTCTGCAACACCACAAATTAGCCCACGTCACTCATAGGCAACGAGCCAACGATTGCCAATTTGGCATCGCCTGCAAATACAATGGACCGCCTACTAATTTTGTTTTGATCTGTTTAGAATCCTCATCTTTCCAGGAGTTACAAAGTGCCCCCAAAGGGTTTTATCATTTCCGAATTCTCATGTCTTATACTTCATTCCTTCTAAAAATTAGTATCCTCAAAACTATCAATTTAAAAAGATTAATTCAACTATTGCAATTTAAAAATACTGTTATTGAATGAGCATGATCGAATTTACTCCGGCAGGCAATTTATACCATCAATAATACGGTTATCATTTGCGGATACGTACATAGCAACTTAACAAGTAACAACCCCTCCCCCATTATTTCCGTTTACAAATTAATTTTTTCAGGAGTTAAGATTAATTTTTTTTTTAATAATGATTTGTGTAAAGGAATTTTACAAGAAATTTTAGCAGGGAATAAATCATAACCGTTTATATTTATACATTTCTTTTATTTTAGGGGTTTGTGTATTTAAGTATTAGTAGACAGTTAAGATTCATCTAACTCATTCCTTATTAATTTTCTTGTTAAATTATTCATGTATGTATCACCAATTATTTTTTTAATTTTTTATTTTTTTTTAATTTTTTTTTTTTTGCAATTTTTGTCTCATCTTATGAACACAATAAAACGTGCGGATGGTTGTTAACTTGGGCTTTCATTATCTACACTTTTTCTCTGGTGGCACATTTAGGCTTTTATAATAGTTTTTCTCAGAAGGGGATACAGCCCATTATTTTCAATGGATAGGAAGAAGTGAAACTGAAGTTTTTGAGTTTTACGTGGATATTGGGCATTTGCTCCAAAGTCCAAAAGTTATCACTCTCAGTTGAGAAGAAAAATAAAGAAAAAAAAAAGAAAAAAAGAAAGATTACTACATTACTAGATTTTAGTAGGATGAATCGTTATATTGCACAACATATATATGCATGCATGCATGAAAAGATTGTCATACGACATAATTAGGTAACTAATATAGTCAAATTCAAGATTCAATGAAAATTCGATTTTGTGAAGAAAAAGCATGCATGTATGGTCTGTAACCCTAAATTGTGAGTAGCCTCTAAATTTATTTGTCCCTTTCCAACATTATTCCCTTCATGTTATTTTAATAGTCTAATATCGTTCATTAAAATTTGTAGGATTTTTATTAACCTTGAACATTTATTTAATTTTTTTCACAGCAATGAACCTTTGTTTATTCCTAAAGTAACAAGCAATTGTTCAAGTACCTAAACAATCCATAAGTTGTGTGCTGATCAGTTTTAAGATAATAATACTTACTGTGTCAATTTCGTCTCGCAACTTGGCTTGCATGCGTTGTGAAATGTGAAATGACCTCAATCATGATATCATCATAAGCCAAATAATTAAAAGCCATATATTCCTTCTGTCTCATAATTATTGTCCACATTGGATTTTCATTTCTAATTCAAATTATACTAAAAGTGAAATCTCAAACTGGACAATAATTGTCGGACAGAGGGAGTAACAAATTTGAACAACTCGGAGGGTTTCAACTTTCCATTAATCAGAAATACAAATCTTACACACAAGTCTCTCACTTTTGCACAGATTTACTACTCATTCCGTTAGTAATTAGTCAATTTAATTTGTTACAATGAAACAGGATTAAAATGATTCGGAGCATGATACTGTTCTAATCTTTGGATGCTATTGTGTAGTCGTATATGGTTCATGAAACTGCAGCTTCTTCCATCTGAATATGTGACTCACCAGCAAGGTCAAATTTCATTCACAAGCACAATTTTGGTTATCGGAAAAACTTGATCAAATCTCCATTTCCATTTTTTGGTGGTCCAACCAGAATTCTCCTCAGTTGAACTTGTTCTCCATTTCCATCTTGTTTATTTATGAAAAATTGTAATACATTCACGATATTTTGAGTGCAATTATACTTTTTCCTAGGGTGATGTGAAATGAACAAATCACACTCTCACGTCCTATCAAGTCCTGTTATTCCAAACGATACGGCAAGAGTCATAATATCTCAGAAATGTAATTAAGAGGTTAGTCTAATTAAAATATTATGTGTCTAATAAAACATACTATCTTTGTCATAAAAAAAAATCATATTAAGTTTAGAACTTATATGTTATTCCTTCCGTCCCACAAAAATAGTCCAAATTAAGTTTTGAGTTTTATATTGTTTTTAGTACAAATTTAAAAAATCAATATGGACTATTTTTGTGCGACGGAGTTAGTAGTTAATATGAGTTACAATAATAATCTCTAATATGAGACAAATGTCTCTTATTTTTCAAGTTTAATGGAATTTTGACAGAATCCCACTGTATCGTCACTGATTTGCGAATCATGTCGCGCTGAAATTGCCATTTTCTTCCAATTAGTAAGAGAGCGGACGAGAGATTTTGAGAAGGGCCCTCAAGAATCCCGACTGAGGAATAGCAAGACAGCCGCCCACAATATATATCTATGATCCCTATCAGGATTCAAGGCCGTTCCACCCTTAATTAATTAGCCCCCAGAGAACAAGTACTAGTGTACTAGCTACATGATAAATCCAAAAACACAAAATACAGCCAAAACCAATATTGATTTGAAGGGCAGTTTTGGGCACGCCTGCAAGGGGGAGTTGAAATTGTTGAATGAAAACGAAGCTTTGCAATTTCTCACCGTTGAACCAAAGCAAACCTGGGTTCCACATATATATATATATATATTTGATTTGATGGTGACAATTATTGGTATATAGTAAAAGATATCCCTATTCCATAACATCAATTATTTTGGTTGTACATATAACATGCTTCACTCCATCCCCTATGAGCCCACAGATAAGAGGGAAAAACAAATCCAACCACTTATAAGCCAGAGTACTGGTATTGATCCCCACTAGCCACTTTTTATGTCCAAATTTATATGGAAAGGTTGTTTTCGAATCCGGGTTTTATTTTAGGGTTGAATATAAAGACAACTAAATGGCCATATTTATAAAGGTCTGCTCTAAGTGTCATTTCATGTAGGAAATTATAAACATGAAGATTGAAGAACCTCTTCGAAATCAGACTATACTTCAAAACATAATTAATGAGTTACATGGGTTACGTTACAAACTCGTGTTTGTTTGTACTTCTGTTTAGCGCAAACTGGTGAGATAGTACATAGTCTAAAGGTTTTTTTTTTTTTTTTTTTTTGAAAAGCATAGTCTAAATGTAATTGGGTCTACACTTTGAAATCACATTTTCAATTATTGAAAATTGTGCCAAATGAAACATGCATTAGCTAGGGGTTGCAAATGTCAATAAAAACAAATTATAAGAACTCAAAAAATATGGAAATGAAAACCCTAGTCTCTTGTCTCACCTCAGTAGGAAGCTCCCAACCCACGGGGGAATAATCAATAATGTAGCTTGCTTCCAGGTTTGCACCCATGGTCACGTGACCCAACGAATTAGGACCGTAAACGTAGTTTTTGGGGTAGAGTCAAGACGCTTTAGTGTAAGGTCCACAGCCCCCACCACCTGATCACTTTTGTTATCTTGAGAGACTTTTCTGGGGCCCCCGTCGTGAAAATGATTGAGAAAGTTGACGCCAACTCCCCGCGCCGGCGCTGTTATTTTCCGACTTAATTTCAGTTTTCTGTTTAGTGTTTACAGCCGAAACGAAACCATATGCATGGTTTGCTGCTGGCTATTAGGTAAACCATATAATGTTGGTTGTGGATTGTAACAATTTCAGACGTATTATCACTTTCGGACTACATTATTAGTTGGTAGTGGCTATTATCAATCTGCTAGCGCTAAAACTGTTAATGTAATACGATATACTCCCTCCGTCCCATAATTATTGTCCTGTTTAGCTAAGATGAAAAAATTTATTTTTGGTCAAACTTAACTATATTTTAGTCAAAATTTCCGGATATACCCCTGTCGGATATACCCAAATCCAAGTCTATTTTTTCATCCTCTTCAAATAATTAGCCGGCAAATGCTGATGTTCTTTATCAATCAAGAGGTCCATACTCCTCACCATTTGAACAGAAGGGATATATGATAACAAAAAGTTCAACACTTCCAAGCAGATTTCGGGAAAGTGGGAAAACCGTCACCGGACCACCCCAGGCGAAATCCACCGGCGAATGTCCCAAGTGCCTCCAGTCGGCTAAATCCATTGATCTTAGCTCCGGCCGTATCCCTTTGTTGTAATTCAGGACCCTTCGACGAACTCTTCATCCGGGTCATCGTCGAGGTAATTAACAGAGTTCAACGGGAAATCAACTTCAGTCCGGATGACTAGCAGCTTTTTACCTGCTTCATAGTGGAGCTCCAGACGGTTATCGTCGGAGGATGATGATCGGCGTCGGAGATTTCCGGCGAAGTAGTAGTACCGTACAAGGGCGGCGGAAAGGGCATAAGTGATGACTTGGAATGGGGTGGAACTGGGTTTGTTTCCGGTCACTAGACTAAAGGGCAAATTAAAGGGCAAATGTGTAAAATATTCCATAAAAAGTCAAATTGGACAATAATTTTGGGACAAAATTTTTTAGCCAAAGTGGACAATAAATTATGGGACGGAGGGAGTACTTAGTGTTACTCACCGCATAAGTTATGCAGCTTGCTTTTGTACTAAAAATTAATGTGTTGATTTCCGAAAATTTCTCATTGGCAATACTGAAAAAAAAAACTAAATATTGGTTAACCTAGCATAATGTACATACAGAGTCTGTTACCACCACACATAGACGTGACCAACTGATGCGAGGAACTTTAGAAGTTACTTACAAATGATATTGGAAAATAGAGAAAAAAAATATTTGTTAAGACGGATTAAATTTCTTTTTTTTGAACAAAAGAAATTTAATCGACTCGAATTTGAATTTAACGAATAATAATTTCGGACACTTAATGTCTAATAGAGAGAGATAAAGAATTAATAGAGTGGTTCGCTTGGCACTGTCGTCCTTTTTGTGATTATTTACTTGGTGCATAGTACTACATTCACATTTATTATATTATTATCTATAGTTCCATGCCGCAACATTTGCATTAACCCATGTAAAATAAAAAACATTATCATTTTTGCTAAGTGCGCGGGTGATATTTATCTCAGCACAATAAGATTAGGACAGTCAAGTCAAACGTTAATTATCGTCAAATTGTTACCCTATGGCTAAACTCCTATAAAGTCCCAATGAATCCCCTCTTCCCTCATATCTCTACAATTCATCTTTCATCTTAATCAGGAGGGGAAAAAAAAAAAAAAACTCCTTCATAACATTGAATCAACCTATAAAAGACCAGCGCAAATACATTTTACATAGTTTTTTTCTTCCCATCATCATAGAACTCTATTGTCAATCTTCTGTTTAATTAGGATTTTATTAAGAGAGGCAGAATAATGCTACTGCGAAGCTCCTCAACCCCATTAATGAACTCATCAAGCCTTACGCACTGTAAGGATCAATACTCATCATCATCATCATCATCATCGACCCCGGAGCTACCCAACTCAAGATCTTCATCATCATCATTTGATGTCTCTAAGAAGAAGAAGCTGATAAGAACCCTTTCTGAAAACGACCTCAAAGACCTTAGAAATTCACCAACCACACCCACTAAGTCAAAATGCATGGCTCCGGCGCCGGCGCCGACGATGCATGGCTTGATATTGTCACCAGTTACAGTGAATGAAGAAGACGAAGTGGGGCCGTCTACTGATGACGAGCTGTTAACGTTGTCTACCTACTCAAAAGGGTTGGAGTTAGTAGTGGCAGCGAATGATGATGATCAGGCCGGGAGTCTGCCGGAGGTTCTAGTGGTTGGCGGCGGAAATGGAACCGGCGGAGGCGGAAGGATTTGTCACGGCGGAGGAGGTGGTGGCGATGGTGGCGGAGACGATGGTAACGACGGTTCGGATTATTGGGATCCGTACCATGATAACAACAACAACAGTACGGATGTGTACTACCAAAAGATGATCGAAGCCAATCCAACCAATTCGCTGCTCCTCAGCAACTACGCCAGATACTTGAAAGAGGTGCTTATTAATTTCTCCCTCGTTCCCGAATCGATAATACAGCTTGCATTTTCAACTTTAGTACAATTTGAACTAAAAATGAAAATTCAAACTGGATAATCACTTTCGTACGGGAGAGAGTATTATCTATTCGTTTCTTGTTGAAATGCGCTGAAGTGTTAAAACGAAAAGTATTTTTATTAGTCCTGCATTAAAATTTACAAGTCACATTGACTAACATATACAGCTACTTTGATTATCAATTAGTTTTGAAGTGGAATCGCATGAATAAGCATGGACAACACAACAGCTCTAAATAGATCTTTCTGATTATTATGATGTAAATTGTTTTAGACATGATTGAGCAAATTGACAAAACTGCATAGGTTCATATGTAAAGTTAAGTTTTGATATGGTGATTAATTTGATTTGAGTAGGTCCGAGCAGATTACGACAAAGCCGAAGAGTATTGTGGAAGAGCGATATTGGCTGATCCTGGGGAAGCAAACGTGCTATCATTATACGCCGATTTGATATGGCTTACCTACAAAGACGCCTCTCGTGCTCAAAGTTACTTTGATCGAGCACTCAGAGCTGCCCCTAAAGACTGGTAATTACTACACATTTTCATTCACTAACACCATTTCATGTCCATTTTATGTCAAGTTGTTTCTGTAAATCGAGTTCTTAATTAGGTCGGAAATTACTGTAATTGACCTTGGGTTTGGTTGTTACTGTTTTCTTTTGGTCATTTGCGCCATATCATTTCATGAGCTGGGTTGATAATATTTTACTTAAAAAGTATATATCATTAGCTGTATTGCAAATCGCGTGATACACTTGATTGTTGTGCCGATTTATATGACGGCACTAATCTTAAAATGATTGATGATTGTGGGGGTGATTTGCAGTTACGTCATGGCTTCATATGCTCGCTTTCTCTGGGATGCTGATGATTCCTGAAGTGATGAAGTCAATTGGATCTAAAAATCTCCCCACAAAAAAACACAGAGCAATTTGGAGTTTGGTTGGACTCAATGAAACTGGTCTACCAACCACCACCACAACTTGCGCCGTTGGCCGACTTCTACTACTTGTACATAGGACAAATAATGTGTATATAGAACATAACCGCAACAAGAACCCTTTAACCTTTTGACTTAAGGTAAACTCATGTATGATAGATTTACTAATTCATATATTGGCATTAAAAGAGAAGTACATCCATAATTGTTTGAAAGCTTGAGAATGCAACAGCATGGTGACTTACAGAAATTTCCAGTAACTGCAATCTTTATAAATTATAAGGGCAATCGCTGATGATAAAGGGTTTCCACAACCAATACACAGATATGATCACAGTAATGAAAATTTAGGCAATAAAATTGTGGAATGGAACTATTCAAAATGGCTCCTAAAGCAAATACTTGGTACTAAAAGAACTCTAGTACGTCATGAGACCTGCACACATCTCGCCTCCTTCAGAAACACTGAAAAATTAACCCACTGTAAATTTGAAATTGATAAATTTACTACTAGCTAGACATTATAGAAGCGAAGATTAATGCTGCAAAGGGAAAGTTTGACGAGCTCTGAATAAAACAAAGTTGATTATGCAAGATCAAGATTGAACAGTACAGCTACAGCTTTGTGGTACGATTGAGCAGAGTTGATGCAAGACCAACTCTCCACCATGGAGTCACGGATGCTGGAGTATTCCTGGATATAAGAGAAGGCAGACCAGCTTGAATGTTGCTTGCAAGTGCATTCTCTGGCTTGCAACTTGTCTCGCTGGATCTGTGGAGGATACACATTAAGAAATTCAGAACTCTGGCACCAACATGTCCAAAAGCAATCTAATCCTATCCTCAGAATAAAATGCAGAAAATTTTGGTGCGTGCAAAACCAAAGCATAAGAAAGGGGACCGATCATAGGGTCTGCACTCACCAAACTCCTCCAAGAGTTACTCCTGGATGTGCTCATTTAGTATTTTAAACTTAATCATGCCAAAATAACAATTCTACCCTGATTCCATGATATCCTTTCACACACACTGTTTCATTTCTAACCCATCCAAGTTCTAGTTAGGAAGTACTTAACAATATCATGTGAGTGGAGTGTTTTAAGGTTTGGAGAAGATATAACCATCCCAAAAATAACTAACTTCAAGGGATTAAATCTTTGGGTGTCTGCAATCTATATCTGAAGCACCATTATGAACTTATCCTGCATGTTATCGACGTTATCCTGCGAACTTTCTAAATAGTGTCCTAGTCCACTATCACAAATTTGTTTAGGCTAACATTTGGATTTATACAAATGGCATAACATGATGAACAACTGAGCATTCTTTAAATTGAGGCCATTAGAAAGTACACATACCAATAAAACACATTAATTGTGGAAAAAGAAAAGAAGAAAATCAGGGGTTTTGAAACACATACGTGCGAGGTGCAAGTCCTTCGTATGCAAAGGTTGACAACCCCTGTCGTTGCTTGTGCTTAGGATTGACAGAGCATCTCACATAAACTCTGCCCCGGCGTTTAAATATTTGACAGAACTCACACATTTTCTTAACTGACGATCTTACCTTCATACCTGCTCAAATTGAAGCAAAAAACTGGAAAAAGAAACCCATGAGCTTAATGAAGTGAACCAACAAACATGAAATACTTCCCAGTTCCCACAATTAGTTATACCACCAGAAACAAGCAACAAGCTTTACAGGAGGGAGCCAAAACAACCTTTCAACAGAAAAAGACAATGTTTAAAGCAGGACGGGCATGATCACATTTGAAAATACAACCAGATAAATAAACAGTCTACTTCAATGCCTAGAATAATGGCAGCTAATATCATGATATCATTCAGCTTAAATCCAACCATTGAACATATCCACAAAACCATTTACTACACGCATTAAGCAATCGCCTCAAAGTTACATCCCCAAATAGATCCAGCATATGACCTTCACAACATCTAAGATTGTGTTAAGTTTGATAATGTAAAAAGTTCCATCGAACTTGGGACTTTATGATCCCGACTCAACATACTGCAGATCCTTCTATCTCATGGTTACCTTGCATTTGTCAAGGAGATCATTTTTGCGGCAAATTCTTTAAAACCCATAACAGCAAACACTCATTCAAAATGGACTGGGAGAACTAGTTTTTCTGGCTATACTGAGCAAGATAACATCTTTTTGACAAAACCTCGTTCATGCTGAACTAGTTTTGCTTAACACTCAGGTATGATGCCGGCAAGACATCACATGACAACTACCCTCACTCGTTTAAAACTGATATTTAAGTTCAATATACCTTTATAATTCTTCTAGAAACAAAAATCATAAACCTCAGACATAAAAAAAACCCTCTGAACCTTGAGAAGCTACTCATTCAAAAGGAAGAATTTACATGTCGATAGCGGCAATCAGATATTTCCGATAAAACCTAAAAATTCTAAAACCTTGCAACAAACTAGAAGATAATTTCAGGGCAACCAATCAACTCGAACATTACTCTTAACTCATCGCTCGGAAGTGGTATAACAAAAGAAAATCAAAAACCCAAATCTTCAGTGGACTGAGTCGATACCTGAATTGACACAAGAAGGCTGTTCCCGGTGATTTTCGCCGGTTCAACTTGTCCGGTGGCTGAAATGATATCGAGAATCCGCAGCGTCAAATGCTCCGTGAGGATATAAACTGGGCTCGGTTCCTAATAAACCCAAAAATGCTTCGAAATGCCCGGGCTAAAATACTGTCAAGCCCAATATCTGGTCTGTGCATATTTGACCTTATTTTGGCCCGCTTCAAAGCCTGCTGGATTAAATTAATTTTGTTTATTCCTCCCATCCTTCTAATAATTTTTTTCGAGAAAAAAAAATAATTATAGAAGAATATAGAATCTTTCATATTGTCAAACTTGATTTTTTTTTATTAAGAAAATAATAATAACAAAAAAACATTGCTTAAAGGATAGATAAAGTTGGAGAATAAAGTTCAAAGCATCTTTGTGGTGGTGGTTTTTATTTATCTAAGTTTCCTTCAGTACTTTTTCTTTCCAATACAGTCTCCCTTTTAGCTTGTTGAAATTAATTTGATACCTCTGAAGTCTGAACCTAATACTCCTCCTCCTAGTATTTGATATAAGATATTTTGATTTATTATTAGTTTTACTTAATCTACATTTTTAATTGACGAGTGTTAATTTTATATCGTATCAGATAAAATGACATACATTTCCTCGAGAAAATATTTATCTTATGGCGCCCAACAACATCAAACTGAAAATATGTTACATTGGGTGTCTGTTTTTACTCAAGGCCGTATAGATGAACATCGCTTCACTAATGTGTAAATGTAACATGATTCAAAGGCAGTTGCATTAGTTTTTTTGTTCAGGCCAAGAGCAAGACCATGTTCTCACTAATGCTAAGCTACTTAAGTGAGGGACCGAATTCAAAAGATTGCCAGAAAACAAAGGTAGAGAGAATCTGATAAAGTAGGGATGGCATGATGTATAATTTTTAGAGAAAAAAAAAGTTGATCATTGTCATCTTCGATATGGCATCTCGAACATCTTTACTGAAAAAGCCTATCAAATGGGAATATAAAACACATCATCGCCTCGTATAGTTCACTAATCTGTGAATATGTAAAAGCTGACCAAAACCAAGTCATGCGTTAAACAAAAGCTAGATGTGTTTTAAGCCTTATTCTGTCACTGCAGAATAGCAGTTACCAACTTAATAGTACTAAATTAATCACGTCTAATTGCCTTAAAAGTTTTTTCATGATTGCCAAATTAACCACAGATACAGTTACCAAAAGTGCACAGTAAAAAACTTGGTAAAGCATGGAGAATTTTGTGCTGTCAAAGTGCAGCCGCCAACTCCAAAAAGCCATGCACCATATCAGAGTACTCTCTTTACTCAATTGTGTTATCTTCCACCTCCAGTAGAGCCTGCTTTCAATCAGAAAGCTGTATTTCGTCGAAAATAGTGGGAAAAAAAATAGTCTCAAAAGTTTAACTTATTAGTTGTTCCATATTGCTGCTAAGTGCAACAAGCTACTATATCAGAAAAGTACACGCCTGCGAATCGTTGTCATGAGTGCTCAAGCTCCTTCATCGCAGCCAGATGATTACAAAATCAAGGATACGAACCCCCAGCTTGGGGAACGATGGCCTCATGGAGGTGTTCGTGGTGGCGGAGGATGGATTAGCAGCGACAGAGTCCCGAGCACGTATGATCTTGTCGAACAGATGCATTATCTTTATGTTCGAGTCGTTAAGGCCAAGGACTTGCCACCAAATCCCGTGACCGGAAGCTGTGATCCATATGTGGAGGTGAAACTCGGGAACTATAAAGGAAAGACACAGCGTTTTGAGAAGAAAACAAATCCTGAATGGCACCAAGTGTTTGCATTCTCCAAAGAGAAGATCCAGTCTTCAGTTCTCGAAGTTTTTGTCAGAGACCGGGAGATGGTGGCCAGAGATGATTATATCGGGAGGGTGCTCTTTGATATGAATGAGGTACCAACTAGAGTTCCACCAGACAGCCCACTGGCACCTCAGTGGTATAGACTCGAAGACCGCCAAGGCAATAGCAAGATCAGGGGGGAGATTATGCTTGCAGTGTGGATGGGAACACAAGCTGATGAAGCTTTTCCAGAATCCTGGCATGCGGATGCAGCTACAGTTCAAGGGGAAGGTGTTTACAGTGTAAGATCAAAGGTTTATGTTTCACCTAAATTGTGGTACTTAAGAGTCAATATCATTGAAGCTCAAGATGTAGAATCTCAGGACAAGAGTCAGCTACCCCAGGTAATTGTAAAGGCTCAAGTAGGGAACCAGGTACTGAAGACTAAATTGTGCCCAAACAGAACAACTAATCCATTCTGGAATGAAGACCTGATCTTTGTAGCTGCCGAGCCGTTTGAAGAACAGTTGGTGCTCACAGTCGAAAACAAGATAAGCTCATCTAAAGATGAGGTTGTTGGCAGGAAAAACTTGCCATTGAACATCTTTGAAAGGAGGTTAGATCACCGACCTGTTCACTCTAGCTGGTTCAACCTTGAAAAGTTCGGGTTTGGAGTCCTGGAGGCTGATAAGAGACATGAGCTCAAATTTTCCACCCGTATCCATATCCGAGCTTGTCTTGAGGGAGGTTACCATGTGCTGGATGAATCCACCATGTATATCAGTGACCAACGTCCAACAGCTCGCCAGCTGTGGAAGCAGCCAATTGGAATCCTTGAAGTCGGCATCTTAAGTGCCCAAGGGCTGCAAAAAATGAAAACAAGGGAGGGACGTGGAACCACAGATGCATATTGTGTGGCCAAATATGGACAGAAGTGGGTGAGAACCCGAACAGTCCTTGAAAGCTTTAGTCCTAAATGGAATGAACAATACACCTGGGAAGTTTATGACCCTTGTACAGTTATAACATTGGGAGTCTTTGATAATTGCCACTTGGGAGGCGATGAAAAACCCACTGGGAGGGACTCCAGAATAGGAAAGGTCAGAATCAGGTTATCAACTCTAGAAACAGACAGGATTTACACACATTCTTATCCACTTCTAGTTCTGCAACCATCAGGGGTGAAGAAGATGGGAGAACTTCAAATTGCCTTTCGCTTTACTTGTTTATCTCTCGCACACATGATTTACCTTTATGGTCGTCCTCTACTGCCAAAAATGCATTATCTGCATCCTTTCACGGTAAGTCAAGTAGACAATTTAAGGTATCAAGCTATGAACATCGTAGCATCCAGGCTGGGACGAGCTGAGCCTCCACTAAGGAAAGAGGTTGTGGAGTACATGCTGGATGTGGATTCACATATGTGGAGCATGAGAAGAAGCAAAGCAAACTTCTTCAGAATAGTTACCCTCTTCACAGGCGTAGTCACTATGAGTAAATGGCTCGGTGATGTTTGCCACTGGAAAAACCCGGTGACTTCCATTCTAGTCCATATTCTGTTTTGCATATTAATATGCTACCCAGAACTCATCCTCCCGACCATTTTCCTCTACATGTTCCTAATCGGCATATGGAATTACCGATACAGACCAAGGCATCCGCCTCATATGGACACTAAACTTTCATGGGCAGAAGCAGTTCATCCTGATGAAATGGATGAAGAGTTTGACACATTCCCCACATCCAAGCCAATAGATGTTCTTCGAATGAGGTATGACAGACTTCGCAGCGTAGCAGGACGAATCCAGACAGTTGTAGGGGACATGGCAACCCAGGGAGAGAGATTTCATGCCCTGCTCAGCTGGAGAGATCCAAGAGCAACGAGTCTCTTCGTAGTTTTCTGCCTCTGCGTTGCAGTAATTCTATACATTACACCTTTCCAGTTAGTGGCTGTGTTAACAGGTTTCTACTTGTTGCGTCACCCAAGATTCAGGAGCAAGATGCCTTCAGTTCCCAGCAATTTCTTCAAAAGATTGCCATCCAGAGCCGATAGCATGCTCTAGTTTTTCTCTACTTTACTTCCCTTCTTTACATTCAAATGCTAGCCATGTAATTTGAACTGATTTCTGCTAATATATACATTCATACTCTTAAGTTTGATACTTACAATCCTAAAAGGTATAGCCGAAGCTGCCGAACAGGGCATGATAGCCATAATAAAGGCAAAAGATTCAACTATCAAATTCAAATTCTGAAGCTTTTTCCTTAGGAGGAAAAAGAATTCTTATCAATGACGCAAGTTTGTAAGTGGGAAGCTCAGTTCCAGCTTTGGTTAATTAACATTAATAAACTGGAATCAAGGTTGCATGCATTAGTTTCATTTCAGCGGAAACTGGAGTAAATGGCACTCTTTCAGTCACTGGAATAAAAGAAGCCGGGAAGTTTACAGTTTCAGTGGACTGAATACCTTAATGCACATAATAAAGAGAATATGATACTTGATGAAGTAAGAGGTGTTCACGGAGAAATGTGATTTCTTCATGCAATTTCATAGTTCGCAATTAAGGGTCCATGGAAACCCTTGCAGGGTAGAAAATACATGGATCTGATGTTATACAGTGCACAAAACAAAGAAACAAGCAAAAGACCAACAACGTCATCCAGTAAAATTAAGGAGTTTCATCAGGGAATCAGTGGTATCTACATTCTCTAAAAACATCTCCATCAGCAGAAGATGTTTCAAAATCTCTGACATATTTAAATTACCGCTAAATAAGTACTTCACCCCAACAGTATAAGAATACTGAATTTTTTGATTGTCATTCATTGACACGCACCTAATCATCCTTAATTCTCCGAAGCATTTTGGAAGCCCAGCGCCGTACGCGTTTCTTCAAGGTGTAGCCAACAATTATTCCAGCAACAAAACAGACAGCACTTATCTTTGAGCAGGTCCAAATAGTCACTGTGTTTCTGAATTCCAAAAAAAGTAAACAGGTCACCATATTAACTTGAGAACAATTATGCAGCAGCAGCAACAGTATAATTATTGATGCAAAAAACAAAATTTAAATATTTCCAATCAAGCGGACAAACTACAGCACTTCAGCATTATTGCAAATGTACACATGCCTAACCCATGGACAATACTGTCTTAAAAAAACATGAAGCAGCACACAAGAAAAGTATCGAGCTTATTCAGGTGAATCAGATCCCTAGAATCCAAAAAAAACTGAACTTTTGCGAATTTCAGCAGGGACAGCTGATGAAATTTCAGGAGGGACATGCGAGAACTCAAATTTCAATTCAACTTCCACATAGTGCCTACTTTTCTATCAAATTATGACGAGGGCAGTTCATTAAATGACAAACTTGTTGAACATGTAATATAGGAATAGAAAATTTGGAGTGAAATCGAAGATCAAATTATACAAATAGAAGTGAAGGGAGCTACATAAGCAAAATGTTGGCTTTATCAGAATCACTGGAGCCACTCTATTTCCATCATTTAAAGTTGTAGTTTAGTTACATCATCATCTGTTGCAACTCAGAGAGAAATCTAAGTTAAGGGAACATTTGTTTCAACCAAAGCAATGTAATTGCTCCCCTTCCTATGCAAGGTTTGACCAATTATACAATCTTATCCTTGTAAGCAATAAACATACAACATGATTAGATGATCCCCATTTTCAATGTTCCAATTTAGCTGTAATCCTAGCCAGATACGTTAGGCATCCACACGACACTGTTTTCCCACTTTCAAAATTATAGTACATAAAAAAAAGAACAGCATAACTACTACCCAAATCCAATTCCAGTATTCCACCATAATAATAGTCCAATCAGAGAGCAATACGTCGAGAAAGAAACAACTTTAATCATTTAAAAAGACAAAATTAACAAGGTTTAGCTGTGGTTAAGCAAAAAAAGAAGTACCGGGACTCTCTGGCGAGTAAGAATGGAGGCGGCGGTGGCGGCGGCGGCGTCGAGATGGAAGTGGAGGAAGCGGAAGAAGAGTCCGTCGTGAAATTCTTGAGGGAGGCTTTGGCTTTCTCAAAGGTGGAAGCAATCGAGCTAACGGTGCTGCTGACGGTTGGGTCTTGAGACATCGACATGGCTTTACGAACTCCGTTCTGCAATTCCTCCATTACCGATTTTTGGTGATTCTGCTAATTCTGCTAATCTTCTTCCCCAAAACTCTGCTCTCAATATTTGAGGGTTTAAGACATCGCCCAATTTGACTTGCTAATCAAGGTTTTAGTCCCTTTTTCCCCCTTTTTACTTTAAATTTTGTTCCCTTTTTTACTTTAAATTTTTTAAAAAAGTTGTAGTAAATTTTAACATTTTTTATTTTCAAAGTAATTTCACCCCTGCAATTTTTTATTTTTTTTTTGCATACAGTTAAAATTTTGAATTAAATGAAATGCAGCAAAATTTAAAAAGGAATTGGGGAACTTGTAAAGGTAGGGCTAAGAAGACAAATGATCAAAACTTCTCAATAAAAAAAAATGTATCATCAAATTATTTGACAAATTTTACCATAGAGAGTTTAAAATCATAATTATTCACTTTTTTTTTCCTTCTAATTAACGACAATTTTTTTTTGTAATATCTCCGGTCTTTATTATAATGCGTCTTTTATTTATCCTAAATTTCATTTTGTGTGTTATTCAAATCGAAATAAAACCTTAAACATATTTTTATCACAATTTGAGAGAATACAATAAATGTAAAAATACATTTTACTGTTTTTATTTTCAATTAGAATAACATATTAGATGGAGTTTAAGTTACTAATTTCGTCTTTTAAGTATAAAACGTTAATGCTACCTAAGTAGTTCTCGACATTTACTTCCAATTTTCAAGGGATTATGTAAATTAGTGTTATGTTATACTCTCTCCTTCCGGTCCTTAATAAGATATTTTTATTTTATCTTAAATTTCACATAGTATGTTTTTTAATTGAGGAAAAAAATTTTAAAAATATATTTTCACATTCGTTGTATTCTATTGATTGTTAGAAAATATTTTTAAAATTTTTTTGTAAATTAAAATTACGTACTAGATAAAGTGAAACCTATGACAAATTAAAATGTCTTATATTCCCTCCGGTTCTTATAATGAGGTATTTTGATTTTGTCTTAGGTTTAACCTAGGATGTCTTTTTAATTGGAAAAAAAACCTTAAAAATATATTTTTACATTCGTTGTGTTCTCCTAATTATTATGAAATATTTTCAAGGTTTTTATTTCAATTAAAAAGACATTTTAGGTGAAACATAGAACAAAATTAAAATGTCTTGTAATAAGGACCGAAGAGAGGAAGTTATCACTTTCTCGTTCATAAGATTTTCTACTTTTGTTACAAAAGGGGAAAAGAAAGGAAAGAAATTTTTGGGGTAGAGTTCATTTTCTTCAAGTAAAAACTGTAAAAACTGTAGAAGTTGAGAGGTCAACAATCCTCCACGCAAAAATCCAACACATCATCATCTGCCTTTGGCTCCAGTTTCCCCTTCACTCTTGAGCTATCTTATATCCTCAATTCCCAACATTTCTGGTAGATTCTGTACAACCTTAATTCCAGTAGCCCAGAAATAAATTTCATCATTTCCTGTCCTTGTTAATTTCATCAAGTAAAATCTTGTTGAGACTGCCTGCCCATCAATGGCTTCCATCCCCATTCCTACTGCCAAACACACTCTTCCATCTCTTCTAAATCCCCATTCACATAGAACCCTTTTGTCTCCCAAGCTTCCCAATCTCCCCAAATCATCTTTTCATTCTCAATTTTGTGGTATTAAGTTATCTGATTCTGCTTCTGTTGCATTTTCCTCTCACACTTTGAAGAAAAGCTCCATTGTTGCTAAGGTACATTGGCGTCTTTCCGTCATTCCTTTTTTTTTCAAAAAAGATTTGTTTTGTGATTGCATTAGTGTTAATACTTCGCTGATGTGATGTTTGTGAAAAGGTCTCAAAAGGGTCGGTGCCTCCATCATTTACATTGAAAGATCAAGATGGCAAGAACGTGAGCCTCTCCAAGTTCAAAGGAAGGCCCGTTGTTGTTTATTTCTACCCTGCTGACGAGACCCCTGGTTGTACTAAACAGGTAATTTTTAAATTTTCTGCTGCATCATTAATTACTTCCGAGGAACGAGTTTTCCGTCCCACCAATTACAATCGCACAGTTATGTTCATGGACCATGGTGTTGAATAGGATGGAAGTACTGTAAATTATAGAAGCAGCCTTGTATTCAAGGCTCTAGTTGTAATGTGTTTTCAATATACGCCGTTCTTATAACCAGTACATCAAACCATGATTATGCCGGTTGAATGATTTATTTCACTGTATAGTTTTATTCAGAGTTTTGAAAGGGCATGGTTGTACATTTCTGCTTTAAATTGTTGTTTTTTGAACCTTTGAGAGTCTGTTTAGCTGCTTGACGTTTATTAGTTTGAAGGTTATGAAACTGCATTAGATAGATTAGAGCTGCAGTTGCACCATCAGTGGCTGCATAATGAACTTTTTTCCATCATCAGTTTTTTTTGTGTGTGTGTGTGTGTGTGTGTTTGGAAGAGGAGGAGGAGGGGGTTCCGAGTTGGGGGTGACAATGATAGACTACTATTATTTTTCTCGATTTTGTTTTGGCCTATTGATAATATGATAAGGACAGTAATGCAATCACCATCTACTAGGGACTCAAGTTCCAGGTGGTTGAAAAGGGGATAAGGATGGCTAGTCATAAATTGCAGGAGGATTCGATATTTAATTTCAGAGTAGCAAATATAGGTGATAACCTGTTGATGTTTATAACCGTGATGCAGGCCTGCGCTTTCAGGGATTCCTACGAAAAATTCAAGAAAGCTGGAGCAGAAGTTGTAGGCATTAGCGGAGATGATCCATCATCACACAAGGTATGATAGAAATCCCTCTGTTAATGTTATCTCCCTTTCTTCCTTATGCAGGGTGGGTGGGAGAGGGCGGGGAGGGGGGGGGGGGGTTCAAGCGTCAAAACCTTTTCATGTTTCAAACAAAGGAATTTGTTCTTTTCTGAAAACTGTTGCTCAATCAAACAAACCAATGATCAGCTAATATAGCAGTGCCTCGTATCGGGTTTATGTGTTATACCTAAGCTTCTAACCTCAAAAAGTTTGGATTTCTTCACATATGCTGTTTTATACTAGCTTGTATCGGGTGGTATGCTATTCAAATTTCGCAACTTACATAGTGATGAACAATGATATCGTACCTTTCTTATATAATTCTTACTTGTACTTGAATCTTCAATGTCATGTACTTTTTTAACTTTCCAATTTCTTATGCTGGGAATGCTTATCTGCTCCCAATTAGGCCTTTGCCAAGAAATACAGGCTACCATATACCCTGCTAAGTGATGAGGGTAACAAGGTCAGGAAAGAGTGGGGAGTCCCATCAGACCTGTTCGGCACGCTGCCTGGAAGACAAACATATGTTCTTGACAAGAATGGAGTGGTTCAACTCATTTACAACAATCAATTCCAACCCGAAAAGCACATTGATGAGACCCTGAAGTTCCTTAAAAGTGCTTAAGAATTTTGCTTCAGTCTCTTCATCCTTCACTTGTAGGGTAATAGATATCCGGGTATTCTGTAATCAACACTTTCCTCGGATCCTTGTCATCCTCATAATCCGATCATTAGAGCTGTACATTTAAACACTATATGCTATGAGTTGAAACAGTACTGTTGCAATGTAGTTTCGTCTATCTTTCCTTAGCTCTCCAAAATTGAAAAGTATCTGTTGAAGTGATGTGGATTGTAACGGAATATAGCTGAGAAGATTGACCTAGCGGATATCATATTGACAACTACTAGCAAAGAAAGAATTCAGTCTTTCAGATGACATTGAGGAGTTACAGAAGAAGGCGTACTCGCTTGAGGCATTTATCCCACATCGAACATCTATTGAGAAAGAGGCGGCAAGGAGGGGTATAATAGGGAAGCTGGTGGTAGTTAATTCTCATACCTTTCTCGGCCTTTTGGCTAAGATCAAGTGTAGTATCTGTTCTTATCAGTTTAATATCTGATACGTGGGCCATCGGCCCACATGATATTAAATGAATTTTTATAGGGGGAAGGCCCATCAGGGTAGCTTGCTACTCGGGCCTTCGCGCGTCGCCTTTGCGTTGCACTACTGCTTGGGCCCGGCGCACCCCACCAATTCCCAGTCTAAGATTTGTTAATTTTTAATTTTTCTGAAGAAACTTCTTGAAACGAATTAGAAGAATAAAGAAATAAAAGAAACTGTATTTTAATGAGAAAATCCATATTCACTATTGGTTCTTGGTGAAAAATACTCAATTGACTGTTGATTAAAAATGGAACGGGTGGCCAGGATTGTGGTAAATATAGACATTTAGAATTATTATTTTAGACGAGAGAGAATGAACAAGAAGCGAATCAAATTTATTCCAAAAGAGAAAAAAAAAAATATTTATTCTTTTCCAAGAAAAATCAATTACATTATAAAGGAAGGATTGCGCAAAAGTAAATTACATAAGTGAAGAAAATATCTCTTACCGCACAAATCTAACTTAGCAAAGCACAATTGTGCTAAAGCTATATCGTTATTATTACCAACTAAAACATGAATTGTTCGTTAGCATAGTTTGTTTGATAGTCTTAGTAATTTGTTGCTAGATTATTATCTTTTACTAGCTCTTATTTTCGTTTGATGGTAAAAAATGAAAGATACTAATTGAATAGTTTAATTGGATAAATATTAATATCAAAGCCAACTTCAGTTTTCCTCCTGATAATCTTGGCTGCTGTAGGGGCTAAATGCTTCAGAAAGCCAATTAGTTTTCCTCCAAGATTTCCACCCCATTTCTTCACAAATTTCGTCAGTGTGATTGATGCTAAAAGTTGATATGCAACTTCTTTTGTAAAACCTGGTGGTCTTCTTCATGATCTCCATTTCCTTTTGTGTTTGTTCAAGCATCTTTGGTATGCTTGGAAGTTTGAATCTGTTGTCCAATAATCTCGATAACCATATGCTGCGTATTTCCGCCGTGTGTAAATTTGCCACACTCTCAATAAAACCCAAAAATGCCATATTGGGGATAAGTGGATGTATTGTTCCCCTGTCATAAGCCAAAATGAAGGGGGAAAAAAAATCATTAGGTATTTTATACGTTTTGCCTTGATTTGAACAATACCTTTTGGGCATATAGATGATAGGTGTTAATTTTTTTTAGTACGTACCTGTACAATGGCATCATGCCTTCAGTTTCAATCAAACTACAAAAGGGCTCAGGGAGAATTGTTTTGATCTTTCTTTTTCCATCAAAGCCAGTGGCGTAGATCACAACATCAGCATCCAACTTGGTGTTATCATCAAACTGAACCCCTCCTTCCCAAAACCACCACTTTGATGGCCTTTTGAATTGTATCATTCCTTTATTGGCTTCAGCAAAGAATTCTTCCGGCAAGATCGCCATTTGACATGATCCATAATCCTCCTCAAAGGGATGTTCAGGTTTCAATCCATATTTCTCTAGTGGCAGCTTCCATAACAAGTAGGATTCAATGGTCTTTGACATTGCCTTTCTCTAAGGAAATTATGTGAACATATCTATAGTTAGCAAATCGAATCACAACATCATTTGCTATATATATGTCATCTATACTCTGCACATCCTCAAAAAATAATTCATATTATTGAAAATTCTAATTATGCTGATTATTTGTTTTGGAACAGAAACATCAATGTGTATGACTTGGAAATAAAATAAATAGATGTTTCATAGACTCACCACAGGAGATATTAACTTGCAGAACACGTTTCTTAACATTCCTTGGTTTGGCCTCTCATGAAGGAATTGGGAAGCTCTAGTTGAGTAGAAAATGTAAAATGGCAACCCCCAAACCGAGTAGTGAGGAACAGTCCAATGCAAAGTTCTAACCAACATAGTGCAAGGTTGACCTTTGGGTCCTAGAAAAGTAGAAAATACTCGTAAAGTTATTACATATCTAAAGTATAGAGAACTCGGCATACTACATTTATATTAATTTTTCATAATAATTGTATTTAAAATTCAACTAACTGATGTTTAAGGTATTATTTCTGAGAAATGAAGACGAACTAATTATAAGCTCAGGTCATGAGTCAAAAATCAAAAGATTAAAGAAAGAAGGTATTAAGAATCTCGCTATTTACTTCAAGAGTACAATATTTATACGCAATTATCAGTTTGTCACATTATAAATTATTACATTTATTATGTTAAGTGGTTAACAAATTATGAAGTCTTTAGATACCTACCATACAATAGCGTAATGAAATTCTGCAAAATTGCACTTAACATTTTTCATGCCAGAGAATTGAGACTTATATAGTTTCAATTTACTCAAAATAGTATCTTACGTGATTAATTATTCAGGTATTTCAACAATTTTCTATCTTTCTTTTTGAGATTGTAAGGGAAAAAGAAACTTCAAAATACCTTGATTCGCTTTGGCACATTCGACGGCTAAATCAATACCAGATTTTTTATAGCCAACAACGACTACTTTCTTGTCTTGTAGTAATTCTAAGGATGATTCTTCATCCAGTTTGCAGTAATCAAGGGAATGCAAGACTTGTCCTTTGAATACTTCAGGGCCTTTGTTGGGTGGGAATTGTGGTATATTCGGAATATCTCCGTATTTTCCAGTGCAAATCACCAGGAATTCAAATGCGTACCACTGCAATAATGTGTGAATTAAGCATCAAGAAACCAAGTAATGCATGTACCTTTTTAGATAATACTTGATCTTAGATTATTTTACTACCATACTTGTTATAATACTATGCATCATGCATCAATTTGATCTCCAAGAACGATGATGCAAGTTTTGTTTTTGGGGAAAAAATAAAAGTTAAGGAAAAATGAAAGAAAGACAGAAAGAATTGCATGAAATATTAAGATTGAGAAAATCAACCTGAATGTGGTCAGATTGATCGGTCTGAACAGCAACTTCCCACATAGGCCGGCCGTTGAGCAAGTTTCCGAAATCGGAGTTCCCTTCAGGATCTTGGTTGCCAACAAATTTGATCTCCACAACCTTGGAGTTGAATCTTATGAGTTCGAAAACCCCAAAATGTGTGGCATAAGAATACAAGTAGTCCAGTATTTCCTCATAAGAAGGAAAGCTGGTATTATCCCTCTCAGCCCAAGGGAAATCCGCGAACTCATAATCACAACGTGGAGTTTGGAGCTTTGTTGACTTGTATGAACAATGCTTCCAAACCCCTCCCAAACAATCAGTCGCCTCAAAGATTATCGGATTGTGGTGTCGGAGTTGCTTAGCGACCGCTATGCCGCTAATGCCAGCTCCAACAACACCAATTTTTGAGAAGATGGCCATATTTAGAACTTGATTTGTTTTTTTGATTGGAAGTGTTATAGAATTAATGATTTTGTTCGTAGGAGGATGATGGCTATATGGCTTAGGCTAGAGAGGTTTATATAAATGGTTGATGATTTTGATAGTATCGTAATTGAGTTTGAAATGCAATGATAGCTTTTTTGGGGGGAGTTGGTGATTGTGAACAAATAAAACACACCTATTTATAGGGGTTTTTTTTTCTATGGTTTTTTCGATGGGTACAGGAGACATGCACGAGAGTGGACTTCCACGAAACGTTTTAGAAAATTGCTTCCCAATTTCCATCATTTCACATTAGTTAATTTCGCAAATTTTCTTATTTTATATAGTACTATTTATGATCTTCTTAAGCCGTTGGGAAAGAAATCCGCAGCCATGGCCTCAAGTATTTTGCTTGGCTTCTCTAGAAAGCTCCGATGGAGGGAGATAAAATTTTTACACTTTTCGGTCTCATAATTATTTATTTACACATTCGTTTGTATAATATGTATTATTAATATCATTTCAAATAATTAAATATCAAAAATAATCAGAAGTTACACGGTAGTTTTGAGAATCCGCGGGTTTTGTTGGTTTCTAAGGAAGTGTTGATTTATATTTTTATAATGTAGAGTACGTATATTGCAAATTAATTTGAAGCAACTGAATATTGCATGCGAAGTGGTGTGGACTGTGGAGTACTTCTGTTTATACATAGGTTAATGTAGTATTTTTGTAGTTAAGTTGACATTAAGTATGTCTTGTTGCATATAAAATCCGATTCTTTATTTAAGAATTAGTCAATAAACTGATTAAAATACAGTTAGACTCAAAGTCTTTACTCGGATTCTTAGATCTCATAATCGAAGCTCTCTACTCCGGTATATATATACTAATTTAATATAAGATTGATTTGTGATCAATCTATACGCATTCTGGGAAATATTAAATTGTTAAGAGAATGTACATCGAAAATGTGATGCAAATAATACGATATTCAGCCATATTTTCTGCCTAAATACTTTCTGGATCGTCAATCTAACTCATATACTCTCTCTTACTACTATTTACTTTTGACCAAAATTTGGAGTTCTTTTTAGATTCAATGGAATTCAACAAATTGAACAAAATATGACGAGCCATCTGAATTATTCGCAGTCAAATTTCAAATAAAAGTATGGGTATTAGTTATTACCTAGAGTTTTCTGCTATAATATCATGAAGAAATGAATTTAATATATTTTAGGGTTTTTTTTTTTTAATTCCTTCAAATATTTCCACACACAAAAAAAAGGGCATCATCATGTCATAATTATTACGGATTAAAACCAAGAATTGATGCGTGTGTCTGCATGCAATGCATCTTTTCCATCTCGATCGATCAAAATCCAAGAATCAAAAATGGCTCTTGAACTAATTTTATTTGGTGCCGCGCAGCCCATGAATGAGGAATTATGTGGAATCAAAGGAAACATCCTGGAAAAATGGAAGAAGGTGCACAAGAAAAAAGCTTTAAACATTTGGATCAATGAAGAAGGAATAATAATAATATATATCAAAAGAGTACACGACTCTCTAATTCATTCATACTAGCTAGTTAGTACTACTATTATTTCTACATTATTCATCTTCTTTAGTTCTTCCACAAACGGCTCCTTTAGCGAAAACTACATTTCCAATATCTTCCACCAGAAAAAAAAAAAAAAAAAAAACTATACATGACGTTATTCATCTTTAGTATTCCATATTCCAGAAGGGAATCATGCATAAATATTGTTAATGCTAAATTGAAATATTCTTGGGTATTAAAAAAAGAAATCATGTTTATTGTATATTTTAGTTCTAACATATATATATTCTTGGGACGAAAGAAGAAAGAAGAAATGTTATTGATCAGCTTTGGCCATTCTACCTGCCAAATAGATGAACATTTCAGTTCGAAGCACAAAATTTATTTTAAAATTTACCTTTTCTTTCAGTGTGAATACATTTTAATTTTTTAACATACTAATTCTCCAATACAAAAATGCTACTACTACTAAACAGATGAGTTTGTACAAGTGGACTGAGATTCGGAAATAGCTAAAATACAAAATATGTGTGGTTAGTTTAAACTAAGTCAACTATTTACTATAAAATGGAATAAGTTAAATAGATTAATCACCCAACTAATTTAGTTAGTTGATCGTGTGGTAGGTAGCATATATGTCACTGAGATTCCAAATTAAAATAACTTATTGGCCCTCAAAATAATAGTCATATTTAAATTTTCTGTTTTAATATAACATAAAATTGGACAATCGTTTCAGAAGAAAAGAAATATACACATTTTTGCTAATCATAGTAACAAGTTTGCACCCACGACATGAATCAGATTGTCGGTTGTGCACTGTTTTGTTATATCAGATCACGATCAATGTTTGGTATCAGTTATAAAGTAGTAGCAATTCTTAAGGTAATATTTAACATCGCATTGAAAGTTCAATATGAAGTTTAACAAATATCGGATTAAAAACTTTTAAGCGATATATAGAAATGATGAGCAATGGGATCAGAAGAAAATTTCTGAATATGGACACTATGATTAGGAATCACGTTCAAATCAGTGTACAGCAAAGAGTAACGTCAAGTGCTACCATATACGTTATTTGAATATTGACAATTTGTATCGAAAAGTTCGAAATGTAGTTTTTGTCATCTTTTATATATGCTTTTGTGTTTTTCCTAGACCATACCGGTAAAACATGAGTTGATTAATTACTTGATATTTGACTCTTCTTCATTTTTTTAATTTTTTTTTTGTTTTTTTTTAACTGCATAATCAGTAGGAATTAATTTATTACCCTCTGACTTTTGTGATAACGTCCACTCTATAATAAAAGGTAAAACTTGGACTTAAAATAATTCTGAAATTTCAACTTTAATCGTGAATGTTACGTTGTGTAGACCACATTATGCTACCAGAAGTAAAAATCGTTCTTGAATGGTTGTCTTGCCTATTCATTTTTTTTTTTTTATGCTTACTTTGCATGCGTTGAGAAAGATTTAGTCACCATTTGTAGTTAGAAAAATTATTCAAGTAGCATTTGCAAAACACTGACCTGTTCCATATCCAATTACTTACTGTACGTATAGTTTGTCCGTCGAATAGAGTTTTACTATGAATTAGTTTGAGGTTTAATATTTCTGATTCAATTTGGAAAATCGAAATGTATCAAAAAATATATATATTTTTTAATATAAAGTCCGGGGGACAAATTGACATGATATAGACTCAGTCACCAGCAAGCTAACTAGTTAAGCGTCTCAATGTATTTATTTATATTTTGAAAATAATTTATCGATATTTTAGGCCGTTCTCTATCCATTTTTACTTGGTATCTTGCCCCAATAATTTATGGACTCGCTTTCATCACGTACTTAAGTTGATGAAATCAATTTACAAGTGGGGATATAATCTAGCTAACAGAAACTTGGTTTATACATATTACAGTAGAGTTATATCTTATTAATTAAAAAGAAAGCACTCTTATGTAGAAATGTGAAAAGGTTAAAGAACAACATCACATAAGATCAAGGACATTCTTTTTGTATTATACAAGGCTCGATCTGCTTAATTTTAAGTAGCTCATAGTAATTCCCGTTGTGTTCTATATATAATTTCACATTATTATCGATGGGTCTATCATAGAACAATGTACATTTAAGTGTGCCAAATGATATCATAACACATTTTTAAATGATTTAACTATTTTGAAATGTGTTAAATCAAAATGGTTCGCGAATATATATATATATATATATATGTGAAATTATGAATTCAAGTGTTTAAAAGTTTGGGTGTTACGATTACATATTATATTTTTTGTTTTCGTTTTCAAAATGTGGTTGGCTTCTTCAACTTTTCTAGATTAGATAATTCATAAACAACATTAATTCAATCAACCAACCTTCGGCAATCCAAGCTTTTCGAGGAGTGGGCAGATTGAAGTCGTAATCTGAGAGTAGATTCAAAACCCGGCCAGTTGTGAGTTTGAACTTGACTCTCTTACTCAAATCTAAACGCTTGGACTCATATGAGTTGAAATCGGACCAATTAAACGTTAATTTATTCATGATTCCAAGTGTTAAAAATTCAAGCAAAATAAATTAAATTGTTAGACGCACTTTATTTAAGTAAAAAATATAGGGCTATTAAGTGCACGAAAAGGTGATAATGATGAAGCAATAGATAGCTAGGTCGAAAGAGTTTTTCTTCACGACTTTGATTTTGAATTTATCAAAATCAACTACATCAAGTCTTATTTAATTAATGTCATATTGGCATTGGGTCAGTACTGTCTAATTCTGTCCTTCTTATTATTACCTGGTCATAATAGACATTAAGTGGTATTGACAAGTTTAGCATCACATTTGAGTGTGATCATGCGGAAGGAAATAATAATAATAAAAAAAAAAACACTGTGAAACTCTTCCATTCATTTTGTTGAACTAAACGATTCAAGATGGATTATTATCCTTATGGAGCGAAAGCAACATCATAATAGGCTGAATTGACAACTAACTCTTATACTACATGATTAGCTGAAATTTCAAATATTTTGTATTATGACGTGGTCAAAAATTTTATGAAAAAGTAGCAAATTTTTAAAAAAATTAATATAATACTTCTTTTGTTCCAAAAAAAAATACACATTAAATTTTAAAATTTATTTAAAAAACTATAACAAATTTCGAAAGTGAATGTAAACTATTTTTCTGGGACAGGTATAGTATTAACATTTTAGAAATAAATGTATGCTTTCTATTAATTTTTTTTTTGCCAAACCGAAATCAATTAAAATAAAATAAAAAGGACACAACGGCATTTACCTATCTGTTGGCTCCTTTACTGAATAATAGATTAACATATATGTACTTGTCTAATCCCACAACAAACTAGATTGATAAATAATATTCTAAGACAGTCCTATACCTTTCAAGTTGCAGGTCAACTCATATACATGCAAGAAAATGATAACACGCAACTTGAAAATCTTGATGAATATATGCTAACTTTATTTCCTCCAATACACTTAATTATGTGACTTATTAACACGGTTACTATGCTATCTCATCAAGGTTTGACAGAATCATAAAGGAATGGGACAATCAGAGACTACTCCCTCCCGTTCTTATTATAAGTCATTTAACTTTTTTTATTTTTAATTTAGTATGCATTTTTAATCGTCAAAAAAAATCTTAATATTATATCATAACTATCAAGAGAACATAACAAATGTAAAAATATGTTTTAAGATTTTTTCATTAATTAAAAATATATATTTGGTGAAACTTTGGATAAATTAAAATGCTTTATATTAAGGATCGGAGAGAGTATTTTATAAATCTTTTTTTTTATCTGATTATTCGAATAGAGTTTTTAACCGCCGATCTTGCAGTAAGAATAAACAAGAAAAAGAAGAGAAAAAAGAAAAAGGAAGAAGAAGTTTCCGTTTATTAATTAAACTATATATTGAGCTCAATAATTAATAACGTGAGCTTTGATTTTTATCTAACAAATGAAAATGTTTGACCTATCGCTGAAAGAATAATGTTTGACCTACAGAGAATAAAAATATTATGTACCATTCAAACTTCAAAGAATGCATAAATTCGCAACAACTTTGTTCTACTAGGATTTCGCAATTTTGACATCCGGTGGTAAACGGTTCGGAAATTTCAAATCATGCATAAGTTATAAGTAGTTACGTAGCAAAACTAATTAATTAAATCATCCATGAAAAAAAAAATTTTAAAAATTCTATCTCTTCCCCATGACTCTGCTGCTTTATGAAAGGGCAATTTATTCAAAATGTTTGAATTCATTATAAATTAAAGTTTGGGTCGTGCAAATTACCAAGGAGTTTGTGAAAATAATACGAAGATTGTTGCATATTGTGTCTTAAAACGGTGTGGGAACGGGAGTGAAATATATATTTGAAGTATCTAGCATATAATTCGACTAGTTTGGAACTGACTAGTTTGGGGTCTCTAGAGTAAGCTTTGTCCGCCCGTCAGTCTCATTTTACATTTTCAACTTAGTAAGCTTTGTCCGCCCGTCAGTCTCATTTTACATTTTCAACTTATTTTACCTCTTAAATATAAAATCCAATGCAAAACAAATAATCATCCAAACAACTTTCTGATTATATTTTAAAATCAAACTTGCAACATTTTTTTAGTGTAGTGACCATTTTTGGAACTAAAAATTAGTTCAGTGACTAAATCCAAAACTTTGCACTTTTTTTATCCATTGTTTAGTGATCCTTTTTGAAACTCTTTTTATTTTTACAGTGACTAAAATTGACACTTTTCGATTGTTTAGTAATATTTTTTCTACTTGATATTTGAATAGAAAAATAATTTTTTGCTAAAAATACCATCCAAACAACTTTTTCCATCTTCCATTATATTTTCCACTTAAAACACTGTTCACATTCAAGTCAAAAATGAAAACGAAATTGACGTCCAAACAAACACTTAGTGGTTTGTAGCTAGAACACGAAATATTTTTCTATTTTTTACCCACAAAATGTATTAATTAAGGATCTGTATTTTGTCTTCTTTATTGTTAAACCAAGAAAATGAAAAATTTTATATATTCTAATAGGGAGTCAGAATACAGCAAATTGATACAGCAACTTTTATATTTAACCAAAACAAATAACTGCGCATTTGTGGAAAACAATTAATACTATCAACAAAAAGATTATTCTATGTAACAAACTCTTTTAGACAATAAAGGTGTTAAGTTTTCTACTAAAATGAATAGGATACGACTTTTACACATACTACATTTCATCAATTTAATTTCTCTTTCCACCCCCAAAAAAAACCATAAAAATAATTCCCACAATCCTGGAAAAAGGGAAAACGAAAATCAATAATGGGCAATATATGTATGTGCAACACATTTGGACTTCTTATCCTGAAGCCCAATGGATATTTAGGCTAATATATGCTACAATTACGGACTGACATACCCATTAATTAATTAATCCAAAAATGCCGAAAAGGTTCTTCACTTTAGTTACTTCCTCAATCTGTGATTTTTTTCGTAAATAAGCCACTTTTGTACTAAGCATATGCTTCCTCAGTATATAAAAAAAAATAAAAATAAAAAATAAAAAAAATCTTCCTCAGTCTGTCCCAACTCCATTCTCGACTAGTTGTATTATAAGAGTACCCACTAATGATATAAATTAATATTCGTTCAGGAGAAGATATATAGGAAAACAATTCATCGAGTGATTCACTGATTTGTAAAACGTACAAAATCCTTTAAGTTTATGCTGATGCGGGTGCTACTTTTATTCATCCGAATGAATGGAAATCCACAGAAATGGATAACCCGCAAAGAAGAAACTCCAATTTTCATAATTCATATCTACCGTATTTGTTGTAGTGTAATTGTGGTCATCGATTGAGTAGCAGAAGAGAAAATCTTGATGAAGGTGTGAACCTCTTAGATCCTCTTTAGGACCACAATCAAACAGCAATTTCATTTATGATCCATCATAGAGATATCAGTTGGAGAGTGAACCACAAATTTTACAACTAAGGGGGCCTCCATATATGTTGTAGTATTTGATTCCAGAGATATCCAGTATATTGGCTCCTTCAACTTACGGGCCAACCACCAAAGTAATGACAGAAATGTCGTAGCCAAATTGCCTCTTTTTAATTGTGTTGTGAAGCATTAAATCATAAAAGCCATTATGGAATGGTGGTCTAAAAAAAAAGGCCAACTATATACGCGACCGGTTGTCTTCTAGGTCAAACGGACCAAGTTAATTATTACTTCCTCCGTCCTAAAAAAAAAGTCCACATTGATTTTTCAAATTTGTATTAAAAACAGTACAAAACTTCGAACTCAATGTGAATTATTTTTTTGGAACGGAAGTAGTACTATGAAGTTAATATAGGTTACACGGTAATATAAATAGAGTGTGACACACGTAATAATGTACTTGTATAATTATGAGTATATCCTCTCCCTCTTGGTTATAAACAAAAGTGTAGTACTGTATATCATTCTCCTACCTATAACAATAAAAACTTGTAGGAAGTATAAATTATAAATGAATTTATAATGCCAGGATATGCGCGGTCACCTTCAATTATTGTCTTCTTTTCCTATAGTCTTCTTCTGGTCACCACACAAAGTACCCAACAATTCCACCATAAATTTGCATTATACTCTTCTGTTTTTTACCCAACAGAAAAAAAAAAATGAAATTTGATGATGATATTGGTCGCATCAGCTCGCACTTCATTAAGGTGGGAACCATTAACCTGCACTTTAGTGATCCAAGGGCATCAAATAATAGTACTCTTTTAGTTATGTTTTTTTTTTTTCCATTTATAACTGATCATATGCATCAAAATCAAGTCCAATATGAAAGACACCAGTAAACATGTGTTCATCAATCACCAAACAATTTTTCTTATCAGTCCTATTGATATGAAAGACACCAGTAAACATGTGTTCACCAATCACCAACCAATTTTTCTTATCAGTCCTATTGATTCTTCAGTATATGTCTTATAACTTATAATAAGACGGAATGGATTGCTTATATAAAGAACCAATGAAAACGAAGCAACCGAGGTTAAAAATTTTGAATTGAAAACCATCACTAGTATTAGAGAGACAAAGAAAGAAACAAAATCTGAAACAAAAAGAATAATAATAATTCTCTTCCGTCCCAAAATTATTATTCACTTTTGAATTTTATTTTTAATACAAATTGAATCAAAAATAAAAATCGAATTCGGGATAGAAGAGTAATAATATAGTGGACTTGAAAGAGCAGTAAAAACCACAAAAAAAAAGAAAATGAATAACGTCCGCAGTAAACCACGAGAGCCACTCTAGACCTTACACGTGTCCAAAGGGACAAAAAAATATGCTGGCATAAATATTTGGTCTGATGAAGTGATGGTATCTCTTTCAAGCATCTCTCTCCCGATTCTCGGCATCTTACCTCAGATGCTCGCCCGCCATTTTATCCGACGGCCCTCGTTCTTTCTCTCTCCTCCACCCATAAATACTCCATAGTAATCCCATTTCCCAGAGAGAGAAACACAAGAGAGAAGTTTAATACAAAAATGAGTTCTTTGGATTCTCCGCTTGAGGTTCTAGCTTTAGATTACTTAGGCTTCGGCCTCTTCACCGCCGTCGTCAATAACGTCTGGACTTGGATCGCCGTCGTTACCGCCGCCGTCAGTGTATGGAGGATCCGCACCATTTCTTCCTCTTCTTCTTCTTTCGTCTCTCATGAAGTTTCCGTTGTCAAACCGGCTGCTTCACTTGCATCCTCGCCGGTGAAGGCGGTTCCGGTGGAGCCCGCAAAAGTTGAGGCTCCGGCAGCTCCTCCAGCTTCAGCGCCGCCGTCACCGTCGCCGTTCGTGTTTACCGGCGAGGGAAGAACGAGTGGGAAGTTTACATTGTATTACGACAATCAAGAGGAGTGTGAAGAACAGGAAGAAGCTGACACTAACGACGATGACGGTGACGTTGACGGTGAATGCAAATTAGAAGAGGTGAGAAACAATTGGGAAGTAATGATGGAAATGAGGATTAATGGGGTTCGAATGGGTTTCTACCGTTATCAGGATCTGACGGTGTTAAACGGGAATGTGGTGAGATTGTGGGATGGTTGCCGGAGAAGAAACTTGGTCAATGCCGCCCCGTTAATTAGGTTTGGTGGTGGCAATTGGCAATCATTGGTAGGTTAGTTTTTTTATTTTTTTTCTTTCTTTTAATAAATTCAACTTGAAAATGTGAAGAGTTGTTTTTGAAGATGATCGATATATGGTCATGAAATTGTATATATTAAATTTAGTTGGTGTACACTCTCACCACCATTGATAATGTTGTACGTATTTCATAATTATCGAATAGAGGAAAAAATGGAACAATTTTTGTCGGGAGATCATACAATTCGCCTGATGAAGTTGTTGTTAATTCAATTGTCCACCCCTTGGAATGCTTTAATTTGATGTTTTTAGACTATTGTCTCCCTCTTTGTAACCCCAAAAAAAAACACACACACACACACAATAGCCGGATTTTAATTCGGGGAAATTTCAAATAGGGGAAAAAAAACCAATAATTATAATTAACATCACAAAAATTTGATGAAAATTGGTCCATACATTCACAAAATTTCGACGAATGTTAGTATAGGTTTTCTATATATTAGCATCTCCCAACACATTTGTAAACAACCCAAAGAAGAAGAGAAGAGGAGCATGATTGCAAGAAGCCTTGATAAGTGGATACTCTGTGCTAAAAATAAAATCAAAATTAGACAATAATTTCGGAACCGAAGAAATACTAATGATTTCCTAAGTTGCGGTTTTCATGCCCATAATTGCTGTATGGATATGGTGATATTTGTGAGAAGGAAAAACAAAAAAAAAAAGGAAAAAAGAAAGAAAGAAAGAGAAATGCGTACGAAACTATTGGTGCATGATAGAACAAGTAGGCTATCAAATACTACTAAGAAGATAAACACTGCACTTCATGACTAATAAGGATCACACTCCAAGTTGCTTTCAGGAAAGACTGAAAAAGGAGCTCTACAACTTGATTGATCGAGTATAATACGTAGGGAAGGGAAGAAACGTTGTCCATTTTGCTTCATACAAAATTTCAGAGGCCAGCTACCAAGGAGCTTGAAATTGATACATTTCGATCTAGGTAGCTAGCTGGAAATGCTAAAAGATGATTGCATTTCAACAGTCCTTGGGGTCAAATGACTTTAATATGTGCAAAGTACAAATATACACTTATTTTCTATTTTTATCCCAAAATAGAAAAAATAAAATTCACCTAATTAAATTGAATCTATAATATCGATGAGTTTCATATATGTATTTGCTTAGCATTTTCATTACTTCTGTGACAAAGAATCATTTTTAATTATCATATGTCTCTATTTATATATGGACAATAAAGAGAACGTTTGTATAGCTAGTTTTGATTACCACACAAACTCGATGTTGGGTGGGAAGCTTCTCGTGAACTCATGGAGAAAACCTCAGCCTCAACAAATGCTTTTGCAATCAAACACTGTTACTGTCGTTTGTTAGTTGAAATTTAGAATAAAAATTAACATGTTTGTGATACGGAAGATGGGATCGAGGATATTCTTCATCCAATCTCACCAGTAATTTCTTTACTTCTTTTCTTGAGAGAATATTCATGCTCATATTCCTTTCGTTCACAATTAAATATAAATTCTGGTCGTAATCTCAAGTAGTGATTAATGATAGTTAATTATCATCTAAATATAATCAATTCATATCATAGGATAGGAGTCACTTGGTCATACATATTAACATATATTTAAACATAAATAGATGTACATATTACGTCTTTCTGTCTCAAAATTATTGTCCAGTCTGAATTTTTCAGTTTGAGTTCAATTTGTACTAAAAATGAAAAATAATTTGGACTATAATTTAAGGATGGAGAGAGTATTAATTTCATAAACATAGATCATTACTAACGTTTTTTATGTTTACTACTCCCTCCTTTCTGAAATGTTTAAGGATGGAGAGAGTATTAATGTTTTTTGGGGAAATAGCAAAGTAAGGACAATTACAATGTCTTGTTCACAATATTGATAACAGCAATCAAGAATAAGAAAAAACAATAATTAAATGAAGCTTATGGAGGATTTATATATATATATATATAATCATACAATAAAATAATAAAAATATTAAATACCATTATTATGATCACCGTCATGGCCCAGTATAGAAAAATGAAAAATAAAATAAAAAATCTGCTTTCAATTCTAGTACCAACTCCAAACAAAGTGGGAAAATATGAAGAAAAGGACATTACTACCGAACAATTTAGTTTTTTATTAGCACCTAAATAAAGGTTATAATATTTTAAAGTAAAATATGGCTACGTAATAAACAAATTCAGTACGTACTTTGTGTTGATATCAATCAATTGGATCACCTAATATGAGTTATATGTGCAGTCAAATCCTAGTTTCCGTGGTCGAAATGGAAATCGAGACGAATCTAATGTTGTTAAATTAATTCTCAAAATTCGGTGTACAAAATTAATCAATTGTCCTGTTTAAGGGATTAAACATCAATATATAATGCGGTGTAAATTGCAATTATGTGAATTGAACAGCAGTTGAGCTCCCAAATTACAAATATTCCTTCTTTCTTTCTATTTTCTCCAAGTAAAACCTGTAGTAGTATTTGGTTAGAAAAGTGAAAATGTAATAATGGAGCTGAGTCAATTTGTATGGGGTTTTGACTTTTTAATTTGCTACACTCAATCAGTTTCATTATTACATTTTAGAGATACTATATGATATTATAGGGGTTGCATATCTCCAAAATGTAAGAATTTAGGCGTTCAGCCTCCTTTATTGTAACCAAAAAAAAAGAGATACTACTATACTATATACTACACAATGCATCCCTTGCCAAATTGTAAACCCGACCCTAAAAAAAATAATAATAATAATAAATTGGTTAGCATTTCTCGCATGCATATGTCCTGAAAAAGCAAATGCTTTTAGATAATTAGTGTTATGATTGTCCATACACACACACACACACACATATATATATATATATATATCATCATCCACCACTAATTTTTGGCTTACATCATGAACTTAATATATATACCCTCTTCTTAAATGGTTAATCTTTTGGAATATTTCTCCAAAGGTAAAAACGGTTTACATTTTGATGTATAGAATCTGATTAATATCGTATTTTCACTGCTAAGTTTAAACCATGATTTCATATGCATGCATACTTAAGCATGAAATTTATCCCTCTAGCTAGTTACATTACATAATACATACTGATCATACTACGTGGTATGTTTTGTATTATTATTATTATTATTATTAGAGTGTATATATTTATATTTTATGCATGATTACTTACACTTCGAAATATAATTAATTTTTTGAAGTTATCATGATTTAAAATGTAAGCAAGGCTGTTAAGGGATAAACTAATTGACCAATTAAGACACCCGGGAATGAATCTGTTTTAGTTTTTTAATATTCCACTTCCTTAGGTACGATTAATTACGATTATAGTAAAGCCGTCAGCCATGAAACAACGACCTAATAATCTTACTACGAAGTACCTAAAAATAATTAGGTGTAAAACCCAACATTTTCTGTTCCGGCTGCCGGATAGAAGTTTCTGTCTCCGTGATCTCAATTATACTTATACGCTCTACCACCATCGAGTAACTTAAACGGTTAAACCTAATTAATAAAAGGAAACTTAACACGGTCTTATTACACGGTCATAAGCCATATTCGTCCTAACAAATTTGCGAATACCTTTCGGCCCGACATGTGAGAAGATAATGGACCTTACTCGTCTGGGTCGAATCTAACCCATGAGAGTTTAGAATAGAGCCCATTGTGAATTTTCAGTGATGAACGAATTTCGCAATGATGCTGTGAAATTTAACCAGATTTAATTAATTAATTTGTATTCTATATTGTTCTAACTAACTAAGTGAAACAATTGTAATTTCAAGCTTAAGGTAAATATTCAGACTCTCGAGAGATTTGAATATCTTAAATAATGTATCTTACATATATATATATATTTTGTTGAACTAAAACGATTAATATACAACAAAATTAATTATTTTCTTAGAACGAAGAGAATACTTATCATTCGTTTAAAAGAAATGTTTATTTTTTAGCATTCGCACGTGTTTAAAGAAATCACGCATGAACTCTCTCATTCAATTTGTTCATTTTAATTGATTTTTTATGTACAAAAAAAGCAAATAATATATTAACAAGAGTGCAATATTTTTTTCGGGGGAGGGATTGGGGGAGAATTTGGAAGTTTAGTTAAGTTATAAGAATGAAAAAAGTAATTAGGCATACTTCATGTCATCATGTGTGTATCTTATTCAATGTACATACTTTTCTGTTTTTTCACAAAGGTGACTTGGCATAAATTAAATTAAAGTATTTCATGGATGAGAAACTCTAATAACATTGTGTTTCAATAATTAATATTAATATAATCTCCCAAATATCGGAAAATATAAACTACTCTTTCCGTATAATTTTAATAGTCTGTATATAAAATAATATTGTAGGACCAATAAAGAAAGTACTATAATGAAACTATGTGAAAAAGGATCAACACAGCCCAGACAGAGCACGAGTAAGATGAACATTGAAGATGGGATATAAGTGGGAAAGAGTTGGGAAACTGTATAAATGCTTCAGCGTACACACTACACAATTTAGGATCAACAAACAACTCAATCACAGCCCTGCTGAAAAAGAGGTCGAGGGCCCTTCCATTACCTGCGAGTACTGCACCCATGCACATGCCTTGCTCTCTCACTTGTACCACTCAAATTCATCACAATTTACATAAACCCAAGGGTGATGATCCAGAGGAAGGAATTATAGGTTGATGGATTCAAAATTTGTCATGTGTATTGAAAAATCTTAAATGCGTTGAACAGCTCCGTCACTCATTGAGGTAAAAACAATTCAACAAGTAGATTAAATAATATTAATTACATACAGTGGACACTGTATTATATTATATGTACTAATATATATCACAAATTCGAATTGATCATGATCTCTATATATTTATTGCTCACTTTTCAGTGGTGAATTTTACAACGTTGAGTTCACGTGACGACGATGATGATGATCCCCTTTGAGTATTTTGCTCCAATTATTGGCTTTGTAATGGAGCCCTTTGTCCTACCCCTCTGTTTCTTAACTGTTTTTGGTTCAAAATATCAAACGGCTGAGCACATTGCATGATTGCATTTTATAACATTTTTATCTGTTTTTAATAAGATACTACCTGGTCTTCTTCCATAACCATTGAATGATTCTTTAATCTCAAATAGGTGGAGTTATTGTTTTCTCACCAATGGCATTTCTCGTATTGCATGCATATGTGTATGTTTTGGTGTGCTCTACATTCCCTGTGAAGAGTCACGTCCTGCTCTACTAATGCGAGTTCAAATCAAGTAAGTTACTTTTATAAAGTAAAAGTTTCTTCAAACAATTATTTTGATTAAAGCTATATGCTTATACGTATTGAGGTTCGAACCCTAGTCGTATAATATTACACTCTCTCAAGACAAACTGTGTTGGTTTCATCTCTCATTCATGTATAATATCACTCTTTTTTTTTCTTCTTTTTTTTTTTTTTGAAAAGGACTAGTTTGTATTACAATACAATTGGTCTTGAGTAAACTACTCCTACTATGTCGTGGTTAAGCCACCAAAATAAACTTGATTTGGAGGCGGATCCAACTTGGTTATTACAGCAATGAGTCACTTATTCATTTTTCCTAATAGTATAGTCAATAATAGAAAAGAAAATTAATGTACGTACTCTCTCTTTCCCTTCAACATGCATATGATTTTTAGGGGTAACCTGTGACTTTGGGAGTTCTTCACGTGATATGTCCTGTCAGCCTTCATGCTGATAAATCGTTGGCCATATTTGAGAGGTTTGTAAAGTGGGAAAAAAAAAAGGATTGAAATGGATGGATACTTACCGGACATACATACTTGCTGGCCAATTATATATCACTTCTGTATTTGTATGGGGTACGTTTTCCCTATTCTTCTATTCCACGGGAGAAAACACAGATGGTGCTTTCATTTCATGGCGAGAAGAAGATGTCAATGTTATGGAAAGAAAGTACGGCCCAGTTCATAATGACGCAATGAATTAATTACATCTTTTTGTTTCCTTTATGGCGACTGCATTCATTAGGGGTACCCTTCTGTGAATGGAATTAAATTGAGGCAAATGCCTATCTAAATTACAATACGTTGGTACGATACATCCACAATGTTAGGTTGGATCTGGGTTTTACAGTATTCGAAGAATCATCTTACAATTTTTCTCTGTCAGGTCTAGAGCAAATGTCACCTGCGAGTCGGCAGTGAAATTTAACTATATATATATATATATATATATATATGTGTGTGTGTGTGTGTGTGTGTGTGTGTGTGTGTGTGTGTGTGAATTGAATTAAATATAATCAAGTTTTGATTCCATTATGATTCCATCCACTTCAAAAATTGGTGACTATAAATGATTTAAGTGCATATTGCGCACATCCTTTGTAAGTTGTAACAAAATTACACAAAATTAGCGAAGCTTAACATCACTCTCTTCGCGTCGACCAACAACACTTACCTAGCTAATTACTCTGAGCTTGATCATCAATATTTATAATGAAGTACCAAAGTCAATTTTTGAGGTCCTTGAGAGCAATTTACTCCAGATATTCACAAACACAACCAAAATAAAAGTTGATTTCATCATTAGAAGACTTTTGGGGGTTGGTATCGATTTTTACATGTATACTCCCCCCATATATATACATCTGCGAGAAGTAGTTCAAGTTTAATAAATAATCAAGCGGACAATGGATTTTAACGTTCTCATGCAACTAAACTTACGGTGCAATGATTGAATATAAAAGAGGAATAATCGTGAGTGGGTAAATCTAGGTGATGGAATTAATGTTTGACAGGTGGCACGCTCCCACTGGATTCGTCTCTTCGGCGCATTCATTCCTTCTTTTCATTGAAACCATTCCTCTTTCCCCATCGAAACTCAGCACAAGCTTCCCATTGCGATTCTTAAGTTAAGACACATCCAATCAGCTCAGGCAGAATGATTTTACGTTTTTCTCTCCGTCTCAAAATATTTTTTTTTTTATTAAAAAAAATTCACGTTAAATTTTTATATTTATACTAAAAATTTGTTGAGACGAAGCAATAATTATAATCAAGTATGATATTCTCATTCGCGTTTATTATGCCTCCAACATTCATTTGTTAATCATGGAAGACCTTGATTAAGATACTACTAGATCCATGCATGCGTGTGTGATGTGCTACACTTTCTTTAATCACCTCACTAATTAAATAATCAATGCGCCCCAATTAAATAGTCCAATTAAGCTAAAACAACAACGGTCAACAACAGCCCCCTAGAAGATCTTGAAATGTCACAATACAGTTGGACATTCCCGTTCTTTAAATTTCCTGTCTTCAAGACAAATGCACTATTTACATTTACGAATGAGCTCTCCATCACGGCATCACCTACCCCATCCGTTCTGCTCGCAAATGAAATTAATCATTCCATTTGTACCCAAAACAAGAAGAAGAAATTAATCATCTCCATTAAACTCACTGTACACTAATAATGTCATACTGTAGTACTACACAATGATTTCGATAATAATCTTCTTCTTTTTTACATCTAAATAAGAAAAGGAGGAATTACAGTTTCATGATTGAGTGATTCAGACTATGATCAAGTTATTTTATCTATTTTTTTCTTGAAAAGATATTATATGCGTCATCTGTCCTAAAATTATTGTCCGATTTAAATTTTCTACTAAAAATAAAAATTTAATTGAAGAATAATTTCGGAATAGAGTAAATTATATATTGAGAAATAAATAAGACAAAAACATATGATCATTGACGATAATAAAACCAATAATTACCAAGCTTTTCGTCTCATTCTTACAAGCTATGCTCAATGCCACACTGTACAAAACCCTACAACTATATAAATAGTCCTACCATTGCAAATAAACGTCGATTATTTAAATCCCCTTCATATATATAGGAGTATATCTCTAGGCCAACAAAGTCCTAAATAAGCACTACCCAAATTTTACTACTAGTAGTAGAAGAAAGATATGGGCAAAAACATAATGAGCTCACCGGCTCTCAGCACTCTCCTCCTCCTCCTCCTTTCTTCCAGCGCCGCCGCCACCACCACCACAAAATCACCAAGAGATCTAGTGCATTCATCATGCGCTCACGCCAGCTATCCAGACATCTGCCTGAGAACCCTCTCCTCCTACTCAAAACCCACCACCAGCCTCCGGGAGCTAGCTCAGGCGGCGGTGAGAGTCAGCATTTCCCGATCCAACAAGGCGGCCGGATTCCTGGCCCAGCTGAAAGGCAACGGCAAGAGGGAGGAAGGTGCACTGGGTGACTGCGTGCACCAGATGAGCGACTCGATCTACGAGCTCGGGAAGACGTTGTCGGAGCTGCAGAATCTCCGGCGGGGGAACGACTTCAAGTGGCACATGAGCAATGCCGAGACTTGGGTCAGCGCCGCCTTGACGTACGAGGACACGTGTCTTGATGGGTTCACGGAGATCGACGGCAAAGTCCGGTCGGACGTTAAACGGGCTATCACAGATGTTGCTAAAGTTACCAGTAATGCTCTCTATCTCATCACCCGCCTTGACCAAACTCGTGGTTAATTAGCTTGAAGAAATTATTAGCGGTTAAAGTTGAATCTATTGGGTAAAAAAAAAAACTACTACGCGAAAAAGTCTGCGTAGTAGCTAGTAAATCTGGTCATTTTGTAAGTTTTGGTTGAATATATATTTTGTTTTTTTGGTTCTCCTATGTGTGTATAATGAAGTAATGAACTTATAATTAATTATTATTAGTGTTACTACCTTAATTAATATCGCTACAGTGTTTCAATATAAATTCCTTTCTCTCATCTTAAAATTGTGATTAATGACCATCGGAGTTGTACTACCTGAGACTAGAAATCTGAGTCATGGAGGTTGCATCCAGATTGGACTCTTTAACTAATTTGTTTTCTCTGAAGTCTTTGTTAGAACTTAGAAACAATGTTGAAGCTCGAAATCAAGTTAATTTGCAACTTTGTGGTAAGATATATCAAAGAAAATACTCTAATTAGTTAGCTCCAACGATGATAAATTTGAATGCAATAAGTACGTACTCCTTGAAGATTATTCTATGATTTTCATCTGATCACTTGCTGCTTTTTGTAACATGCGAATCATGAGTACGTACTACTTAGAACATAGACTTATGGTTGTTTAAGAACTACTACTATAGGCTAAAAAGCAAAAGATAAACGGAAATTCTTCAGCAAATCGTCAGCGGAATCGATCTGCTAGTATATCTATGAACCAGTATAATTTGGTTGAACCGCCGTTGAAGGATAGGCAAATGAGCTAAGGCAGCTGGCAGAATGGCTTCTCGTATTACACAGATCATGCATACTAGAATTAGAAATTTTGTATAATGACAGTGACTTTAAGGCTATTTTTATTGGGTAGACAAATTAAGTCAGGCTTTACATTAAAGCGTCTGTCCCATGTCCCCAAGGATGCAAGGACCATATACTTGAGGGTGACAATTCACTTTTTCATTTTTATGTTTTTTTTTAAAATATATTTTTTGCCTTTTGCAATTATTGAGCTAATTGGGAGCGTACTATAACCATGTGACATCAAACGAATGTATTTCGTGATTTCCTGTAATAATGTAAGGGGAAAAAAAAAACAAAAAGGAGAGAGAGAGACTAAGGGTATGTTTTGTTCGTTTTTTTAATATGTGTTTTTTGTATTGAAAATGTAAAAAGGTATGTTGAAAATGTAAAAAGGTATGCTGGGATGGGACGGTTATTAATAAAATAAACTGGAAAAACCATCAAAAAAAGTAAACAAACAAAGCCTAAAAACTTCACTATAACTCGTCTCTAATAGAATTGGTACTTGATTAATATACAAATACTTTTTTTAAAAAAAAAAAAAACTCGTATGTAATGAATTGAATGAAAAGTAAGATAACATTTATAGGAAATGTTGTGTCTCAATCTTAATTACAGTACTTGTTAACTCTTAAATGGATATAAACCTGCAGTAGTAAGGCTTAACAGTGTATACTTACTATTCATTCTCTGTATATTTTATTTGCAAATTCTCTCCACAACAATTATAACTCTTGCTTCAATTGTTACAGTAGGTGAATTAAAAATGTTCAATGTAATGAATCACCGGAGGGCTCTCAACTCAATACACATAGTAACTTTTGATAAGGGACCTTCATCGGTCAATTGCAAGTTTGCAACTACTTTTCAGTTTCGGCCCATAAACACAATAACTTGCTCAAAAGGATTAAATTTGGGTATGTATCTAATCACATATAAGCTGTCCGCACAGATGTTATCGGAATGTTACGAACATGCTAGTTTGTGCAGATTTGAGAAAGTATATAGTAGATTTTTTCTTTCTTTCTTTCTTTCTTTTTTTTAAGAAGAAGAAAGGAGATGGATTCATTGTGAACGAATGCGCATAAACTGATTAGGGTTGTGAAAGCATAGATGAGTTTGTAACTAAGTTTTAAGTTGAATATACAGTAGAACATCTATAAATTAATAGCATTTCTATATTAACAATTTTTTCCTGCTCTAAATTGGGACAATACAAAAAAAATAAAACTAATAGATAAAATAAAAATAATTTTTCGGAAATAACCCTATAAATATATAAGTTCCGTAAATATTATAAATTAATAATGACTTGAAATATTTTTAAAAATCTCATAAAATACGAATTTAGGAATGTATGTTTTCTTTTTCTTACAATTTTCATCTGATAAAGAGATTTTATTTTTTATTTTTCATTGATTTCAGAACTCTGGGTAGGTTTCTCGTATTACAACAAAAAATTTCGTAGAGTTATTATCGAATTAAGTGCTCTTTTTCATATGATTAGTTTCAAAGACACCGAATTATACTATTAACTAATTATGTATTTATTGATAAATTAATAATTTTTTTAAAGTCATAACCGTATTAATTTATAGATGTTTTACTGCAGTGAGATTTATCTCTCTTAAAAACAAAGACTCCCTCCGTGTTCAATAACGGTTTGCAAATGAGTTGCGATTCCGTGTTGCATTATGCTCCATTTAAAAAGAAAAAAAAAAAAGCTAAGACCGCATGCATGTAGATGTTTCATAAAACTAAAAAAAATAAAATTATTGTTATCTTAGTTGATGATAATGGTTATGTATCTATCTATCTATACTAGTGATGTCTGGTCGCGCAATGCGCGACCCTGGCCCAGTCTATCTGTAGATTTTAGAAATGTTTATATTTGAAAAAAATAAAATTTTGTATTTGGAGCGATATATTTTAGAAATGTTTGAAGGATTTAGAAATGTTTTATAAGTGTGATCATAGAAATATTTGTATTTCGCAAAAAAAAATAAATAAATTGTATTTCGCCATCTATGTTTTAGAAATGTTTTATAAGTGTTACTTATTAAATATAAATAGCTTAATCGAATATATGTGTCGAAGTAAATGTTAGATAAAATATAAAAGCATCCTAATAAATTTAAATATTAGTAAGATGATTTATTGATGTTCTCCATTGGTCGTGCCAAATCAATACTTAGTTTTGGAGATTTTTAATAGCTTTGTAATAAGCTTCATCCAAAGGGTATACGCTTAAAACAAAATTGACACTTTGTAACAAAAAACCTAATTGATCAATTCAATTTAAAAAACCACTCTAGTTGAATGAAACATAAAGAAAAAATTTTAAAAAAAACGTGTCACGTAAAGTGCAAATGGAGATTTAGTAATTTAGTTATGGTTAGACAAAAGGGCAATTTAGTATTTCCTACATGCCACATGGCAATCATATGAGGTGTTTGAAAGGGAGGTTTTTGTTTCTAATATAGTAGGATATATCTATATCTATATCTATCTATCTATATATTATACTAAGGCAAAAACCAGAAAGAGAAAATGAAAGGCATGGAGCACATGCTACATAGGATTTAATCCTATGTGGCATTTTCTTAATTTCTAAGATTTAAAAATGCACAAAACAAAATAATAAAACAAAAAAAAAAGCAATTGAAATAATTTAAAAAAAAACAAAATAATAAAAATTGAACCCTTATTTTCATGAACCAAATCCTAACAGAGAGATTGATTGGAGAGAGTACCAAATCCTAACAATCTATATCTATATATCTATATACTATATTAAGGCAAAAACCAGAGAACGAAAACTAAAGGCATGGAGCACATGCCACATAGAATTTAATCCTATATGGTATTTTCTTAATTTTCAAGACTTAAAAATGCACAAAACAAAATAATAAAACAAGAAAAAGCAACTGAAATAATTAAAAATAAAATAAAATAATAAAAACCGAACCCTTATTTTCATGAACCAAATCCTAACAGAGAGATTGATTGGAGAGAGTACCAAATCCTAACAAATTTTAGAGAGATCTGCATAAACCTTATCACCACTGAATTTAAAATGTCATTTAAAAAAAAATAAATTCCTGTGAATCCAAAAGTAATCACGTTTAAAACTAAAACTAACGGATTCTCATAAACTAAATCCCTAAAACACATGCTTTCTCCTCCACATAGTCATCTGAATCACCCAATTAACTCGGAGTGGCGGCTTTTCATATTTTTCTTAAAATACCGGTAGGTTTACGATCGATACAGAGGTGACGAACAGCGAGAACGGAAGAAGAAGAAGGCGAGAGTACTGGATGATGATGCTGTGGCGAGAGATGCTTGAGGAAAATAGGAGTACGGTGGTGGAGATGGCTGGTCGGACGGCGGAGGAGTGCCAGTCGAAGAGTTGTTAGAGATGCCGGAGATGATTGGCTGACCGAGAACCGAATCTTAAGGTATTTATCATCTTTGTTGTGCCTGCGATGATAAAGGATGTATGAAGTCGATAAGATTTGCTGTCGTCGTTCTCTATATATATCTCTTTGTTATCGTTGCTAATTAATTTTTTTCCTTTTAATTCAGAGCTATTATCATGCGCAAAGGTTGACAATCTCACCATCTGAAAATTGGTCATGGTCACCGGTCACCGTCGATTGGGATAGGCTTTTGGAGACGATGGCTAAAAGGGAAGAGAATATAATTTGGTAGAGATTCATTTAGAGAGGCTGCAATTGAACGATATTGGGTTTACCGCAATATCTAAATGTTCCAAGCTGGAGATTTTGCATTTAGTAAAGGCTTTGGATTGCACAAACGCTGGTGTGGTGGCCGTAGTTGAGAACTGTAAGCTTTTGAGAAAACTCCACATTGATGGGTGGATGTCAAATAGAATTGGAGATGAGGGTTCGATTGTTATTGCTATGAACTTTGTCAATCTTCAAGAGCTTGTCCTTATTGGTTTGAATCTAAGTTTAGTTAGCATGTCTGCTATTGCATCAAATTGTAATAAGGGATATTCCCACCCTAAGATACTCCCACCCTCATATTTTAAATAAAATATTTTTTACAACGGGTAAGTTAAAAATAAAAATAAATTATTAGATAGATAACGAGAAACAGCTATATCAAACGAACAAATGGGTTAGCAAAAAAAAAAAAAAGAGATAATGTGAGAATGCATCGTGTGTTAAAAAATAAAATAAAAACACTAAAAACATAAGTCACTTCAAGACAATGAATAAAGGTCCTGATAATTGATGAAAATGATGATGCCAATTCCATGATTACAAATGTAGTCTACAAAGAAGTTATACATGATATATAGAATTATAATCATTCAATTCGAAGTTCATTTTTTTCATTTTTTAATATTCTCTATTTTGAATTTCTTAACAATCCTCCATGCGTTAAATAAATTATCATTGTATTCATTTGATAAAGTGTTGTTGGTGTTTGTGTTTATATTTTCCAATGAAGTCATTACATATTTTATAAAAATACAAAATTTATATAAAAATGTCTATATGTGTATGTCTTCCCCGTCCATCAGACGGGTCTAACACCTAGTTTACCTTATTAGAAAAATTGTTTTTAGTAATCGATCTTATTAAAAAAAAATTCCATTTACATGTCCACTAGGTCATTTTTTTTAAAAAAAACGGGGCATAAACTTGAAAAGAAATCTAAAATTAAATGGCTAACAAAAAATTGATAAATGGAGTCTGAAAATAAATAAAAAATATCGTGAACTGTAAATAATTAAAAAAAGAATGCCTAATTAAGTAAAATAAAAAATAAAAACACAAAAGAAGAAAAAAGAAAAGGGAAAAAAGGGCCCGACGTCTCGTTTTGGCGTAGAGGAACAGAGTACAGAGTAACAAATATTGACCAACGTCTCGTTTGACCTCTAATATTTCTTTAAACCTCCCGCCGTCTTCCCTCCAAAAACCCTAGCGCCACTTATTCCGTTCACCGCCACCGCCACCGCCCGGCGGAACATCCTTTCAGGTCACAACAATGGAAGGAATTGAAATGGAAGACCCCGAATTTCATCAATCCGCGGAAGATTCCGATGTATGCGCCCGAATTCTCCTCCAATTTGACGACGCCGCCAATGAGCACCACCTCCACGTCTGCGCGGCCATCGGAGCAATGTCTCAGGAGTTAAAAGAACAAAACCTCCCTCTCAAGCCCCTCTCCTACTTCGGCGCCACTTGTTCGTCTCTCCAGCGCCTCTCTTCGGCTGCCGAAACCGAAACCCCTGGCCACCTCGTCGATGCTTTGGTTACTATTCTGTCTGAAGTTATTGAGTTGCTTCAGAAAGCAGTATTGAGGAAGAAATTCGATTACCTGGCGGACCTTCTAATGAAGGTTCTTCGGTTGAAATCAGTTGGTCCGGATGGAGTTATTTCCGGTTTGAAGTGTGTTTCTCATTTGGCTGTGGAGAACTTGAGCTGGGCTGAAGTGTCTCCGCTCTTTGGTGTTCTCGTTGGTTATCTCACCGATGATGGGACCAATGTGAGTTTCCCTTTGGCGATCCTTTGTATCCTAGTACACACGCTCAAGTTTAGGAGCTCCTTGTTTATATGTGTTTTAGATACAGTTTGCACATGTGATGAATATTTGCCTTTGCATTTTGGAACTGACTGTATATAAGTTGATTTATTTTAGTGTTTGCTACCCTGACTTTGGGCTCTTTATTCTTTCTACTTTGATCACTGGAACAGGATGGTTTCACAGGGAATTATGAGCATTGTTAAAGTTTCATTTGAGATTTCTTTTTAATTTTTTTTTATTGATGTTTTGAAAGGATTCCTAGAATGATTGATAATCAATATTTTTGACTGGAGTATATATGATTGAAGATTATGGTAAAGGACTAAACTTCTAGGCCTCCCAGTATCTTAATTTGCCAAATATATTTTCCGTTACTGAGTGATGTGTTTGCATACTGATCTTTACAGAAATTAGTTGGGAACATACTTTGACAGGTAGGTTTAGTCTGCCCAAAATACTGAGTTGTTTGGGGCTTTCATTTTCGTTGTTCATCAACATTTCTGCCTCTGTTTTTAAATAATGAAACAACCTGTAAAAGGTTGCAGTTGCTATTTTCTGCGAGCTTACTCAGTTGCAGTAACCATTTCACCTGTTGGAATACACAGATTCGGAAGCAGGCGCATTCACATCTTCGTCATGTCCTAGAATCGTATGAAATGTCACCCATGCACACCCCATTGCTTGCCCCTGCAAGCGAGGCCGTAACAAAAGTATTTGAGCGGTCTCTATTACTTGCGGGTGGGACAAATTCAAATGTTTCTGAAGGGCCCAAAGGTGCACAGGAGGTCCTATATATTCTTGATGCTTTGAGAATTTGTCTCCCTTACATGACCTCAAAGTCATCAACCAAGATATTGAAGTACTTCAAGTCTCTATTGGAGTTGAGACAACCCCTTGTTACCAGACGAATAACAGATTGCGTCAATGCATTTTGTTTGGTCCCATCTAAAGATGTTTCCCCTGAAGCTATTCTTGATCTTCTATGCTCCTTAGCTGCTTCAGTTTCAAACGAATCATCTGCAGACAGCTTGACGTTTACTGCTCGATTGCTGGATGTTGGCATAAAAAGAGTATATATGCTTAACAGGCAAATATGTGTTGTCAAGCTACCAATTTTTTTCAATGCACTCAGTGGTTAGTTATTACCTTCACGTTTAGTTAAAGCATTATGTTTTATTGGTTATTCTTATGGTGGCCTTAAATATTTCCTCTTATATCATTGTTAGTATCATAAATGTGAAGAGTTTTCATATTCAATTTTGCTTTTATTATATTTTATGATAATCTTTTGTAAGTAGAAAAAGAAATGTCAAAGTGGGAGAACTGCAGTGTTTCAAATTAATTTTAAGCTTGTGCGGAGCAAAGAATATATCGCCATGACCTCTTTTCTTCTTTTTTCTACTACCTCCATGAATATGTATGTGATTCATTACCCTGACTCTCTCATATTCTTTAGAAAAGGTTTCCAGGCACCAATTGAATGATGTTGTGCAGCATGCTTTAATTCCGTGTTGAATTTGTATCATATATTTTCATTTGGCCTCTGCAGATATTTTAGCTTCTGAGCATGAAGAAGCCTTGCTAGCAGCAGTGCAGACATGTAAAAGCCTCATAAATGGATGCATTGATGAAAATTTGGTCAAACAAGGTGTTGATCAAATTACGTTAAATGCCAATGTAGAGACAAGGAAATCAATGCCAACCATTATTGAGAAGGTGTGTGCAACTGTTGGAAGCTTACTCGATTATAATTTCTCTGCTGTTTGGGATAAGTCCTTCCAAGTTCTTTCGGCATTGTTTGACAAATTAGGTAAATCACCTTCCACCATCTTTCTTTTACCTCCATTTGACTCTGAGGATATTGTGAGAAAAAATGTAGGAATTGTTGTTTCTGACTTGATTCTGCTCATGATTAATTCCAAGTTATCCAATTCATCATGACAACATTTCCAAGGAAATAAAAAGCGATTTTGGTTTCCAGTATCTGTTTGCTTATTTTTATATCAATATTTTTTTCCTTGATATTTTATCATCATTCTCCTAGTATGTAGCTCTTCTCTTTCAGAGGTTTTGAAGTTATTAATTAACATCTTTGAACGTCCAATACTTCAGGGCAGTCTTCGTCATATTTCTTAAAGGGTGCGCTTCAAAGTTTGGCAGACATGCAAAAATTGCCAGATGAGGACTTCCGGTTCAGAAAAGAGGTAGCTTTTGTCTCGTAAAACATTATTTAAAGTGGCCAAGATGAACAACAGCAGATGTTAATTTCATTATTTCTTATCCAGCAATGCTTCTCTTTTTTCCTTTCTCTGTTTTTGTACAGCTTTCTCATTAGTGCTAATGACTGTTTTATTTGTTTAGCTGCATGAATGTGTTGGATCTGCTCTTTGTGCAATGGGTCCTGAAACTTTTCTGAGCATATTACCGCTAAACCTGAATTCTGAAGACCTGTCTGAGGCAAATCTTTGGCTGTTTCCTATTCTAAAGCAATATACTGTTGGTGCGCAATTGAGCTTCTTCACGAAGTCACTTTTAGGCATGATCAAAGATATGAAGCAAAAGTCGACTTTGGTAAGCATGTTTGTTTGCTAAATGGTTACTTATTGTTGTCTTGATTTCTGTAGTATATGTGACTGTTCCTATTTTGTGCCAGCTTGAGCAAAATGGTAGAATTATTTCAGCAAGAAATTTTGATGGAATTGTATACTCCTTATGGTCTTTGCTGCCATCCTTTTGCAATTACCCTCGGGATACAGCTAAAAGTTTCAAGGACCTGGGAAAGGCAATTTGTTCTGCTATTCAAACTGAAGATCATGTGCGGGGGATTATATGCTCTAGTTTGCAAATTCTTGTGCAGCAGAACAAGAAAATTCTTGAAGGCAAAGAGAATTTGTCCTTGTCCGACCCAAGCATTTCTGATGAACATGATCTTAGTATTTCTGAAAAACAAGCCATTAGCTATTACAGTCCACAAATTGCAGCTGATAACCTGAGTGCGCTGAGATCATCTGCCCATGAATTATTGTCTGCCCTAATGGGAGTCTTCTTCAAATCTTCCAAAGATTCTGTTGGACCTATTCAGGTTAGACTCTGCACTAAATATGTTCATTTCCTTGGGTAAATTTCAAGCTGAATGAAACAAATTCGATTTTGCAAGTTGAACATCTCTTTGGTCCTTGCCCGTAGCATCAACTGTATATGCATTTATTTACTGTGCAAGCAATTTCTTAACACACGGTGAACTTGGTTCTGGTGAATGTATGGATTATAGGCTACATTTCACAGCATATTCCTTTTCTTAGTTGTGTCTTACATCTCATGAAGTTACTTTTTACAAATATCAAGGATGTATTATGTTCTTGTTTTTGTGCATATTGAAGCATTGTCTCAGATTAGAATTCACAATCTTTATTTTGTGGATATTGGTCTTTTAAACATATATTGTGGAGTATTTTAAACATTTGGCAGATGACTGCATACTGTGCTCACGTATAGATGCTTTTATTTGTGGGTTTTTTTTTTATTCTTGTTAGTCTGATAATTACCATAGCTTATTGGTGATTTCTATTTTATGCTGCTCGCAATTCAAAACACTTGGCGATCCAAGTAGTTATCTTACCTGGGCAAGAGGCAGTGAAGCTCTTTCTGATGAAGGATGTGGTGTGTATGTTAACTGCAGGTTGCGATTGCGGAGCTAGCTTCTGTGGCGGAAAAAAAAGCTGTTACGGGGCTCTTTAAAAGCACAATGCATAAGCTATTGAAGGTTACTCAAGAGGTAGGTGAAGCAGCCAACTCTGGGGGCTTAAATTCAATGCAGCTTGACAGCTTGGCTGGTGAAAGATCCCTGTCATCAGCTAGGTATGATCTTTGCTGAACTTTTATTTTTCTTATCTTATCTATACAATGGAGCAAAAATAAATTGATTATGGTAATTTTTCAGTTGCTCTCTGACATTTGATCATTTTATTTTGTTGTTGTAGGGCGCAATTACTTGACCTATCAGTTTCACTTTTACCTGGCTTAGATGACAAAGAGATTGATATATTATATCTTGCTCTTGTGCCTGGATTAAAGGTATATATATCTGTTCTCTATGTTTTGTATATCTCCTCGTGAAAAAATGTTTGCTTTTTTTTTTTTTCCTTTTGAAGAGAAATCAAGGATTTGAATTGTATAGTAAGAGGTTACTCAATTGCAGGATGTTGATGGCTTAATCCAGAAGAAGGCGTACAAGGTTCTGTCATTGATTATTAGGGTAAATATGCCCGCATCTTTTCAACTCTTTTGAATGTTTCATTTTGTTTTCGAATAATTATAATTATACTGCGTGTCTTCCTTTCTGTTAGCTGTCACTAATCGCTTCTTGATCAATATTATGGAAAGTTCTTTTCTTAGTGTTCTTTTATTATGTAAATAAAACCACCACTTCTTGGAAATTATACTAATAGGCATCTGCGCTCTTGACCCAGGATTCTGAAGAATTTGTTTCGAGAAAGCTTGAAGAGTTGCTTAGCCTGATGATTGAAGTTCTTCCTTCTTGTCATTTTTCTGCCAAACGTCACAGGCTTGATTCTTTGTATTTTTTGATTGCACATTTGTCAAAGGTTATAAGAAAGAGTTTGATGTTCTATTTGTTTGTTATATACCATTTTATTAACCTTGTGTAAAATCTTTCCTTAACGCACGAGACTGTGGATCACTGAAAAATTGCATGCCTGTATTGCAGAACGTGTGTGAACAGAATCTGCATGGCAGAATCGCCTCCTTTCTGACTGAAATCATACTTGCGGTGAAAGAGGTATATTTTTTGTAATTTGTTGAGTGCTTGTTTCATCTTAATTAGGGATTTTGCCTGATTATTGGCACAAATAAAGATACTATTGGCGTTTGTTTTCTGTGAATTAATTAAGCTCCCTTTCAACATTTCATTTTAAATATTCAGTTGAGTTCGAGCAAATGTGAATTTGGTTAACCTTCAATGAGCTGGTTAAGTGTAACTCAAACTTAACTTGTTTCACATGATCTTGACGGCTTTGTCAAAAATTACAAATAGTGCATTCTCGGTTGAATTATGAACCCCATATATGATCAAATGAAAACAAATGGAGGTCCGAGGATGCCAATTAATTTGGCATAATTTTCTCTATGCTTCTGTTTTCATATTTATGGTTCTCTTTTTGAGTCACTTCTTTTCAGGTTTCCCTTTGTCAGAATTAGCTATTTATTAGCCACCCTTGTAAGTCGTTCGATGAGACTGTGAAGCTTTCCAAAAATTCTCAGTTACTTGGTTTTCCTGTCTTCATAGGGTAATAAAAAAACAAGAAATCGAGCATATGATATCCTTGTTCAAGTTGGTCACATATATGGAGATGAAGAAAAAGGAGGCCAAAAAGAAGACCTGCATAAGCTCTTTAACATGGTAACACATAACAATTCAAATCGAATCATTTGTATCTTAATTTGCCATAACTCTTACGGTCTTGTCTTTCCATTTTATTCAAAGGTTGCTGGAGGATTGGCTGGAGAAACCCCTCAAATGATTAGTGCTTCGGTCAAGGGTTTAGCACGTCTGGCTTATGAATTTTCTGATCTTCTTTCTATGACTTATGCTCTTCTTCCATCAACATTCCTCCTCCTTCAGAGAAAGAACAAGGAAGTTATTAAGGTCTGCTCTGGCAAGTGTAAATTTACAATGTTATCTTGGTTATTCATAATGTGCCCGATGTTGAATAGCTGTGAATTTACTTCCAATTCAGGCTGGTTTAGGATTATTGAAAGTGTTGGTGGTAAAGTCCCAAGCTGAAAATCTGGAAACACATTTGAGAGATTTGGTGGAGGGCTTGCTGAATTGGCAAGATAGCAGCAAAAATCATTTTAAAGCTAAGGTTTGTCTTCTTCGCTCTCCTTTCTGCATTTGAGATGTATATACTAGTTAGCAGGATGATTAAAGAGATGAATAAAATGAGTTTGTTGGATGGTCCTGACATCCTTGGAAGTAGGTTACATGTTGGACAAAAATGACTTCTTCCAATTCTTGTTCTGCCAACTGTGCAGAAATTTGAATCTCTTGCTCTATTCCTTCCCCAACCCCCAAACATTTTTCATACTTAAGCTCTTTGTTTTAGAGGAATCAGGGATGGGTACCCTGGTGCAGATGGCTGCTTATTTTTATTGATCACTTAAAATTTTGACTTAAGAGGTTAATTAAAGACTTAAATTGAGTTAGTAATATCTGATGACACTATTAGTAGGCCATAAGGTTTTATCCACCTTGCAGGTTAAGTCGTTAGTTGAAATGCTTATCAAGAGATGTGGTATGGAAGCTGTCAAGGGAGTTACGCCTGAGGAGCACTTGAAACTGCTTATTAATATAAGAAAGGTTTGTTGTTTTCTTGTTCTCGTGGAATGATCTTAAGCTATTATAGAATAAATTATGTGAATGTATTATCTTATGCTGATTCAGATAAAGGAGCATAAGGAGAAGAAACGTGCTTCTGGCTTGGAGGAAACCAGATCACATCAGTCAAAAGCAACTACATCTAGGTCTTTTCTCATCTCAATATATATGTCGGCTTTTTCTCATTGTCTTTTAAAAATGAGACTAGGATTGATTTACCATTAACATGTATCAACAGCATGCGCCTTGATGTGTGGTTCTTTCTATATGAATCCCGGTCATTAATATTGATATTTATAGCCAGCCAGCTTTGAATATAGACTCTCTCCCCCTCTCACAAATGCATGCACAGAGTCCTGGTAGGCGGTAGCTGGTTTTGTTTAATACTCTTGATTTAAATAATGGATTTCTCTATTTTGGGTTTGACAAATTAAGTTTGTCGTTGGGTTTTATTTTGCTGGTTAGGGCCTTTTTCCCTCTGGGTCAAAATACTCCCTCCGTTCCAAAATAAGTGTCATTCTAGAGTTTGCACACAGTTTAAGAAAACATTAAATATGGTAACTAAATTACTAGAATATCCTCAACCAATCTCATTAAAATAAATGTTCACCAATAATATTATTCCTTTTGAGGGTATGTTTGGAAATTTTTGACAAAAAATGCATTGGAATCTGAAAACGACACTTATTTTGGAATTTTTCCATTTTGCCAAAACGATACTTATTTTGGAATGGAGGGAGTAGTAAATACTGGAAGCAGTGATCCATCCCTCAAAATGAGCATCTTTTTCAGACAATCATATAATCTGATGATAGGTTTTTAATTATTTGAAATTGTTGTGGGTATCAATGTTTTATTCTTCTCAACAGGCAGAGCAAATGGAACCATACAAAGATTTTCTCCGATTTTGGTGATGAAGAAACTGAGAACAGTGATTCTGATTACATGGATGTGAAGACTTTATCTGCTGGTAGGAATAAGACTGCAACAATGTCAAAATCTCGAGCATCTTCAAAACGGTCAGTATATTTACCTTTGAAATTTTTGCTATCTTGTGTGCCCTGGAATGAATTGTATCCGCATAATCGAATTCAACAAAAACAGAGTTTTTGCCTGGTGCCACTTCGAAGCTATCAATTTTCAGTATTTTTTTTCTTTTGGGTGATCAATTTTCAGTATTCTAATAACTTATTCATTTATCTTAACTTGGCAGGGCTCGAAGCGCAGCCAAGGGCTTGCAAGAAGACTTACTTGACCAAGCAGATGATGAACCACTTGATTTGCTGGACCGACAAAGGACAAGATCTGCTCTTCGATCATCTAATCATCTGAAAAGAAAACCTGAATCGGATGATGAGCTAGAGATAGATTCTGAGGGACGACTTATTATCAGTGAAAGCGAGAAGAAATCAAAGAAAGATAAAGAAATGTTTTCTGATCTTGATTTTGATGTGAAGAGTCGTGCAGAAAGTCATGTGTCGAAAAATTCCGAAAATACTAGGAAGCGCAGAAAAACAACAGAGTCAGGGTGGTCCTATACTGGTAAGGAATATGCAAGTAAGAAGGCTGGAGGAGACTTAAAGAGGAAGGATAAATTTGAGCCATATGCTTACTGGCCACTTGACCGCAAAATGTTGAGCCGAAGGCCTGAACAGAAGGCATCTGCAAGAAAAGGAATGGCTAGCGTGGTGAAGCTGACGAAGAGCCTCGAAGGGAAGAGTGTCTCTAGTGCACTTTCAGTCAAAGGGCCTAAGTTTATGAAGGTTAAAAAGAAAGCTAAGCACAACAAAAAGAGGTGAAGTTACAAATTTGGTTATCATCGCAGGTACGTGGAGATAGATACCAATGCTCTTGCATTTCCGTGTTAGCCGGGCTTTCATTTTCGGTGCATTTTTAGGACAGGCAACTGAACTGTCATAAATTTTTGGTCTGATTGTCAGTCGATGTATCGAGAGGTCACTGATATCTTTTTCCCCAGTATATATGTACATCTCTCTATACATGGAGAAAATATACTGGTCATCAATTTTGCCAGGTTACCACATGAACGTTTTCTGTAGCAGGAGATGATGAAGTTTGATTTGAAGATGATTAGAGTTTACAGCTCTATACAAAAGTAATGAATAATTTTTTAGATGTGTTACATGACATTTTTTTTTTACCTACACTATATAACCAAATCCTTCTATGAACCGGATTCCCACCGCTCGTGTTCATAAAACTCCAGGTCTGCTTGCCGCGGTACGTGTCTCAGTTGAGATGGCTAGCTATTTTAGCAGTTGAAACTTTGAAAGACACAAGGCGAGAGATCATGGTCCCATGGATTCATTTTTGTTACTATTCTACTTGTAGCCAATTCTGAAGCTGATTGAATTCTATAAACCTCGGACACCTTTCGATAAAACTATCCAGCAAAGGTACCTCATATCGATCATGGTTCCACCAAATCTTCTTTAAGCCCCTGCATGGGAAAATAACCAAATGCTGCAAAAGTAAAAGGAGAAGAAAAATCATCAAACCAAATCATATTTTTAAAAAATATAAATAAATAAATAAATCAAACCAAATCAATATGCTTGTAATATGTTGATAATTATATTTGGCTATCCTAAGAAGTTTTTGTTGGAGATCCTTAATTGTTTGGGAAGAGTTTTCAATTTCAATTAATCTGCAAGAATAGAATAAAAAACAATCATACACCACAAAATAGTATGACTAAAGAAGAAGAAATTCGTGCTACCGACTCCTAAATGAATAGCCTTTTCCTCCCAAGATTTGACCCACATCATCTAAAACATCCCAAAATTTAAAAGCATACCGTTTTCATCCCGAATTTTTCAAAAATATGTAATATTAGGACATTTGTTAATTTTTTCAAGTTATTAACGGCGATATTTCATTCAATTTCTTTTCCCCTATTTTTTTTAGTAAAAAAAGATTCATGCTTGCGTTTGGTAAATTTAGTCAATGCCAAACAAAAAAGTTGCATGCCCCTGCATCAATTACAACACCAATTTTTATAATGATGCTACATATTTTAAAAAATAAATGAAATAGGGCTTACTTTCTAATTAGGACACACACAAAACCTCTCATGATTGTTATCAATCTAGAAGGTGAATCTTGGATTTTTTTTTTTCTTTTTCTAAGCAAGGGAAGAATGGATGATGTGAAGACCAAATTAGATTTAGCTATTTTCTTATAAGGTGGGAGTTAGTGAAACGTGTTAAATAATTAAAAGAATTGGGGGAGGAAAAACAGAATAAAGTACCACCACTAATTAACTAATTGAAGTTAAAAATTTAACGAATATCCTAATATAACATGTTTTTAAAAAGTTTGGGATGTAAATGGCATGTTCTTAAACTTTGAAATATTTTGGATAGTGTTGCCCAAACTTTGGGATGAAAAGACCCATTTTTCCTATAAAATAATGAAATGAGGAGCGGATTTGAAAGGTATATATAGTAGGGAGAGGAATAAGTTGTAAAGGATTGATCATAATAAGGTTGATAAATTACAGGGTTTTGTTCAAAATTCAAATTGGTTGGGATACCTATTATGCTTTTCTTTTTTTTAGCCAAAATTTAATTTAATTGTAATATTAAATGATATTCTAATTGGAACAAAAGTTGAAGAACATGAACTTGGATGCATTGGTGGTTGGATACACTTCTCGGTCATTAGGTAATTTAGGTTATAAATTGTAAATAACAAAAGTTAGGCAATTAAAAAATAAATGATCAATTAGTTTGTTTATATAACAAAAAATATAGAGACTGTTTGAACAATTTCTGAAGACAAATTTTGAAGGTGCTTAAGAAAATTCTTTATCCTATGTGACAACAAAAAGAGAATGTTAGTTTGAATTTCTCTCTTAATATAACATTATAGATAACCAAAATTAATTCCTTACTAAACTATACTTTGCTAGTGCTCCAGCATCCATCACGGATGGTAAAAAGGTTAAAGTTAGATGAGTTGACTTCATGCGACAAAGAGAAGAGATAAAATACTAGCATAAGCAAATTTTGTTCTTGTGGCATGAAAGAAGAAAAAAGAAATATTTTTTCTAATACAAACAGAAATAGGGGATTTATGAAAAAAAAAAGAGAGAGTAAGTTTTGATTATCAAATTAAAATTTTTTATGATAGATTAAAAATATTAAAATAAATGGGTTAATTTTTGAGAACTAGAGTGAATAATTCTCAAAAATTACTTGTCATGAAAGGTTTAAAAAAATAGATATATTGTTGAGTGAATGTCAAAAAGAAATAAATCTCTCAATTTTTTATTAGGAAGGATGATTATTTTTCAAATCTATTTTGATGTTTGTATTGAGAAAAAATGAATGGTAAAAAGAAGGAAAAGGAAAGAGTATTAGTGCAAAAAAGATAACAATAAAATAAAACTACCAAGTATAATAATAAAAAAAATACGGTACAAGTACTATTATAAAATCTCCACCGACCGTATCCGTATCTTTCCAAATACGGTCGGCACTACCTTTTCTCTTCCTCTCTATACATACCCCTCCGAGTATCCCTCTCCAAAGCAAACCCTGTCCCTCACAGCAATTCGTATCGGGTCGAATTGAAGCCGGCAAATCAGATCTGATCAAATCTAATCATGGCTCCAAAGAGAAGGAAGGATCTGAGAAAGAGACATTCTCCAGTCGCTCCTCTTTCAAGATCTCCCGAGGAAAATTCTGGTGTACCCTCTTTATTTTTCTTTTTTTCCTCCCTACTTTTGGTTAGACTAGTGTGTGTTCCGCGCGCTGTTAATGTTAAAATTTATCTTTCAAAAGAATTAATTAAATAATGTAGTTACAAATATATCGTCCTAGTTCTCTTAAAAAAATATAATTACTAATATTTCTTAAAACTGTAATTTTTTTTATTAATCAATTTTAGATCAAAATGAGAGGTATTGATATTATTTATGAGAAGTATATTTGTAAGATCGGGTAAAAAATATTACAACAAAAATTTTCAAAAATTGTATAGTAAAAATTGTCGCCACTAACTAATGTTATGTTTGGATTAAAAAATATATTTAAAAAATACGTAAATTATGTCTAGATGCCTATGGCTTATTTATAGGCAAGGGGACTTTGGGGGATTAGATGTAGTTCTAATAAAATATGAGACACAATTAGTCGTCCTTGAAAATGTAAAATCGATAAACTTGAAGACTAATTAGCAAACAAATGGAATTTTAAGAGCCAAAATGACAATAGGTTGAAAGTTTAAACTCGTAAATGAAAGGACTTATGAAGTCGGGAGTTTCTAAGTAATTTTCGAAAATATTCATTTTCAAACTCACAATCAGGAGTTTGTAAGATCAATAAAAATCTTATATAGTAAATAATTTATTAATTGTATACACAAAAATTTAACAGATTAATGATAAACCAATTAGCAAATGACACGTGTTAATTGAGGCTTGATGGTCTCAATGAGCGACACGTGTCGATTATCTTTCTTTCCTTTAATATATATAACGATTTTGCCTACAATAACTGAAAATTCAAAGTGGTGGTTACTAAGATTCTGTCTTGGCTTATCTTAATTAATTTTTCTGGAGGTATCCTCCTCTAGTGGTGGTGGTGGAAGTGGTGCTTCACTGGGGAGGTCGTGCAATCATTGTTGGCCGAGATTGATTTGAAGGGAACCGGTGTGAAAGGTTAGTTATCTAAGTAATATTTTTCTCCAATCTAATCATATTTTGCTTTTCGAGGATGAGTTTTTTCGTATTTTTTAGTTAATGTCTCGTACACATTTTTGTTCAATTTTCCCCTTTCTTTTCAGTTAGTTATCTAAGTAGTATTAGTCCCCAATCTATCATATGTTGCTTTTCGAGGATGAGTTTTCTAGTATTTTCTTTAGTTAATGTCTCTCGTACGCATTTTTGTTCAATTTTTTCCCCTTTCTTTTCAGTGTGTAAGTTGCTATGCTATTGATGTAAATGATGTAAACATGTCTCTTCAGATGTAGTTGTTTCCTGCCTGTATTTTGTGCGACACCGTGTTTACACTTTTGCTATATATTCCCTCCCTGGCGTCTCTCTCTTTAAAAAACAAGAACCCTTTTGCTTAAATGTGATATCAATTCTCAACTAAAAAAGAATATCCGCCTTTTCTCATTAGTCTTGGTATATGCCTATGCTCAAATTATTCAAAGATACCTGGTCAGGCGCAATATTACTTACGGGTTACTTCTTGATAAACCATTTTGTTGGGCCACTCGCATCCTATCCAGGGGAAAAATGAGTTGATTGGGAAGCTGAAGGATTGTGTGTTGAGGCATGCTTCTGAGCTTGAGAGGCTCAAAGGAACTTTGGAAGCGGAGAAAAAAGCTATGTTGTCTGAGAAGAATGCTCTTAAGGAAGAGTGTCGACAAAAAGAAAATGAAAACAAGGTAATGTTGGAATTTTTTTTGGAGTAGCTGCCTGTTGGTGATTTTGGTATGGATTTGATGATGTAAAGATATATTTATTGCATTGATCACAGAAAGCCTTGGATTGTGTGTCGTGGCATGTTTCTGAGCTTGAGAGGGTCAAAGGAACTTTGGAAGCAGAGAAAAAAGCTTATGGAATCTGAGAAGGATGCTCTTAAGGAAGAGTATCGACAAAAAGAAAATGAAAACAAGGTAATTTTGGGATTTTTTTTGAGTAACTGCCCCTTTGTGATTTTGGTTTGGGTTTGATGATGTAAAGATATATTTATTGCATTAATCGCAGAAAGCCTTGGAATCTGCATCAGCCTTGTTTGTTGAGCAGAAGAGATTGATGAAGAAAAAGATGAAGGAAAAGATGAACAAAGAGATGGATGGAGGTTGGAATTGTTTACGTGATACTCTTGCCACAATTACTGAGATGGTAAGAGATCTCATTTGATTTTACTTGATACAATGTAGGTTTTTTTTTTTCCTTTTCAAAATTGTTATGCTACAATGATTTTGATCATCTCCTGATCATGTCTCCCCTCTAGACTAAGGCGCACGCTGCAAGGCCTCGAACTGCTCCTGCTCCTCTGCTACTAGATTGCTTGAGATAATGGATCCATTGACCCAGACGGCGCAAATTCAATGTGTTTTACTCCATTGTCCTCACGCAGAACCTCATTTTCCAATGTCAAGCCTTGCATTATATGTCATTGACTGGGAATGAGTTTTGCCTTTACTTCTCAGAACTTTCATAGTAGAATAATGAATGCAGATGGGTTCCATCGATAGAGTAGTATGCAGGTTTCTTTAATGGAGTAAGGGCCCACATTTGTTTTGGTTTCGTTTTGCTTTGAATGCTTTTCGTTTTAAACTGCTTTAGTCCCGAAGTAATTATCTAATTTGAGATGTGTGGCCATTTTGGAATCTTGCTTTATTTGGCCGTTTCGGTCCATTTTTTTGAACTATATATCTAGGAAATTAAAGAAGAAAAGATAATTTCTTTTGAACTGAATGTAAATTGAAGGCGGGGAAGTTAAACGGGGGCTTAGGGTATACCCCTCTGTTATTCCTAGAGAACGACTGCAAAGGAATACTTTGTACACGTAATTTAGGCAAACGAACACTTGATTTTTGAGTTATTATATACAAAGCGAAGAAAATGGACCAAAACAGCTAAATAAAGCAGATGCCAAACAACTATTTATCAAGAAACGATTTATAGGAACGATATATCTAGGAAGTTAAGAAATGATACAAGTCCAATGAAGCAATGAGATCAGCGAGCAGCTGATATTACAATGTCTTGTTGAAGGATTTGGATCTAGTTTAAGCATTTCCAATTACTTTCGGATCACAAAGAGAGTGGAAAAGCCTACTCTCCGATATTGAGAATGCACTTCCAGTGCATCTCCATGTTTGTGCTTCGTAATCAACTGCTTAGCAATTGTATGCAGAACGAGATCCATCATTTTTGATCCGCCACAAGTTGAGAACCTTTTTAGAGCACGAACGAGACGGAAGCTCCAAGTTGTGAAATCTGTTAAAACACTAAATAATTTCAGAGTACATGGTAGTACTAGATAGTAGATATTACAAAGTCTGGTCAGTCTCGCAGCCCAGCTTCACTATCTCCCCGCTCCGAGTTTCCAATCTGTGGAATAAAGGTTGATTATCGCTCGGGGCCTAAGCGCACCAGGGTCGGGGTCTCGACCAGCATATAGATGGCAATGCGGGCAGAGAGAACCGGGCAGTTGGCAAGGCGTGAATGATTTGAGAGAATACCATGTTGTTTTTGAGTGAAACAACATCATTTGCAAAAAAGACAGACCGAGACTACATGAAGAACAAGATTTATTTTCCAGGAATCTGTGGTATCTTATTGTATGGAAGATAGGAGGTATCATACTTTTGGAGAGAAGGACCTGTCAAGTAAGAGTCTTAATCATACGGAACTGCAATTGCATTGCTGTTTGATTGAGCCTACTAAAGAACAAAGACTAAAATGTCCAAATGGTCCCTTACATTTGGGTCTACTTGAATTTACCTCTCTAACATTAATATTTCAATATGAGGGATGTTTTTGTCTTTTAATTTAATTTAAATTTAAAATCATTAAAAATATTTTAAAATTCAAATTTCATTATTTAATTGTTAAAATATTAGTTATTAATTAAAAATATTATTATATAATTTTAAAATTTATCACTATTTTCAAAATTACTTTTTTCATTTACTATTTACTTTAAATATACAGTAAATGGTAATTATGTTGTACTTTTAACTTGGGCCTACTGTAACTTAAAAAATTTACCGAGTTACAGTAAATAATCCAAAATTCAATTTTTTTTAAAAAAAAAGGAAAAGCAAAACAAATATTTTTTTTGACCGCTACCGTAAACCCTAAATGGTAATTATAATACAATTTTAACCTTGGACTCACTGTAACATAAAAAATTTACTGAGTTATAGTAAATAATTCAAAATTTATTCTTTTTTTTTAAAAAAAAAAGCAAAACCAAGATTTTTTTTTTACTCTGACCGCTATAGTAAACCCTAAATGGTAATTATGTTGTACTTTTAACCTTGGAACAATTGTAACTTAAAAAATTTACCGAGTTACAGTAAATAATTCAAAATTCATTTTTTAAAAAAAAAAAACAAAACAAAACAAAGTAATTGACCGCTACAGTAAACCCTTATGTTGCACTTTTAACCTTGGACCCAATGTAACTTAAAAAATTTGTCGAGTTATAATAAATAATTCAAAATTCAACTGTAGCGGTCAAAGTAAAAAAAATCTTGGTTTTGGTTTTTCCTTTATTTTTTAAAAAAAATTTGAATTTTGAATTATTTATTGTAACTCAATAAATTTTTTAAGTTATAGTGGATCCAAGATTAAAAGTGCAACATAATTACTATTTAGGGTTTACTGTAGTGGTCATAGTAAAAGAAATGATTTTGCTTTTTCTTTCTTTTTTTTTAAGAAATTGCATTTTGAAATATTTACTGTAACTCGATAAATTTTTTAAATTACAATGGGCTCAAGGTTAAAAGTGCAACATAATTACTATTTACTTTGACCTAAGCTAAATGATAAATGAAAAAATTAATTTTGAAAATAATGTAAATGTTAAAATTTTATAATAATATTTTTAATTAATAAATAATATTTTAAAAATTAAATAATAAAATCTAAATTTTAAAATATTTTTAATGATTTAAATTTTAATAGAAATTTAAATTAAATTAAAAGACAAAAAATACCCCTGATTCCGGCATGTCAACGACCGGAAACAGTGAAATGGGACCGAAAAAGTTTGAAAACATAATTTTTGGAACTACGATATTGAAATGTTAATGTTAGGGACGTAAATTCAAGTAGGCCCAAATATAAGGGACGATTTGGACATTTTAGTCAAGAACAAAACAGTGAACGAATTGATTGGTTTGGAAAGTCTTGTTGAAGCAAGGAAATTAGAGACTTTTTGAAGGGCGGCAAAAGGAATAATTTCTTCATCTCGGTCACCCGGGAACCGACCCGGCCAGTCACGGGCAGATGTCATGTCATTCGTGAGATGAGTAACGACCTGGTTGCCGCTTGGGGACAGATGTTACAGTGGCACATGGATGAGTTTCCGGCAAGACCAAAGGTGTCGAACAATTTTTTCATCCAGGGGAGAGAGCCTAGGCCAGAGCCTTCTGTTCTTTGAAACAATATCTTCATGGAGGGCCAAAGGTTGTTGCTGTTCAACAACTTCAACGGTAGAGAAATTGAAGTTCCAGGTGAATACTTGTTTTTTCTAGATCTGAACTCTTTTGTGTGCTTCTTTCCCGTTGGGTTCATTGAGTTTCTTCATCAAACATTTCTGTTTAAGGCTGGTTTCATTGACTTTTACTGTTTGACAGCAGGAGTGGAACATTCGGTTCTGGTTGTCAACGCTTTGGGCGAAGACGCCGTGGAAAGGGTCGTTTACGTCGGCCCTACAGCCGGTCTTCCTCCGGTTCAGCCTCGTGCTCCTCGTGCTGCCCGTGCCGCTGCGCCAGCCCCTGCTGTTGCACAGGCTCCTGCTGTTGCGCCAGCCCCTGCTGTTGCACATGCTCCTGCTGTTGCACACGCTCTTGCTGTTGCCCCAACTCCAGCGGCCGCCGCCGGCGAACTGTTGCAGGAAGCTAGCGATGAGTGAACAAGTTATTGATGGTGGGAAGAAAGTGGCTGCCGTCCTTCATTTTGCTTTACTTTAATTCTGCATTTAGTTGTTTATGGCTTTAAGTCATTTGAAAGGAACGGTTATTTCTAATTATCTTTTGGATTTAGCTCTATTTGATGGATATGAGACTATGTTATTATGTACTAAATGTCTTTTGTTTCGGTACATCTTTTGTTGGATGATTGTTGTTTAAACAGTTATGATCGTTTGATGGGTATTGGAATATGTTATTATAGGAAAAATTGGCCGATCTACTCAAAGGTTTACATGCGTTACATTATTCTTTATCGGTTAGTCAATATTACCTTAAGCTATTCAACCGTTAGTCAATTTTGTCCAATTTATCAATTTCCGTTTAAATTAACGGAATTCTGTTAGTTTTAATTACAAAAATACCTTAATAGTTTTAAAAATTATAAAAACGACCCAAAATTTGTAAAAATAACCAAACAGTCTCTATTCAATTTTTATTTAATTTTTTTTGTTTTTTATTTCTTTTACTATTTTTCATAAATATAAAAATATATTATATGATCTTCTAAAAAAAACTATTTATTTTTAAACACTACAGTGCAAATTTATAGATATATATATATATATTTTTGTAACTCATGGTTGATTTATATAAAAATATTATTTTTTTAATAATATAACTTGACAACAATGATATTATTTTTTAATCATTTTTTTCAGTTTAAAGAATAAAATTTTTTTTACTAAAACTAATTTTTTTAGAAAAAATTAAAACATTCAACATAGATTAAAAATTAATATATTAGTACATTTTAATTTATTAAAAATTAACTAAACAGACTATATAATGTATCATCCAATTCAAAAAATTAAACTAAAATATAGGGTACAATCTAGTGTTTAAGATGTTGAGTTTCATGAGAGTAAATATATATAAGATTAATTCTCACCAAAACATTTATAACCGGGAGAATGATTTTATCCACATTTAAGATGGGTCTACTAAAGGTGAGAGGGTTGAGTTGGATGGTCAGGTGATTTAAGATGGAAGATGATTATTACTGTGTTCGAAGCCTCGATTCTCACTAGGACAATCTAATTTTTTTTAAGAAAAATGGTGGAATCCAGTGCTGGAGTAGATTTTTTTTACTTTGTTTCATTAAAAAAAAAAACTTCCTACTAAAGTTAGATATGTTAAAATCTCAAAAGAATTATTACGAAATGTTAAACCCTCGCAATGATAAATATAAATATTCTTTTATAAAATATTTTGTACAATTTTTGTAAATGCCACGACACTATATTCTTGTGATGGACAAATGTAGAATGAAATAGGTATTCTTTTCTTTTCACTTTTTGTTCGTACTTGGCCTTTTAAAGAAAATTTATATTTTAGTTTAATTTTTTTAATTTTACAATACAATCTAAAGTCTGTTGAATTAAATTGTAATACATTAAAGTATACCAATAATTTTTTTTAATCTATGCTAAATGTTTCACTTTTCTGTGCAAAATTAATTTTAGTTAAATAATCTTATTCTTTATATTAAAAAAATGGATTAAAAAAATAGTATCATTACTGTTAAAGTAAAAATTAATATGTTTATGTAAATCAAACATGACTTACAAATATGTAATTATAAATTTATACATTAGAGTTAAAAAATAAATATTTTTTTCAAAGATCATATAGTATATTTTTATAGTTACAAAAAAAAAGTAAAAAGAAATAAAAAACAGAAAAAAATTAAGTAAAAATTGAAAAGAGACCGCTTTGTTATTTTACAAATTTTTGAGGTTATTTTTATAATTTTTAAAACTATTAGGGTATTTTTATAATTAAAAATAATAGAATTCCTTTAATTTAAACGGATTAGCAAATTGGACAAAATCGGCTAATGGTTAGATAATTTAGAGTAATATTGGTTAACTGAAAAAGAATAAGGTAGAATTGACAACGTATGTCAACCTTTGGGTAAATCGGCTAATTTTTCCTGTTATTATATATGTACTGAATTCTTAAGGCCAAGTAATGCTACAAGTTTATCTCCCTCATTATTATTTGTAGAGATCTGAAATTTTATTTCTTTTTGGTACAAAGAGATCTGATTTTTTAAATGCACGTTTTCTTGTGAAAAATCCTCTACTTATCATTATCATGGACCTCCCAATTGCTGGTGAGCTCTTTATTCTGGGCTTTTCATTTTTCTGGGCTTTTCTAGCTCTTTCTCATAAAATTTGGTCTCACTGTCAATTGATGCTTCAAAAGGCCACTTTTATTTATTTTTATTTTATTTTATTTTATTTTATTTTTGTGTATTTCTGGCTTTTGATCTTGGATACATTCTGCACTTGTAGTAATTATATCATCCTCAGGCCTTCGGAAGTTGGAGATAAATAAACAAAGTCTACTTACTTTATTTGTTGGATAACACTTCTGTCCCCAAAAAAATAATCCAGATCGAGTTTTGAGATTTGTACTTAAATTTTTTTTGGAACGGAAAGTGTATTGTTTTGTGTATACTGCTTCATATATAGAATAGACACAAATGCAAATATACTGGATGTTTGTTGTGCATAGCTTCCAGTAGGCACACAAGGCCATAAGTTTCTTTTCTTTTTTTTTAATATATACTGGAGAAGCTTTCGCTTAGAACTACAATACCAATCCGGGAGAGGGAGATGGGTAATCAAAAGTTAATTTATCCATAACTATATCCGGAAGAGGCCATCAGTTTCTTTGATACACAAGCATTTTTGTTCCAGGGAAAAAGAAGTCTTGTTTGTCATTAACATCATTCTTATTTCGAGACCGAAAAAATACTTATTCCTGTGATTGAGTATCGTACATTTCCAACTACACTTTGCACTTTATCTGAAAAATTCCGCAAACATTCCACGAAAAATCTATTGTAATGACGAATCATGAAGATTAATATCGTCTGCTTACCTCTAAACAAGTCAAAATTTGGTGATACTTCATACAGGTCAGGAATGATATCACTTGTACATATGCTATAGGAGAGTACATGCAAATTTTTCTGCGACAATTCTCCTAATAATATCATCATTATCATTAAATCCCCTACAACGATTATATGCATCAAACAGGAAAAAGAGAGGGGGCGGGGTGGTGGAGTCAACTGAAGTTAACAAAATGTGCAATGGATTCCAAGCATGCAGACGGTGAGAAGAGCTCATTGTTGTTTTTCGATTCCAAAAGACAGTCTTCCGACACAGGGAATTCATCAAGTCCCCATAACTAGCATACTCTAAAAGATGCACAACATTTGATCCATTCAGTAAAGCAGCAACGTGAACTTTGCAGATTTACATTAGCTTCTACTACATATGACGCCCTCGCCTATCTTCCTGAGATGAGTTCCATGTGCATTATTACTCTAAAGTTAAACAGATTATTCTTTTGGAAAGCTCAATATACCTCTTGGTTACATATCCACATACCTTTCCCAAATCTCTGGCCAAATTGAGTCTTCTAAAAAGTCTACTTGTATGGAGCAAATAATATCGATGAGTTGTGTCCACCAAATCCAAAAGAATTTGACAAAGCTACTTTGATGTCTACTCGTTCTTTTCTCGGGCCAACCAATACGTTAGCATCCTGATTGACAGAAAAAAATCATCATGAGAGTGAAACAAAGCAAATCCTGTTTATAGAGTATACTCTATTCCGTAGTTTGGAACGACCATAGAACACTAGATGCCGGAACCAGAAATATGAAGACTTAGTATGAATATTAATAGACAGTAAATCAAGCAGATCCAGGTGACAAAAAATTCCACAAAAAGTTTAATGATGCCATAGTGAGACATTTGAAGCAACGAACAGCAGGCTATATTCCCCAATATTATTTGTTGAGCTCTGATTTTAGCAAGAACCACTATCCAGATAGGAGGGGTGTCTCCACAATAATAATCTAAGGTAACGGTTATATATATCAGGAATATATTTTGTGACTTCGATTGGCTCTAATCTAGAAGTATTTAAGAATAAGTTTTTTAAGCAGTGAAAATTGGGTCCAAACGGGGAAAGGACTAACAAACGATTGAGGTTTTTCCTTCAATCGTTCCGTGACTATAGCCTCACACATAAGGAGCTCTAGATCAAATCCATGCTTCCAATGATAAGGAAAAGGAAATGCAATAAGATATGATCAGCACAAATCTCTCCTAATCGGAAAGCAGATGCCTAAGAGTACAAAGAAACATACCACACCATCATCTGGACTTTCCAGGTTGATATTTGGATGAACCCACCCAGTCCGTATAGCCTGCATGAAACAATGTTCTGTTAAAGCAAACCAACAAATCCTCAGAAACAAAACGATTGTTGCACCAGAAAAGGAGATTGCTACTTCCAACATTCCATCTGTTAAGTTTTGAAACTACAAAAAGTGATTCCTGACTTGCTCTTCCCAAGCAGGTCTTTCAACACAACATTTCCACATACTTGGATATCATTTAGACAGCAAACTCTAGTGAGAAGGCAATTATGGGTAGCCGATAAATATACGCATGCAAAACATTATGTAATAAAGGACCAAGATGATGTTATATGTCTTTTGACCGAGGCACACAAATAACTTAAATCTCAAGGACCAAGCCCATCATTTGGCTAATGTAAAAAAAATATCAAACAAAGTTTACAAAATGGCCGTTAAGTAGATATTATTGAGCCCCAAGCTGACCAGTTAAGTCCCAATTCCTATATCTGGAACTACTACTAATCAAATGGTTCTGCAATCCCCCGCAACTAAAAGCTCACTCTCTTTTCTTTGTTGTTTCCTGTTTAAGTCTATTTGAACTAGGCATCATTTTATGTTGGTTATTATCTTAAATAATTTTCGTTTCAGCAATAAACTTTTCTAGTTTCTCATCTTTAACTATGACGAGCTGCACACAACAGTTCTCTATCTAATCAGGAGGAATTCTCATGGAAATGCAAAGGACCTAGTTTAGGGCTTTTTTATCAATTATAATTGTGTGGAGGATTTATGACTGTATTAGTATCACTATCGAGAAACCTTTTTTTATAACAATTCTTCACCTTCTTCTCTTTGAATGAATATGTTCTCGGATATGTGCATAAGAGAAACAATATATGGAATGTGATACAAATGGAATGACACAGCCAGAAGTATAAAGCACAGTCAGTGGCTCATTGAGAAATACACATCTCAGTCATATATCTGCAACAACCTTCAGAGACATGGAATGGCAGCGGTATGATATTGAACAGTGCCTATTTCAAACTGAAGTGTTCCAAACATACTTTAACATTTGCACCACCTATCACTTGTGAGATTTCCATACAACGAAAAATGAAACATGATCCAGTAGACATGGATCCATTAATCCTAAGCAAAAACAACTATGGCAATACCTGCACGGTTGCAACTGCTTCAACAGCTCCAGCTGCTCCCAGCAAATGGCCAATCATTGATTTTGTGGAGTTCACTCGTAACTATAGGAATTGACAAGCAGTACACATCAGAGCTTGCAAATGACAAGCGAATGCAAAAAGGAAAAAAGAAAAAAAAAGGCATGATGAAGTTGAACGTAACCTCTTGGTTCTGGCCAAAACAATGAAGAAGAGCCTGATATTCCTTAAGATCTCCTGCTGGCGTGGATGTAGCATGTGCATTTATGTAGTTCACATCTTCCCGAGACACACCAGACTGAGCTAAAGCCTTCTCTATACACAGGATGACACCGGTTCCTGTAAATGCATGCAACAATCTGAATGTCTTAATACAGAAATCAGTAACTAATTTATCGTAAGTTCATGATCTGCGGTCAATTACTTAAACTATGCAGAGGAACCATTGATCTTTGAACCATCAGAAGTTTGCTTAGCATAGACGCAATTCTAGACATAAGCAAAGAATTTTAATCTAACACATAAACAGCGTGCCTGAGAAAAGAGTTCGTCATAGTTTACGGAGGCCCACATCATGTTAGACCAACTTATCTAAAAGTCCGAGGATTAGGCTAATGTGAGCTATTGGTCATAGGAAGATGCGATTCTTAAGATAACTTTTAAAAACATAAGTCGGAAACTGATACATTGGCAAGGTATTTCTGTATGACATTCTTCACTCTGACTAAGACTGTCCCTCTATCATGTCATTACGCTAGACGAGGGAATACGACTTATTTTTCAGAAGAGTTTCCATCCACAAGGTACTGTAGTAACCTATTTTTTGACTTATTTGGGTAACCTATTCCTTGTCAAGGGTCACAAAAGTAACAAGAAATATAAAAATAAGGTTTTCAATTATTCATATTTATTCAAGCTTATCAAGCAAATTTAATACAAAACTAAAATCACATAATAAGAAACCAATAAGACTCAACCAAACTAAAGGTATCAGAGATCCCAAGCCAAAAAAAACAGCTAATTACAGTACCTTGTGGATGAGGCTCAGTCATGTGATAAGCATCAGAAGTGAAACTTCCACCCAGGAATTCCGCATATATTGTTGCACCCCTTTTCTGTTGGTTATCAACACAAAAACAAAAATCAAAAGGCAAAAAAGTACAATAAGATGAGGATGGGGTAAAGGAAAATTCCAGAATATCTAAGTCACAGGATTCAATTAAAACGTCCAAAATGTGTTACCTTGGCATGCTCAAGTTCCTCAAGAAGTAAAACTCCAGATCCTTCTCCCATCACAAAACCATCACGATTCTGTCAACCAAAGAAAATGAATCTTTATGTCTAAAGAACGCCAAAGAAGAAAGACTAAGTTTGAAAGACTCTTTACCTCTTCCAGGAGGTTTTGTGAACCTAGGTCTTTTTTAAACTTTACAACAGGAGTCCAGTTATCACAGTTTTATTCTAAAAACAGTACATTAAAAAATTGTTGAGAAACTATCACAGGAGACATTAAAATCTTCGAAAAAACACTAGATCAGGAATAACATTCTTCATAGCCAGCTTTTGGTCAAGGTAACAGAAACAAGTCCTGCTTCAGTTCCAGCAAATTACCAAACTTGAGTGTAACACAATATAACAAAAGCATAGGATGCTAAGAGATTACACTGTCCCAAGGGCGAGAAGCTTTACTGGGATCACTGTTTCTTTGAGAAAGTGCTCTGCAAGCCACGAAACCACCCAGTCCTGCAGCAGGATTTGTAATAATGAAATTCATACTCCCTGATAAGAAATAAATGAAAATCTATAAACAAATAAAAGGGATACCAATGGGTATGATTGCAGCATCAGAGCCACCACAAAGCATCATATCCTGCACATTCTCTACATTATTAGAAAGCAGCAGTGAGGAGTTTCAATTACTACGCATAATTACACTTGTCTTAACCATTTAGGATAAAGGAACTACTATTAGCAAAGTTCAGGCACCCAAAATTATAGTTGAAAGCAACACTTACAGCTTCTCCTCTAATGATGTGATTGGCTGCATTCAATATGCAGAAGTTACTTGTTGCACATGCAGTAGATATTGAATAGTTTGGACCCATCCATCCCTGAATTGAACCAATAACACATATTTCAGAATAATATTGACCAGTTCAATTTATTCACTCATATATATTGAGTAATACAAGCACGGAAGATTTATGCTCACCAAATCCATGGCCAGCATGGCAGATCCCATGTTTGTAGTAGCAAAAGGCACACAAAAGGGATTCATCTTCTTGTATGAGATCCTTAAAGCTTCAATTGCATCATTGAAAACCTGCTCCAATAACAACGAACCAGGAAAAAAAAAGGTGAGTTTCCTGAAACTTGTTAGTAAGTTGCAGAGACTACATCCTCAACTTTTAAGTACGCAGAAGATATTTCACTTCAGTGAACTTGATAAAATATGCAATGCATTCAAATTCAAAGGACTAGTAGAATGTGAATATAACCATAAAAAGTTTTATCATGACTAGTTTAGAAATGTTTATCACAACTAGTTTAGAAATGTTTCTAGGTAAGGTTTACAACTCCAGAGTAGTGGGCTAGCAGCAAAAGCAGCATTTGGACAAATTTACAAACACAAAAAGCATACGGAAACAGAGAGCATAATCACCTTCATTCCACCCATAGCTGAACCTATCAACACTCCACATCTTGTTTTGTCTAATTCATTCATGACATCGTCTGAAATTCCAGCATCAGCCAATGCTTTCTTTCCAGCTGTCAGCATGTAAAGCATGAACTTGTCCATTCTTTTAGAGAGCTTAGGAGCAACCCAACCATCTGTTGAGAAAGACTTTATCTCTCCAGCAATTCTCTGTGTTTAAACAATTTACAGTTAAATAGAAGTCATGGGCCAATAAATAAAAGAAGGGCAACTACGATTGACGTACTGTGGGGAATTGTGAGCAATCAAAAGCCTCTATCTCACTTATTCCGCTACGACCTTCAAGCAAATTACTGTAAAACTCTTCTGGATCATGACCAAGTGGAGTTTCAACACCCATCCCTGTCACAACCACTCTCCTTTGCTTGGTGGGAGGCTTCTTCTTTGGAGTGGCTTCCATAACAGGTTGCACAGCTACTGCCACTACTTTACCTGAGATACACAAAATGATTTCTAAATCAGGACAATCAATTTGGAATCTCTGAGACATACATATCAGAGTGGTTTCTTAGCAGAAAACAGTTTCATCAGAACCATTTCACAGATGGAAAGTGCAGGACTGAAGAGAAAAGCACCAGTGAATAAGTTAGATTTGTTTATTATTTCAAACAATAACCATCTGGAACCTCAAATTGAATTTAACCTCTTCCCAGAAATAGAAGTAAAATTTTGAAAAATAACTTCCCAGACATAGATTAAGCCGCAGTAAGATGATCCAGACTCTATCCGAAGGAGGACATTGAGACAACAAGCAAGCAAAATTAGCAAACTAAACTCAAACCGATGTCACCCACCAATATCAACGAATGAAATTACACTAATTCACATGTTATGCAATTCGTCTTTGTGAACATATGGAATGCATTTACCGACATTATCTTCGTTTATCAAAAAAGAATTATTGAAATAAAACAGGAATTTAATCACAAGAGACAAGTTAAAACAAGCAGTTTCCCCAACACTTCTGCTAACTGGTAATTGTGAACGTTATGTAAAAAGACGCCAGAGGGCAGCAAGTACTGGAAGGTAATAAGCAGCAGTAAGGTGTTAACCAATACGATGCTTGTGCATAAATGTGAAACACCATGTTCCCCAATCATCCAGCAACAACTCACTCAAACACAATATGCGAATCTCAAGTCTCGCTAATTGTCAATATTACAGAACCAAACTAAATCAAGGAAATTAGTCTTACTACTCCACAAATTTGGCATGATCACCTTTTCCAAATACTATCAATAGGATCAGAAAATATACAAAAACACCATGTGAACCCCTCACAAGCCTGCCCAAGAGTTTTTGAACAAATGACAAGTAAATCGCCACCACCTTCATTCAGTCCCGTCAAGCTACCCAAACACCCTTTCCAGCCCCTGCCCCCATTTTTTCTTTATAAACCCAGATCAGAAAACAGAGCAACCTTAAGATTCCCAACAAATGGTCGGCTTTAAGTCAGGCCCAGATCCCAAATCAAAAGGCGAAACCGGTGATTATCCAGCAAAAATAAAAAATAAAAAAATGCAAATAAAAGCCTAAAAAGAAAAGGCAATCAAATCGTACGAGAAATCCAGAGACTTAAAGAGGAGGAAAGAAAATAAACCCAGGATTACCATTTTGGGCAAGATTTTTATGCTTATCGCTCCTCCGAGCCGGAGCAAGAGCTCCATTGTCACCGGAGAAGAATGGGGAGGAAGCAAGAGCCAACGACGAAAACGAAGAAGAAGAAGAAGTAGACCTACGGAAGTTATGGCAGGGCTCAAAAGCCAAACAGGAGCTCATGAGATTACGAATTCTAGAGAATTCCGGGGCGTATCTAGCGGAAATAGGGAAAGCCCTCTTCCTTTTACGAGCAGCCCATTTGGAGAATCGGGAAGACAAACAGGGGTTGGAGCTCAACATAGAGACGGAAGCGGGGGACTCATTCTCGCAAGCAACTGACATGCATGCCGCCATTAACCACGAACACACCACCGAAGAAGCCATCCCACTGAGTCCCCCCAAAAACCACAATCTATCAGCACCTTACAAAAAAAAAAAATGCAATCCGAATCCTCTCAATTTAAGCATACATTCAAATGCATGAATCGGTATTTCTTAAAAAAAAAACCGCTGATTAGGAGGATGCTTAGATGGGGGGGAGTGAAGAAAAGGGATGAAGAAGCGTTTTATTGTTTTTGTAAACTGGCAAAGTAAATTTCTGAATCTGATGCAGTGATGAGAGAAGAAGAAGAAGAAGAGAGAGGTGGGGTGGGTGGGCTTGTAATGTATGGGAATTTTGTCGTTCTACTGTGTGACTGTGTGCGTTTTAGAGTTGGAGACGCCAAGTAAGCTCTGTTGAAAGACAAATATTACACACATTTTTGCCTTTCTTTTTTTCTCTTGTCCAAAACAAACAAACATACGTCAAATATTTGAGTGTTATTTTATTTTTCCTACAAATAATAACCAAAGACGGATATATGGTTTTTAATATTAAAAAATTGTAATATTATAAGTGTAATTAGTTTTTTTACCTATAAAACAGGTATTGTATTATTTTTAAAAAAATAAAATCCAAGACGATATCTCACAGGCATGATTTATAAAGGATCTAAGATGACCAATAGTGTAAGGAAAATGATTATTGTTATTAAGCTCGCAACACAATGTGTTTTATTAGTAATATATATATATTATATTGGTCATTAGGTCTCAATCACTATTCAGTTAATTATATGTAGATACTTTTTTCTATATCTATGAAGTCATAGTATGATGAGGTATATGCTAAAGTATATGGGGGTAGTACAATTTTGTTTTGGTGGACAAAATCTGAGTCGCCCTCCCACCACTAATTTTTTTTTTTAATAATAATTTCTGAATCCCTGAAAAATAAAAATAAAAAAAAAATGAAGCCAAAGGGGAAAAAGAAATATCAAGAGGAAGTAAAGGAGGAAGGTGCCAAGTGTACATTTTGTCATTTTACTTTCTCTCTCCATTATCCAAGTGTTGTATGTTAATGTTATTGTGTGGTTTTGAAGTTGTAAAGGAAATTGAAGGATTGGCGTGAGTGAGTCACTAATTTTAAATTTTGGGACCATTTCCTTTTATTTTCGTACCCATGGAAAAAGTAAAATTGAGGCCATGAACGAAATTGAATAAATTAGTTATTTTTTATGTTTCGTAAAATTAATTCACTTTCACTATATCATTTCATTTTGTTTTTTGAAAAACTATCTTTTCTTACATATTCATTATATATCTTATGAATATATTAAACTCGATAACCTTTTTTTCCATAAAATCTTCATCAAGCAACAATGAAGTTCTTATTAATTTATGAGGAAAAATAATAAGAATGTTTCGTCAGTTTAACAAACAATACTTTTATTTTAAAACGAAAAGAGTATCTTAAACTAGGGATGATACAGATAGTGAAAAGTTATAGTGAATTTGGATAGTGACAAATGAAAATACAAATACATCACACAGTTACTAAACATATTAATTATTAATTAAGAGTAAAAATATAAAACTTCAACGAAAAAGTGGCAAGAGAACATGATTAGTGTACATCAGTCACTAGTTTTATTCACTATATATATATATATATATATATATATCATTTTCCATCTTAAATATGTTTCTTTTTAATATAATCACCGCTGTGAGATTATAGTCCCACGTTGCTAGTATTAAATTGAATAGCAGTCAATCTTGTCAATTATCTTGATCAAATTGTACAATCAGTTCAAATCCATTGAAACTACAGTTTCGATGTTCATTTGTAACCAAATTTTGTACGGCATCAGCTACCTATGGAGAGAACAAGAGTTGAGCTTCATTAATTATTCGAACCCAAAAAGAAAATAACACAAGAAACAATAAAGGATGATTAAACCTTAATTTGAGTAAGTTTGTTACTTGTCTTTTTCCACAAAACAACTTGACAAATTAATTAAAATTTTTGGGTAGTAGATACAACCTTTTTCTTGACCAAATGTCATAGGACCGTAATTCCACAAGAATTTTAAGGACTTGCAAGTTTTGTTTAATTACTGTTTTCGTCTAGAATCCATTTTTTTTATAAAAAAAAAAAACCAATCAATCACGGATGGTTAAATCAATTCTACACAAAAAACAGCTCAAAACATTTTTTTTTCTCAACCACTTTGTTTGCCTTTTCCATTACGGGCATGTTTGATAACAATAACATATAATCCGTGCTTAAGGGGTGCTTGGTTAAAATTTCTTTGCAATGGAAATTTTAATAGATTTGATTGGGGTTTAATAGGAGTGATCTATGATGAGGCAGAGTAATTAATCAAGATAGGTTTATATATATATTTATATATATATATATATTATATCCGGTGTCTAAAATTATTGCTTCAACCAATCCGAAATCGAGCCGGATAGATCCTTTTGGTTGTTTTGCTTTTATTTGACTACTATTAAAATAATGGCTATTGCTGGTACAACCACAGTACAAATAAATTAAAAAGCAGAATTGAGATTTAACGTGATTTTTAATATTCAATGACTTATGTTCAAAAAAAAATAAAAGACGGAAAAAAGAAAGGAAACAAATTCCTTAATTACACGTCCTGGTTGCAGCGGCAAACTTTGAGATGGATGGACCCGTAATGTGATCCGGAGGATGGAGACGTTTCCCATGACCACATTTACCAAATGATGATCTATAGTGCTCCGTCCATTTTGGTTACTAACCATATTTATTTCGATGATAAAATAAACTGTTAAAATAGGACGGAGAGAAAGTAATGCATACTGTGATAATAATGAGAATGGCGAAATTTGATTCAACTGGGAATGGGGGGCGGGGTGTTAACAGTTGAAAGGCACTGACTGAAGAAGACATCCGTGATATTATTGAAGACGCCGTGTGCTAACAAGTGCAAATTTCCGATCGTAATTTATGAGGATACACGTTTTGATGATAATGAAATTTTTGAAAGCTATGTCTCAACACATATGAGCAAAAAGTGTGGCCGATGACTCCATATACTTCTCCAATATTTAAAAAACTTGTGACTTTTTCTTTTTTCTTTTTCGACACAGATGAAATATACTCCCTCCGGTCCTTAGCTTAAGCCATTTTAATTTTGTTTTAGGTTTCACTTATGATACATTTTTAATTAGAAAAAAACTTTAAAAATATACTTTCATATTCGTCGTGTTCTTCTAATTATTAAAAAATACTTTTAAGATTTTTATTTCAATTAAAATGATATCTTAGGTGCAATTTAGGACAAACTTAAGACAAATCAAAATGTCTTATAATGAGGATCGGAGAGAGTATAATCTTACCCATAACATATTTATACATCAACCATGATTATGTACGTGTAGTATACTCACTTGATATATAGAATGTGAAAATCGCGATTGATTTTAGGGTTCTTACTTGGAATATTTAAGATGAAATGCAAACATTTAGTGTGATGTGGATTGATTTCGGATATGATTCCCGATTGGTTGGTTGTGTCCAATGTCTCACTCTATCTTTAATAAGTTGATAGTAACTCTATATGTGTTGATGATGATACATCAATCAATTATGAAATATCCTTTTTCTTTCTTCTTTTATTCATCGATGATTTATTCAAAATTGATTGAGGATCTATGGTCCGTCTAAGATTGAATGAGGAGGACAAAATTAATCAAACAGCGAGAGGTATGTACCAAATTTCTGTATTTTCAAGTTTTGGGCGTAGTTAGAAAATAATGATTTCAACATGATATAGTTGGATTTTTTTATTTTGGAAAAAAGGATATCAATTTTAGTATGAAAGCTAGAATCAATCAACACTGAGCGATAGGAAAATAATTATTTCAACATGATACAGTTGGATTAGTCTAAGTAGTTCATTCTTTAAACTGTTAGATTTGTAATATTTTTATCATGTTCAAAATCACTGTATTAACTAACTAAAATTCGAACCCGATAGCTCAGCCATGTTTGTTTGGACAATAGTTCATTTTATATTTTCACTTATTTTACCTTTTAAACACAAAACCAAATAGAAAAGAAAACATCATCCAAACAACTTTCTGATTTACATTTTAAATTCCAACTTGAAACACTTTTTGTTAGTGTAATGACCATTTTAGAACTACAAATAGTTCAGTGACAAATTTTGCAGGATTCCGTTAGTGATTGTTTTTGGAAAAGTTTTTTTTTTTTTTTGCAGTGATTATAATTGACAGTATTTAATTATTTAGTGATAACTTGTACTTGATATTTCAAAATGTAGTTTAAAATACTTTTTTTCAAAACCAATATCCAAACAATATTTTTATTTCCCATTTAATTTTTAATTTGAAACACTTTCTACTTTTAAGTAGCAAAATGAAATGTAAGTTGACGTCCAAACAATCACTAAGGTTCTTTTCTCTAACTGAACAACGTACCTGAAAAATAATTGTACTATATTTATTAGGGACAGAAAAAATCAAACTAAGCAGAATAGTTTACTGGTTAATTACGTACCGTAGTAGCAACCCACACATGCAATTTTAAAATTTTCTGTTTGTTTTTTATTATTTTCTCAGATTGAGTTAACTGAAGGAAGAAAAAAAAAAACCCAGCCCACGTGAGATGTTTTAATTTATTTGAGATTCTGGACAAGTCATCGTCATATCATGAGTTCTTCCTCTTCAGAAAGAAAAAGAAATAAAAATGCTAGATTTGATGCAATTTGATGAGATTTGCTATTTCATTTTTATTTTTTTCTTCTTTGTACTTATTTTGAATTTTTGGGATGGAATTCAACGTTAGTCGCTCTCACAATCTGGGAATATTCATATTACAACTGTTTGATTCCTAGGTTAGTAATTTGATTTTTAATTTTTATCTTAACTGTGAGGAATATCCAAATTCCATTTTTTTTTCCCCTCAATGTGGGAGTCATTGAAGTTTAAGTCATGGATAATGCAAAAATTTGCTATTTTTGTAATTGATTTGGCCGGAATCTGGCCACTCCAATAGCCGCGTCGTCATGATTTATTTCTTCTTCCTCTTCCTGTATAATAAAAAAATATAAAATCTAAAATTTAAAGAACTATATAAGGCATTTCTGTGAGGCGGACCTTATAAAATTATACTCTAGCCACGGAGCCAGTAGCAGCGTAGCAATGATTTGAATAAAGGTTGAAAATGAAAACAATAATAAACGATATTTAAGGTCAAAATTTATAAATTTCATACTCTCTTTATCCTAAAATTATTGTCCTGTTTGGATTTGCACTTTTAATTTAATTTGTACTAAAAATGAAAATCCAAATTAGATAATAATTTTGGGACGGAGGGAGTACAGTTTTAGAAGGGTGTGACCTGGTTTGTTGCCACTCTTCCGCCATTATAACAATGATGATAACACTCTTTCAACCAATTGTTTTATTTTTTATTGTGGCCAAGTTAACAATCCAAAGAGGTCATATTAAAATTTGGGCACCTGAACATCTCTAGAGCATGAGAAGTTGTTTACACTTCTATGTAACCCAGACGTACTTTCTGTGGGAAAAAGAAGCCCTTACGTACGATACTGATGTTAAAACTGATCATGAATTTGATGCATGTAATTTACTTTGCGTACGTAGGTCATTTTGCTGTTAGCAACCAACCAACATTTTGAAGAAATTAATTCTCTGCTTCCTTACATATGGGAAGAAGGTGGGGAGAAAAAGCAATGGTGCTGCCAAATTAACTGTTCAGCTCTTGACTGATTCTCCAGATAGTGTACTGATTCTCTCCACCATAGTTATGTTTATTGTACTAAAATAGTATAATAAAAATAACTACTTCAGAACAGAAAGAGTATTTATCAGAAGTTTTATTTCTCGTCATGATGCAAAAAATCGATAAAATGAATAAAAATTTTGTTGACTTTCTCGTTCCAGGTCAATAATAATTTAGAATGTGCAAATAATTTTATTTTTTTTTTAAAAAAAAGATTGAGAAAGATATAGTGCATAGATAAGGTTTTTTCTTCCTAGAAAAAGAAAGAAATGTTGGAGCAAAACAAGTATAAATGAAGTTTCAACCTTGAATTGGTTACACAATTCCGGGTAGGCATGAGGTCCATGATATTATCAATGAGGTTACAACTTACAAGACTTATTAGTTCCTCCAATAATAATCAAATTTATTTTCAAAACCAAACAAGTTATTTGATCCCTACAAAGTTTGATGAGGAGCGTCCTACCAAACTTATCTAACGTTTCTACTTCTCCAAGTACGAGTCCTACCAACTCATCAAGAGATCAAGACTAAAAAGGTTATTTAATCATATGCAAATATTGATCCTCGTACCCTAGTAGCACTTCTTATACTAATTTATCAAATCTTCATGACGGGTGACCATCTCTTTAACCATATAGGAATATTCATGTAGTTGGTCATTTGACTCATTTCTCATTGATGTTGTCTCTTGAGACCAACCCGTTTGATAGTTGATACAGATACCAAAAAAAAAAAAAAACTTTCAAATCAAATATGTTTTTTTTTTCCTTTTACTACGCATGGGTACAAGATATCCAATAAGTAATAATCAAACAAAAAAAGTCACATCACATGACTTACATAATCATAAGTGACTCAACAAAATTTTTTATTTTTTTTTTCGATTTAAGATGATCTTAATGACACTCAAAAGTGTTTTGGGAGAGAAATTTTGCCGTCCAGCGGTCCAGGGAGTTATGGAGTACTTGAGAAATCATGAAGGGGAACTTCACTTATTACTGAGCCCAACGGCCTCTAAAGTACTACCAATGTACTTCTAAAGCATTTATGTAAGTGTGGAATGGGAAAAGAAATTAAAAAACATGATGAGGTAAAGTTAATGCAATCGCAGAGGCTCCAATGAGGATGGGCAAGGGGCAAACAAACCGAAAGCCTAGTATCCCTTGCCCATCATCTCTTAATTGAATCCTAGTATCCCTACTGCTTCCCCAGATTTGGACATGTTTGTAAACACCTACTTCCACTTTTTTCTCTACCTCGAATAGCTTTTTTTTTTTTTTTTTTAATTTTCAATGCAAAAAACCTGCCCTATTAATCGTTTTTCAGTGTTTACTGTTTAGATTTGGCTTGTTCAGCTGCAAATTGCAATGATGTTTTTTTCATACAAGGAGACAAATGTTTGAATAAGTTAAATACTACAATCTTAGGGTAAGCTAACTGAATAAATAATACATTACGGTGAACTCCATGATTCAACTCCTTACGGAGAGTTTTCCAACCGGTGTAAATGTGTGTCTCCTCCTCCTCATCTGCTTCTCCATAATCATGCCTCCATTGCACCAAGGAGACATTTATGTTCCCTGTTTACCTGCAACAAGTTCAGTTGAGCATATACATTCCAGTCGGAGAAAAATTAGGTAATTGAAATTCAAAAAAGACTACCCATTGTGATTCTAAAGTTTAGACTACTAATGAACAAAACTTGGACATTTGAGGCAGTGTATACAGTGCTTCAACAAATGAGAACTCAGACAACATTCAGAATGTGATCTGAGTACTTTCATATTCTTTATTATTGTGGGTAGGAGGTGCAGAAGAGTAGCGAAACATCTCCAACCATGTGGCAGAAATTATGTACAGATGACCTATGCGAAAATATAACGAAACATGTCTACATTAGAAGCTTTTCGCACCAACTTTACTAATCTCTATGTCCCGATGATGTCTGGCGGTGCTGGCCTTCAACCAAAGTTTGAACTCTCTGCAATGAGTCCAGATACATGAAAGAACGCTAGTAAGGAGAGAAAGTAACCAACCAAATCAAATGGGGATACGATAATTCTCTTCATGCGTAACGGACCAAAAAATGAAACATTTGATATCCTAGTACCTTAACTGAACTGCCAACCTCCCCTAGCTTTTGCAAAATTACCAACTCTGGTATATTAAAAGAACCATGGCTGAGTAGTTTTGATTGAGACACCTGCAAATTCGAACCCCCAAACCCAAGAAAGAAATGAGGAAAAAGGAACAAGAGTTACGAATCAGCAAAACTCAAGACTTCATCAGCAAAATGTAATGAAGAGCTTCAAGATGTTGCATACTGAAGCAGCTGATGAATGTGCGAGCCTTACATTTGATGAATCCTCGAGAACTGAAGATTGTCTTGACAATGCCTGGCGTCTCATATTGGACATGCGCAGCATAACAGCCTGGAAACCAAGAAAAGTAACTTATGCAACCAGCCCTGTAAATAAATGCTAGAGGAAATGGTAAGCTAAAAGAGGAAAACCTTCCTAAAAGCCAGTGGGTTAGCAATCCCCTGGATTTTGACATCATCGCTGGCTGGCCTTCTCACACCAATGTTTTCAATTCTTACAGAGTAGACACCAAATTTAGACTGCAAATATCCTGGCAATACCACAAGATTAGTAATGAAGGTAGACAAACCTCAAAATGATTCGGAAACTAGCATTTTCCTTTTTCTAAGAAAAGAACAGCAGTTCCAAAGCGCCAATTTGTTCATGTCAATAGCAATTGGGAGTCAACACAGACCAAAGTTATTCAAATGGTTTACTCCTACAATTTGACTGCGCAGCTTGTTTCAGTTGCTATTCAAAAACATTAGCCTCGGTGATCTACACAGCTTATCACGGAATGAATTTCTATTTTGTGTGCGACCAACAGCGGCCAAATATCAAAGAATACCTAGTTTCCCAAAGCATAAGTATACTGACAAAAAGTGAATGATAGCCTAGACTAATTACTTCCCTATTCATCTTTCGAGGCATTGAATCCCACCATCATTATAAAACCATCAACTTAAAGTAACAATGCATTCATCATGCAGAAACAGCCTAATTCAACACGAATCATCGAGGAAGAGAAAATGCCAATACCAAAAACAAATGGGAAATCATGTAGGAGCTTAAAGTCAGTTTAGAGTCAAATATGCTGATGTGCTCAAACCTTGTTCAATAACAATATCAGCAACTGATGGCAATACAATATGCTTCTCCTTTCTCAAAACCCCAAAACAAGGAAATGGCACTGGCTTTGTCACCTAAAGAAGCAAAACACAGATAAAAAACATAAATTAAAAAAAAATGTCAAAATTCTCACAAAGTTAATAAAAAATCTCCAGAAAAGAAATACCAAAATTCAACCAGAAATTTCATTACTTTGTACACAATGGCATTAGAGGTGACATAAAGCTTTCTAGACCGGAAGTCTTTAAGCAAAATATGTCTCCGAATTGGCAGATAAAGCAGCATAACGATACCAATTCCCCAAGCCAATATCAACAGCAGGGAGTACAAAACCCACACCGCCGTTTGGTACTTTACAAAATTCTCTTCGGCTTCCTCAAACGACGCCGCATAGAGAACTAGGTCTTCCTCGTCCAAGTTACCGGAGCTAGCATATTCAGGTTCGTCAGACGGCCGGAAACCGCTCACTAATAATCCCTGCTCCAATTGATCAATCTCCACCCCGCCGTTATTCACGTCCATCTTCGAGAAATCAGCAAATTATAATTGGGAATTCGCAGAAAATCTAGGAAGACCTTACATCGAAAAGGTGGAATGTTCCGAGTCGATTAACGGAAAGGCCAATAATTGAGGGGGGAATTACGCAGGAAGCGATGCCGTCGGTTGCTTCGGGCCGGTCTGATGCATTTGGGAGGTGGATTACTTTTCAAATTCCCCCCCGAGAAAGAATAAATTACGTTGATTCCTTATACTTTTCAACTAATCGAAAAATTGACCTTCTCATTTTTCATTTTGTTTTACATGCGATTCATCGGTCGTATATGTATGACATGAAAATTTGTTTCCCCTATTAAATGACTCAATTAATTTCAAAATAAATTAAAATTTTTTGATAAATTTAGTTTTACATACTTGAAATTTTGTTAGGTATAGATGCGATTATTTTTTACATATGATTTATTCTTAAAAATTAATATCGTTTATAGTTTTGTATGTTAACTCATATATTTTACTTTTATATAAGTAGATCATATGATAAAAGATAACCGAATGTAAAATAACAGCACGTATTCTTCTTAAGAAAAAATCATGTTCAAATTGAATTTTTAACTAGCTACAAGTTGGAATTATTTGTATGTTTCCAGGTGCGAACAATCTGTTGAACTATGCTTTTAAAAGGCTTGTAGCCTTCAATTATGTTTCTTCAATTTTTTTTCTTTGTTCTGAATTATTTATGTGTTGAGCACGGATATGTGTGTATCGTTTCTTTCTAATAATTTTGTTTATCCTATATTAGTAGAGAACTTATACTGAATTGTTTTTTTTTTTTTTTTGGAAAAGTTATACTGAATTGTTATCAAATGCGGCTCTCTATATATATTGAGGGCTAAGTTATACTGAATTGTTATCAAATGCGGCTCTCTATATATATTGAGGCCTAAAGCAAGATTTAAATTTGAGGCTTGTTTTTTTAAAAAAAATATATATTAGCTTTTTTTTAAACATTTCAAAACAAATATAAAATCAATTAATCAAATATCAATAATCCCAATAATAAGTTAATTAATACCAGTGTCACCAATTTACTATTTCTATTTTCATTGAACATGACTAATAATAAAAAAAGCTAATCAAACATAAAAAAAAAAATACAAGCAATACCAATACATTAGTTTATAATCACAAAAGAATATATTTGAATAATTTCAAGTATTACGTGACTTTTTTTTTTTGTCAATTGAAGAAGTATTGTAGATCAAACTAAAGCAGAAAAAAATGGGGGTTGGGATGAGGAGAGAGCTAGAGCTTCGGAGATTAGTGAGGAAAAGAGAAAATTAATACTCGTAATTATGGTAATAATTAGGAAAAGGATGGGGAGGGTTCTTAAAAGTAGAATTTTTTAAGTAGTTGGGAACTAGATTATTAATTATCTAGTTGAAATAATCTGTTATCAGCTGTATACAACGGTCTCTAAGTCTCTTCATCTTTCTTTCTTTTTTAAAAATCTTAATATTTATAATTATCCAATTAATGGTGAGATAATTTAAATATATAATTTTTTTTAACTAAACACCTAATAATTTGATGCCCTAAACAATTGGGGGCCTAAAGCCCTATCTTTAGTAGCTTGGCTCTAAGGCCGGCTGTGATTGTTATTCAAGCCTTTAACTAAATCTATATTTTCATCAAGGTTAATAACTTAATTAATATCGAAAGGAAAAACGGAAATTGAACCCGTCGCTATTCTCATTTTGTGAAAGTCCAGGGGCTCGTCAAGAAACAAATGAAAAAGCGGATGCCCATTCCTTGGGTGCACGATGTCGTTTAGCTTAAACCCTAAACCCCTCTCATCATTTTACAGAAAAATTTCCCAAATTTCCAAACCATTAATCTAAAATAAAAATAAATAAAATTATTCAGAGGAAGAGAAATTAGCAGGAGCAATGGACGGAAGAAAGCCCGCTTCTCGCGGTGAAGTAACTACGAAGAAGAGTAAGGAAGACGACGACAACAAGAACAGCAAAAGCTTTTCTACAGAAGTGTTCGCTTCCTGCTCTTTCTCTAGCCTTGGCCTTGATCCCAAATTATGTGACCAGCTTAAAGGTCTGTATGTTGTTTCTGTTTTCTTCAAAAGGGTCTCTAAAATTTTGCAATTTTTTGCTTTCTTTTTATTAGCTTGCTAGATGTAAATTTGATGGAAGAGTAGAATTAGCGAGTTAAAGGACCGTTTTTTTTTATTTGCCTTTTTGACAGAAAGGCTGGGTTTTGAAGTTCCGACGAAGATACAAGCTCAGGCAATCCCTGTAATTATTTCCGGGAAACACGTGTAATTCTCTTTTCTGAATGGCAATTCATTGCCAGCCATTTTATTCTTTTTAAGTAGGACTTTTAGAATTATTAGTTATAAGGGAATAAGATTTTTATTTTTCAAATTTGGAATTTTATTATGTTAGGCTGGTAAATGCTGCTACCGGGACTGGGAAAACCTTGGCTTACTTGGCTCCAATTATTCATCACTTGAATAATTACGAGCCCAAGGTTCAGAGGACTGATGGCACTTTCGGTAGGTTGGTTTATTTTGATTCTTGCTATTAATCGTTTCTGAGTGAGAGAGATAAAGCAGGACTCTTTGAAGGTCATTTCCATGTAGAATGTTGGTGGTTTTCTTTTCGGTTGATGTTTGCAATATGGTTTCTTGGTGGGTGTGGCGAGGGTTAGGGCAGAGTGGGGTGATGTTTTGTAGTCATATGTGAAAAATACATGCAAATACAAATATGTATATTCTTGATGGAGGCATGGAGCTGTTGGTTTATGCTAATATGCTGCAAAAGCTCCTACTCTGGTTACTGCAGTGGAGTCTCTGTGTCATTATCTCAGGACGTTGTTAGATTACAAAAGAGTAACACTTGACTGATAACTCCTGCCACTCTCACTGTTGTGCAATAGTCTCTTTTTCTTTTCTATCCCTCCTCCTTTTAGAGTTTACCATGTTAATTGATTTCTTCCTTGTAGCGTTGGTTCTTCTTCCAACGCGTGAATTGTGCATGCAGGTGTATGAAATCTTGCAAAAGATGCTGCACCGATTTCATTGGATTGTTCCTGGATGCATAATGGGCGGAGAGAACAGGGCAAAAGAGAAAGCCAGGTTGCGGAAAGGTAGACATTTTGATGCAAGCAATTATTTGACATGTGTCAAGAATTCCTTGACTCTGAGTTGAAAAGTTGTGATTGGATGATGGTGTCTTGGAGATGAGGGATTCATGAAAAAGAACAACAATTGCTTCCTCCCTCCACTCTTTGATTCTGTTGTCCTGTAAAAAAATGAAAATGTACTATTAGAAATTATACATTAGAAGGATTTAAGAGAAACTTGTAGAAGCACTTGCATTAGATTTAGGAATAGCTTTTGGAATCATTTGGCACAAGTTTGGTGATATTCTTTACCATCGTTAGTTTAAAATGATTTTTTTATTCTTCGTGTCAGCACCTGTTTGTTTTTGTTTTCAGGTCTATCAATCCTTGTTGCGACTCCTGGACGGCTCTTAGATCACTTAAGAAATACTTCATCTTTCAATTACTCTAATTTGCGGTGGATAATCTTTGATGAAGCTGATAGGTACTGTCTCACTATGTATCTTGCATTCAACATCTTTCTCAGTTCAACATTTAGTTTCAATTTTCCATTCAATGCTATGCTTATACTCCTCGCAGAATCCTGGAATTAGGGTTTGGCAAGGATGTTGAAGAGATACTTGAACTTTTGGGTACCAGACAAAAAGGAACTGCAACTGATGATACTTCAACTTCTAGATTTTCTCATTTCCCAAGGCAGAATCTGCTTTTGTCAGCCACTTTAAATGAAAGGGTCAATCATCTTGCCAAAATGAGTTTAGAAGATCCTGTTTTGATTGGCCTTGCTGACAAACAGATGCAAGCAAATCCTCATGAGCCTATCAGCAACACTGACTCTGACGTGGATAACGAAGAAGGAAACACTGTTAAATCACTTTGTTCTTCAAACGAGGAGTATAAAATTCCTTCTCAATTATGCCAGAGTTATATACAAGGTACAGAAATACACTTTGTTAAATTCCAATGTGCAGTAGCGATCAGTGAGTATTATTGATTTCAAATCCTTGGTGTTTACAGTTCACTGTGGTTCGCGACTAGTTGTGTTACTTTCCATTCTAAAAGATCTCTTTGAGAGAGAAGCTTCACAAAAGGTAATGTGATTGTTTATTCTTCTGTTATTTCCATCCGCCATTTAAATCTTGGTGATTCTTTTATTTGCTCAAATATTACAGACTTCTTGTTTTATCTTGACAACATGTATAAGTTCCTCAATGATTATGGGATTTAGAAATTGCTGCTAGAGTTGTGTTCTCATGTTGGTTTCAAATTTTAAGAAGTCATGCTCCTATACATTCCTGAATTTTATTTCATCAGGTTGTGTAGTGTTTATGTTGGATGCTCACATTTATATGCCTGTTAAATTGCAACTTCTTTTATATGCCAGTCAACTTTATACCTCTCGGCAAACAGATAGGTTAGTCATGGCATATTAAATAAAGGGGCAGGGTGTTTTTGCTTGTTAATGATTTGGCATATTTAATTTCAGGTTGATGGGTACTGATATCGCTCTCTTCTTGTTTCACAGATTGTAGTGTTCTTTTCAACATGTGATGCTGTGGATTTTCATTATTCACTCATGACTGACTTTAAATGGTCTCTAACTTCACAATCAGAAGAAGAATCCAAACAGAAGTTTTTGAGATGCAAAGTTTACCGGTCGCATGGGAAAATGGAAAATGAGGACCGGAGGGCAACGTTTGAGGCTTTTAAGGCTGAAAAATGTGGTCTGTTAGTCACTACCGACGTTACTGCAAGAGGCCTTGATCTTCCCAAGGTGAGATGCATTATACAGTATGATTCTCCTGGAGAGGCAACAGAATATGTTCACAGGTACATTTTTGTCACATAAGTTGTCGTTTTATGAGATCATAAGCTTAGGGCACTGCACTGCACTGATACTACAGATGGGCTTATTTTTTACATCTTCGTGATTATAACGTAAAATACTGTTGGTGCTGCTCATAGTTTCCACTTTTTTCTGTTGGTTGCTTTCTTTGTCACCTGTGTTTTTGGTAGGAGTAATGGTACAAAAAACTGTTCAGATCTTGTTACATATGCTTTTTCCTCCGCTGCTGCTTTTGTGGGTGGAAAATTGTGTAGATGTTAATTAACTATGTCTATGTTAAAGTCGATACATACATACTTTCCAGTTCACGAAAGCATACACCTAAAATTGTTGTTTTTAAAGTATTTTTGTCTGTGGATCTTGTAGGGTTGGAAGAACTGCCCGCTTGGGTCAAAAGGGTGAATCTCTATTATTCCTACAGCCATCAGAGATTGAATACCTGCGCCATCTGGAGAAACATGGGGTTGTGCTGAAAGAATATCCCATTGTCAAGTTGTTGAATGGCTTCCCTGCAAATGGTCTTAAGAGCTACGGGAAGAAGTTCGATTCAATTGAGAGGCACCCCTGGTTTCTTTCACTGTATAAAGCTCTAGAAACCTTTATTTCAACCACGGTAATGTCTCTCAGTTTCTTGTGTTGGTTTATTGTGAATCCTGAAGTTTTTCATTTTCCATTTCTGCACTTAAATCACTGTATTTTGTTGGAAAGAGAATCCCCTCAGCTTTGTCATTTGCAGAAGCTGCAAATGATTTTACCCCCCACATTTTTTTAGTACTAATTCTTCGGAAACTGTTTTTCCACGAAATATACAATTTTTGTATTTGAGTTCATGCCTCAATATTATTATTTTTTGTGCTTGTTGCCAGCCAAAGATGAAGAAACTGGCTAAGAATGCATTTTGGTCATGGGTTAAGGCATACGCAGCCCATCGCGGTGAGCTGAAAGGAATATTTGTGGTGAAGAAACTTCATTTAGGACACGTGACAAAAAGTTTTGCATTGAAGGAGCAACCCTCCTTGGTTAATAGTAAATCAAGTCAAAAGACACTGAAGAAGAGGAAGAGGGATCAGAAACAGCAAGGATTCTCAAAGAAGTTGCGGTTTGCTCATAAATCATGAAGAAGCTAACTAACTAAGGCCATGCGCTCTTCATTTGATTATGCGGACGATATGATTAGTCCCTCAACGGCAAAGTGATCATCTCGTGCAATGTGAGAAACTGTAGGCTCTTTCCTCCTCGGATTCCGCCTTGTGCTACGTTAAAGTATGAAGTGTGATCCAAATGAAGGTTGGAAGCCCTCTTTTGGATGGGGAGGAATGTTGGTGACTGTAGTCATCTTATGATGGCCAATTTTTGAAATATTAGGATTTTGTTAAATTTTTCTTCTCTCAATTCACAGATAGGAATGGAAATAGAAGTAGATGTGACAGTGCAGTAGGTTAGATCGATCTATGTTATGTAAACTCAGACGAAAAGTTAGACAGTCTCAATCATCGCCAAGGAATACAGAACTGCATTACTTTTTGTTTCCAAGAGAACTTCTTGTTTGTTTAATTGCTTTCAACCTTGTGACAGCGTAAATGCATGATTCACACAGACACACGCACACACAGTCACACTACTTGTGCTGCTGAATGCTGATACACATTATTTGTGCACCAACAAATCTTCCCACTTTTTTCTAGTGCTGCTAAAACAAACCATCAGAAAACAAAAACCTTAGTCCATTCCAAGAATTGGATCCATTCCGCACCGGAAACAGGGGAAATCACCGTCACTGGTTTTCCACTTTTCCACCTATCTCAGTTCAATTTCCGGGAATTTTTCAGGCTTGCATCTTCAAGAATTTTTTTCTTCTTCTTCTTCTTCTCTCTCCTCTGCTGGTTTTGTTTGTAAATCAGTTGATGTCTTGCCGTTGTTTCTGTAGCTCATTTGGGTTGTTGTCAATTGTGTGATCAACTGAGTTCTTAGAATTTTACTCTGGGTATGAATACAGAATTATTATTGTTGATTTGATGAAACCTTTTTACGTGCAACAATGGATCCAACTGTAAGGAGCGATTTTAGATCATTAATGCCAAAGAACTGAAAGGTTGACTGGGAGCCTAACTTTGTACAGATCAGAGAGCAGTTCCTCCGAACACAATGTCATCAACATCAACAGAAGTTCCAGCGGAGCTTGCAGAGGACGTAACTGCTGAGATACTATCAAGATTATCAGTGAAGGATCTCTTACGGTGTAAATGCGTAAGCAAATCATGGAGAGCGCTGATATCCAGCCCCAATTTAGCACTCACTACCTCCGGGAGAGAACGGGCAATTGTGGGCTGTGACAATCAATCAATATCTGTTGACTCAAAAGCAATGGCTTTTTATTCAATAGATGCTGAGCTTTCTGTCGAAAAGCTTCCATATCCTACGGGTGAAGTTCCTTCACATTATGCTGATTTCATGTTCTTGGCTAGCTGTAATGGTTTGATTCTCTTCTATGCTAGCAAAGGTATATATTTATGGAACCCATTGACAAGCTGCTGTCGTTTACTTACTCAATTCAGTGTTTTGGCCAGTAAACTCGAGTCATTTTACAGCATAGCTTCCGGGCTTTGGTTTGACAAAATCTCTGATGTTTATAAAGTAGTATTAGTGACTAGAACAGGGCGGCCTCGACCTCGTTCGTCAGGTCCTTCTGTTTGTGTTGCTAGTTTAATGAAGAATGAAACGAAGACCAATATCAAATTTCCTTACAAACTACCCTACCTTGAGGACGATGAATCTTTTATTCCCTCATCAGGGGTTTTGGTAATGGGACATTTACATTGGATAGTGAAGCAGCAGTCTGGTAAGGCACAGCTGATTGTCTATTTCGATGAGGAAACAAACCAATTCAGAAAATTACCAATGCCACAGGAAGATGAATATGAGGATGGAGGCTCTAGGTACTACTATTTTGGACTTACTGTTTTACATGGATGTCTTTGCATGTCTAAAGCAGTCAAGATGAGCTCTGAATTCGTAGACATAGATTTCGCTGATAACGATGTTCTCATCATGAGAGACTATGGTATGAAGCATTCTTGGACAAAGATGTTTACCATTCAAGGGCTTATGGTGCCCCTTCACACTAGAATCTCTAGTAATCTTGTTCTGGTTTCAAGGTTGAGCCATTTTTATGTATATGACTTGGAAAAGAAATACAGCCAGAAACTTACAGTCCAACCTTATTACAACAACAACTTGAGAAACAAGGATGGTGGAAAAGCTAACTCGGAACCAGTTACCCCCAACATTATTGTTGGTCCTCTATCGTTCGTGGAAAGTTTGGCATCAGTGGATTCGATGTAGCTGCAGTGCAAGAAGTTTTTCGGATTCAAAAAACAGGTAAGATGATCGGATCTCTTTGTATGTGTTTGTATTCGTCTTCGTATTCTGTTTTTCATCTTCTTTCTTGATTCTTGTCTTGAGATGTTTTGGTATTTTGGTGCATCAGCAGCATACATATATGAGTCAAATTCAGATCATCCTCATTTGGTCTTTTGGTGCATCACATTTTACTCTTGGAGAAAGTGGATTTCGGCTCTAAATAACACTCAATTGGAATCAACGGCAGAATACTGCAGGATTTAAATGGCGGGAAGAAAACGTTTCAAGAAAATGTTAAAAGCCATTTCTTTAAAATTCGTCCTTTCGGACAAGTGTTTTTTCGTCCCTTATACTACCTTTTAAGTATCTTTATTTTAGTAAATTGTTTGCAGTTTTCATCTTTCATAGTCTTGCAATTGTTTTCCGTAAAAAAAAAAAAAATCAACATCGTCTTTGATAATAGCCAGCATGCCCCTTGAATGAAATCATATAATCAACTCTCAACAGAGACACTGTAACACAAAGTAAGTTGAAATACACATCATTATCATTGTATGATTAAACAAATTTAGCAGTACTATTGTTTGCGTGAAAATTGTGCACTCGAAATCGTGGAAAAAAGGGAATAGAAATCACCCAAAATACAATTAAATCAGACGATTGTGGTACAGACCAGGATCGAGAACTTAGTGTTATTGGCTTCAGTTTGAGAAAGATAGGTAAGATTTCGAGATAGTGGGAAAAAGTCGAAGAGACGACGTTTGACTCATAAAGTGAAAAATTCTAGCGCCGTCAAATTATAGTTGGTGCCGATGACACGCTATTACATAGAAGACAAAGACAAGACGAACGTGCAGAGGGTAATCCGACATACATAAGTGTTAGAACACCTATTACAGCATAACCGCATTCGTTGGAGTAGAAAACTGTGAACACCTACTTAATTCTATGTAGGATAAAAAGACAAACAACTCTATTGCTAAGCTAGGGGCTAAGCAAGCATGATAGAACGTGATGAACTACCATAGGGAAGGTAAAAACATGATAAACGGTAAAGGAAATAATAAAAGATAAGGGAAACCAGTTGTATGGTTGATCAGTGATGATTTTCTCTTCATGGCTGCCTCTATTTATAGTGCTTGGACGAAACCCTTGCTACCATATGATTCCTTGGAGAAAAGGTAGCTTAACATGGTCAATTTTCTTGAAAATAGGTAATTATTCTTGCAGCAGTCTCCCAATCGGTTGATGACTCTTCGCACAATCAACTCTTAATTTGGTTATATAATTCTTTCCCAAATATATCTCTTTAATTACTGGTAATTTTCCTTATTAAAAGAAGCAAGAAATAAGGAATAATCTTCTTAAGTGCCAATTAATCACCCAGTCGATTGTAGAACAATTCTATTCCCACTTAACTTATACTTTCATTCTTCAATTCTGAAACTGTTCACATTCAACTAGCCGATATTGATTCCAAACATATTTTGGACATTTTTAGGCTATTTTAGGATCTTAAAATCTCAGCCATAATCATATAAATCTACCAAAACTCTTGGGCCAATACTGACATCTCTCGTCGCCCCGAATAGCAAAAAACTGGCCAAACAACTCTTGATCACTAAGATGATGCTGATGATGATATTTTGTTTCTCAAAATTCATAATTATGACATTTACAATAAAAACCTCACCTCTTATAGTATTCATCATATATCTTATTTAAGAAGAACGAGATGAAAATTTTCTGGTCCACACACGAGACATGCTTCTACTCATTCGAGTATCTAGGTTATAATATTTGGTTAAAAAAAAAAAAACTCATTTTAAAAGTAAGTTTTAAAGCATCGGGATTCTCCGCTTTGGAGTAGAAGACTATATAAATTATGTATTATCTTAGTTAACCCAACATGTCTTGCCAAAATATTAAAAAATCTACATGATTTTAAGGGCATGTGACTTTAAAGTCTAGACTAAATTATTGTTGACAGGACTTTGATTGTAAATTTCACTTAATGAATGCTCAGTTTAGTCTTATTATAGTATAATAGTATGCATCAAAACACGCGTGTTTATTTAAAGCAGATTTATTAGGTGTGATTAGGGTTGGAAATCAACTTTTTGTAACAAACGTCAATTGCTAATCAAACCTTAATCAGTTAATCATATGCATTATTAGTTGGAAGGTTTTTTTCAAACGCCAACAGCATCACTACAGTTTAGGGACAGATTGGGCTTTAGACAAAAGCCCTATAGGCTGTAGCCTCACCCAGTCAACCTCTGCCAGTGAGTTTCCACTTTTCAAAGAGAAAACATATGTGGGCCTGATTGGCCCCCTTTTGGAATGACAGAATTTCGCAGTCCACAAGCAGAAGGATGAGGTATGCAGACTTCCACGTCAAGTGAATTTAGCATCTCCTGGGTTTGTTCTCTTTTAGGCCCACAATAGGGACGTTGAGTTTGAGATGTGGGTCAAAGTGCATTTATTTGTAGGACAAGAAGTCACGGCTTGACCCGATCTCGGGTCCTCGATGGGCTACCCAACAAAGATCAAGATGAGGAATTTTCAGCAATGATCCTGTTTATATCACTCCCAATGTACTACAAAAATAGATCAGATTTTCATAAATTATAAATTGTACCAAAAAATTAATTTAATTTAGATAATAAACTATTTTTTTGAGTCAAAAAAAATATTTTCTTATGAAAAAAATAAAAATGTTGCTATTTTCTAATTTTTATCTTTCGTATTTGCAAAGGTTTACTGTCAATAATAACGACTAAAACTACCGACCTTTGATTAAAACTGAGATCCCCCCTTCAGATATGGAGCATAACATTGACACCATTAAAAATTTTATAATTTTTTATATCAAAAAAAAAATTATTATAATCTTCTTTCCTTAATGGCAAATACTGTTATGTACTATATCTGTTTAATATTCACAAATCATTTTGAATGTTGGTCAGAATTTCTTTGAATAAATTATTGAATTTATTCACTGTAAAACTCGCATTGAAGAATATGGTCCTTGGATTCCTTTCTATTGGAACTTGTATGTTTACATCTCGATTTATTTCATCGAACTTATTTTAATCCATATTACTAAATCATGCATTGAAATTATCCCTATGAAAAACATCTTGTATCATTTTCAATGGAAGAGGTAACAGAGTCCTACTTCTTATTCTTCTTATTTTTTAAAAAATTATTCTTTCTTTATTTTATTATTTTATTTATATATATATATATATATATACTGCTTGATGTCACGACCGCTCGATAATTTCTCACAAACTTTTATGAATATCTTGATACGAACAATCTCGTTATGGACATTTTAGAGGGGTTATTTTAAGGCGAAACAATGACGAGGCTCACATGGGATGGGATCACTTCCATACCTCATTAGTTTAATTTTGTAGAATTATGGAAGCTGCTAAGAACGAAGAAGAAGATGAGACCTTAATTGACAACAATAATTTGAGAAAGAATTAAAGGGGGCTAGCAAGCAGCTAGCTTTGATATGTAACAGATAATTTCATGAATTATTATCGGGTATTGTCGGTGTTAAATGGTGTGTTTGCTTTGCTCTACTATTACACAGCCGACTTTCTTTTCTTTCTTTCTTTTTTTTTTTCCATAAAATACTTAGGAATTAAATTAAGGTTTGACTAATATCCAAGATATCATCATCTGATGAAATTGAGTATGCATTTAGTTTTTAAATTCTGAATTATTAATTTATATCCTCTCTTTAATGTTTCACTTCCAACTGTTTGTATTAATTGAGTTTGTACCTTCTTTGTACCTAAATCCTCAACTTGGATACATTAAATTGTAAGGATAACTAATGCAACCAGAATGATGTTGTTCTTCTTAATTTTGTGTGTTGTCATTTTTATACTTGGAAACATAAGCTTTTGGCTATGAATTTATAAAGTTGCGACAATTTTATATTGGGCATGTATACGTAAGTTGCAGCAAATATATATTAAAACAATTAACAGTTTCCTCTATTTGAAGAAGTTATATAATATGATGAAAATCATATGTAATCTGCTTCTTATATCCTTATTTTTAACGCGAATAATATTATATTCATCAGTTTGCCAGGACGATTAAAACTTTAACCATTTAAAAGAAAAAAAAAAAAGGAAAGTAAAAAACCCTAATTGTCATAACAGCAAAAGAATAATTTAAAGGTTACTCAGCTAGTATTAAATAATTTCTCCATAAATAGAGTATAACAATTTTGTTTGCGACCAACTTCATTATAAGTAAGGCCAAATTAGATATTTTGGGTTGGCGGTGATGAATTTGAAGCTCGCGATCATCATAGTCAATCGACCTCTCAACTAATAATAGATCGAAACGTACATTATCACTGTGATTTTGGAAAAGATCTTCGATAGATTGATCAATTTCAAGTGGCAAATTATGCAATCCTCACTTGTCAAGGCAAAATCCTTTCGTTCTAAAATTATTTTCCACTTTGAAATTTCATTTTTAGTTCAGTTATTATCCAGTTTAAAATTTTATTTTTAGGTGGTTTGAACTAGAAATGAAATTTCAAACTGAATAATATTAATTTGCGCAGACACGCTATAGTAATCACTTTTTTTCTTTAGTAGAAATTTATGAGCAATCAATACAATCTCACACGTAATACATATCTGTTCTCACTATGTAACCTTTTACAACTTCTTCTCTGGCTGGCTCCTCAAAATTTAGGGATTGTATCCAATATTGATTGTATAGATTTGTATGATCGATATATAGGGGCGGCTGGGTCGCAGGAGTGGAAGATGATTGATTGAACCCCACTTAATAATGCTAGCAATTAAGATTGGCAATTGTCCCACACATGGAACACATAATGTTGTGGCTTTGCATTCCTCAGTGGATAACACAAATAAAAAAAAATAAAAAAAATAAAACAGCTAAGAGCCTAGCTAAACAGATATTGTTGGATCACCTGGATGTTGACTTGCTAGCTCCACCTCTAGCTCTAGCTACTTCATTCATGTCGCAAGCAATGTTGCAAATTCTCCCTCCCCACTCTCCATTCCTTTGTTATCATCATTTCTATTGATCGATCGATGATGTGCTACAATTCTTTGTGTGTTAAAGCATGTGATCTATTGTTTTTGTTACAGAATCTAATACGTCTATAGAGGTTGATATCATAATTTGCATGTTGAACTAGTAAAATAATTGGTTATTTATAAATAACGAATAATTTTGTGAAATACAGTATCAGTATTTGTATCGTGTTGCAAATTGGTTATCTCCTAATTAATTCACTTCTAGCCCATTAACTGCTTCTTTTTAATAGGCTTAAACCCTCAAAGAGAAAGGAGTGGAAAAGCTATGAAAAGTTAGAGATTAGCAGAGATTATAATCATCGACCCCATCACTTTCTTAAATACCTATCGCAGCCTTACACATTCGAGGTTGTAAAACTGATGTGCTTCTCATTTTGTTGACTAATCACACAACTTTAGTGCTATATATGATGCTTTGCCTGCTATAAATA